CTTCAATCAATTCTAGTATTCACGGCGATCAGTGACTGTCAACCTACTTAACCTTTATTAAGGAACTTAACTGGCGCCACTCCTCGCTTGCTTCCCGCGTATCCGCGTCATCGTTCTAATTAGTATTTCCAGGATCTCCAAATTATCTACAGACAAGTTTGGTTTGAGAAGCGAGCTGAAAAGAATATATAAATATTTAAATTACTATCGAGGTCGATATTCCTGTATTAAAGCCGCAATGTCGGGTCGATGAAGATTGCTGGAACTTCGTAGCTAACGGCGAGGGAAGTCATCCTTATTTTTTTTTTTTTCAATGGAAAAAGAAATATTCAAGGCCACGCTCGGAAACACGAAACTATAAGGATCCTCGCGCGGCGCCTGGAGCGACACATGGGGGAAAAAAATACAATTGAAAAGAAAAAAAAAAAGGAAGTATCAATTTTGGCCGGAGGCCAGAAGTTACTTTTAACCGTGAAAATGAACTCTCGAATCCTTCGTCAGGCCCAGTGGATTTTCATGGAGCCGAGGGTCTCTAGTTTTAAAACGTAAAAGGAAGTTCGGAAGAGGCATCATTTCTGCTGATGGACTTGAGAGGAGATATTTTGTTTGTGTAAACAAGACTTGTAAATAAGACAATGCAACCCTGGTCTACCTGGGCCCTAAGTCAAGATCTCCGGATATAGAGAAGGGAAGCCATAAAGCCATAGAGAGAAGAAAAAAAAGTGAGAACCAGGCAAAGAGACGTTCGGTAAAAGCCAGCCAGACAGGCGACCTAAGAGATCGCTAGATACAAAAGGTACAGGAGAGCCCATGAGGCTGGGTCCCACTTGTGCGTATTGCATGTCAACCACGTGAATATTCACTATTCCGAACAAGTGCCATTCCCGGAGTCACGTTTTTCTCAACCGGGACCACCTTTGCCTCGAGAATCCGTGTAATCCTACAGGGGATGATCTTAAGAAGGAGCACGGTAACCACCTTATCTTCGAAGCCTAAAAAGCTTATCCGAGTGAAATACGAACTTCGAGCTGTCAAAGATCGATCAGCAAGGATCTCGAAGGTCGGAAAAAACGTAAACACTTGGGCAGGTACAGTCAATCGAGAAGCGCAACGACTCCTGGCAAGCTTCCCTCGAGATATACCAAAAGTCCTCGATACGCCCTAAAAGAATAAGTGGTATTAAAAAGGAGGAAGAGAATATACGAAGAAACCGAGTGTACCATTTTGTAACTGTGACAGAGCGGGTCCTTTGTTAAACGGATGCGGGGAAGGTGGGATCCTGCTGGAGAGCGAACCTTAAGATCCCCGGTCTATTGTTTTAGGACCTTAGAGCAAGCAATTTAATATCCAAGTTTTCCAGATGCGGGCAGCACGTTCCTTAAGAGTCACCCGTATCCTCCGAGAGATTCTCGTCGGCGCAAATCCAGCGCGTCACATTTCACCAGATCCAAAACTATCAGGATGAAAAAGAAAATTCACGTCCCAACCGAGCGCGTATCGTTCGGCCGCGGAATGTGATAAATTCTAGGAATACCTTGAGCGTGTCGCAAAAGGTTTTGCAAATCGCACTACAAACAATGATGAACGTGCAAGAGACTCCAGTGCAAAGTTCAAAGTGTGAATACGTACGTGGTGCGAGCTGCGCGTATTACACGACTGAAAAAAAATATTCTTTGAAATTTAACGTGGCACAATAGCCATTTGCAAACGCACAGGGTTTCCTCTTTATCCGTTCCCGTCCTTCTCGATCCTACACTGTGCTGTTCCCCCTCATCCCCCCCCGCCTCACACTCTCTTTCACCACCCTACACTGTCTCTCTGTAGGTCGCCCTTTCTCTCACTGCCCCCCTTATTCTCCTCCCAGTCTGTTGATCTCCTTACTCCCTCCTTCTCGCTCCCACGTTCCTCGAACGTTCTACTATAGCCAAGTCTATCCGGAGCAAAGCCAGCGGCGCGGCGTTGCCATACCGAGATCCGAGAAACTGCACAAAAACCACCCGGCCCACCAACACGAAGATCGCGTTCGTTACTTTTTTAAATTGCAAGGCGGCCTCCGCCGCCACGCAGTTCCTACGCGTCTCCGTTGACTTCGAGTGGAAAACCCTCCTTCGAGTCCGAAACTCTTGAGAAGCACTTGGCGATTCGCGTCTCGGGAAGGATTTAGGTTCCTACGCGTTTCCCACGTATTTCTGATCCACGACCAACTTCCTTCTAAGCGTAATCGTTCCAACTAACCAAACTGCCCACTGCCCGCTGCTGGTCCAACCCTCGCGCTAATTGTTTCAATTTATCGTTCCTTTCAATTGGACGTTGGAGAAATTGAATTGAATGAGAAATCCGATTGAAGCCAAATACAAAAATATATTCCTTCGTTTTTCTTTTTCTTTTTCTTTTTTCCCTCTTTTGAATTAACTTCAGGCCAGCGCAACACTGTTTTTTTCTCTTTTGGAATAATATCAGACAATTTCGTAATGCTTTATGTAAATTACATTCAAAGTAGACGCCGGTCCTAACAGCGGATGACAATCGCTATAGATTTTATAAATCATGAATTTACCGAAGCAACGTGTTGTAACTCTTTTTATTTTTCTATTCCATTTACAAGTTTTCCAACGTGAACAGTGATTTAATACTGCTAGCGTCAGCTGTTGTTCCTCTGCCAATTTTCGACTTTTTCTATATAAATATATCTGATGAATGTATTACACGTTTCAATGATCCAACGATTCTATCGCGATATACTTTAATATTGTTTTTTCACCTTTCGACTACCTTACATCGATTGATATATGTCTCGAATGTATAGCATCGGTCTTTTATTATTGGCAACTTTTGTAACCCACGCGTTTGGATCGTTAGATCATGATAGTGGAATTTTATTTATACACGCGAGATCTATCTAGAGTTTGGCACTGTTCGCTGAACGTGTACAATTTTTAAGAGGTGAAACCCTGCTCGTACGTTCAGATATATGTAATATATATGTAAACTCGTGTAATACAAATGAACAGATGCATGAGAAGGCTTACCACTCGTTTCTAACGCACAAAGTATGACACACAAAATAATTCATTGGACGTTACGCAACGAAAGTGACACATTTCGCGTGGCTGGTGGTAACGAATATCTTGTGTGTGCAAGAAAAATAAAATTATTTATCGAGGGACAAAAAGGCTTGATCTAACAACAAAAATCGAAACGTTTTGTTATCGACCTTCGAATATTATTACGTGATAAATTCGAAAAGTTTTACTGGAATACTTCTACATGTCAAACTGAATTTATTCCTCGGAAAAAAGACCTACTTATGTTAGTATCGATACATTAATGGTTCTGACATTATAATCTTACTGATAAACGAGCATCGTGAATGAAGAATATCGTCGGATATTCAAAAACTGACTAACCGATTTTTATCTATTGTCTCCATCGGGAAGGAGTATCAGCCGGGTACTGTGTCTGTTCTCTTATTATTTATTTAATGATTGATAGACGTACGAAACATCGTAAAGTTAGTCTTTGTTAGTCGTTGATCCGAAGCACGTCGAGTATAAGAACGACCGGGTATAGTAACTCCGTCAAAACAAATATAGGCCTGGACGAACGTAGGCGTTGTGAGTTTTGTCACGACAGTCGTTCGTTTCGCAAGAAGAAATAGCGTCATTGTCCGTTTTCTCATGAAACTTGCTACTTCACGATATTCTGTTATTAATTGGAAGATGACGAATAAATTATCACGAATTGATGACACGCTTGATACAGGATAGTGTCCGTCAAGTGTTGTGAGACGACACCGAGGTTAAGTAGTTGATATATAAATTACCTGTAGCTTCGAGCGGGATCTCACGAGGCAGGATGAAACAATTGTAAACAACCGAACAGAACAATGTATAACACAAACGTACAACTTTCACAAAAAGGAACCAAAGATCACGTATAAAACTGAGTACCGGAGCGCACGCACATCGGTAGCACTACGCGGTGCACCGTACACAATACAGATTACAAATTAAATATTATGGCTGCGTCTCGACGTTCATGAATGAAACTAAGAACGGGTCTTAGCCTCCCTCGAGATCACTGCTCGATGTTTATTGGCTGAAAGTTTTTGCTGTGACGTAGTTCATTGGCTACTCCCGTTACTACTATTCCACTGGGACCGCGCCTTAAGGGACACAGAGTGGGGATATGATTCTGATTGGTGGAAAGGTAGCGCCTCGTGTACCTCAGTGATGCCAATATTAGGACTTACCATTTTTAGAATGCTATTCAATTTTAAGCGCTGATTCAAATTTTTTTTTCATTTTCGAATCCTTCGATACTGAACATACGTGAAAATGGAATTGAATGAAAATGAGGAAAAGTGGGTTAGATGTTTAGAGAAAATTTGTTGTTCTCGGAAAAGCAAGATCACAATACAGAATATTTTAACGGGTTGATTAACATTAATTCTGTAGCTATATTAGGAAATTTAATGATGCTTGCTTCGTCTAGATGATATTAGAACGTAGTTTAAGATGGCTTGGGAATATTTTGTATGCGTTAATTAGATAAAATGGCTTGAATAAAATTGTATACTTACCTGGGAAATCTCTGAATGGAAGTAGCAGTTTATTTTGATATCTTGTGTTTTGAGCATGAGTTGCTCTTTTGCTGTCACATGGACGTAGATATACTTTGTTAAGATTCATTTAAGAGATTTTCAGTTTGTCAAGTAATCGTATAGCTTTAGAAAAGTGTAATTTTATATTTTACGATCTGAACTTTACGATACTTGTAATGGCCTGGAACTACAGTTGGCTACAATGAATTTTTTGAAAAGGGTACGTAACTTAGTCAATTACACAATGGATATGTAATAATGTTTAATTATTAATAGCACTGAGTACGTAATTTGTGTTATTTAAATATTCGAATTTTATTAATCAATTATTTTTCTACGCAAATATTAAATTAACGTTTATAGTTCCATTTTATATTGTCATCGATTACTACTGTAGGTGGATTCTTGCCTGTCAGCCATATTTGTTCGGAGTAGCTGATAATTTGAGATTTGCACCGATTTACAGTGTAAGTTTCTGACAAAATACCATTTATTTTGAATGATTAATATGAACGTAATAAGTGCAATTCTTTTTCCCAATATTACGCGTATGCAGAAATTGCAATGTCATTTATTCCAATTCATGTACGAGTATGGAATAGACTATAACCTCTAAATTTTGTATTTTATTATATAATGAGCGCAAGCAATTTTATATAATGCAAATATTAAATTTTATTGATATTCTGTATGATCTTTGAATATTCGAGCACATATTTGTATTTATCAATAGTTAAACAGATTATAGTAGATAGCAGATATTTATCTCACCTTATATAGCTGTACAATTTGACTCCTTTAGAATATTTATTATATTTTTTAATATAACATTATTTTTTATAAAAGACTACATATAATCATAAAAAAATATTCAATTTTCAGACAACCATGTTGACCTCCCGTGTTGCTGTTGGTGTACCTAAGCTCTTTAAGCGTAATTTTGGAATTGTTTGTCCAGCTCTCCAAAAAGCCACTGACCCAATTCAGCAATTGTTTCTTGACAAACTACGTGAATACAAATCAAAAACAGCGTATGTACTACATTATTCTTATGCATCACCCTTTGGGAATACTTACATTGGATTATGTATAAATTTATGTAAAATCTATGTTGTATACAGGGGTGGCAAATCTATTGATGATCCTGAAATTGTAAAGGAAAGACAAGCTGAATTGGAGAAAATTGCGAAACAATATGGAGGTGGTTCAGGCACAGATATGACCCAATTTCCCCAGTTCAAATTCACTGGTAAGTTGTAATCTATTTACCGATTGGTAATTTTTGGATGATTTAAATCATATTTTTAGCAGTTACAAAATATATCCATCCTGTTTCAGAATTCACGATACGAATTTCATATAGTTCATAGTTTTTCAATATACAAAATTTTTATAGTCACGTTTCATTACTGCATTTGCATATATCATATTTTATTTTACAGACCCAAAAGTGGATGCAGGTGTCTCTTCGAGCAACTAGAAATATAACACTACATGTAGATAACATATATTACCAATTGTCGTATCTCAGTATGAAAACAGTTAAAAATAATATAACTGAACATAAACTATGAACATCTAATAATTTGTATATATTTTTAATTGCCTCCACTTCTTTGAGATATTCATTTCATAATTTGAACAGAATCCTTATTAGGGGAAAAAAATGATAAACACGTTTCATAGCAAAATAATACAATCACAGTTTTATTTAAAAAAACATATCTATATGATTAAGGAGTCAATGTAGGAAGCAGTGCGGAGCTATTAACAACCTCTAACAAAACATACATTTTAAATTTTGTAGCAATCGACTTTACGGTCTTAACGAATTGTAACATTTCATTCCTAGTAATCGTAGTCTTATAATTTCCAGCACATGAACAAATTATATTCATGTTATCCCTCTTAACTTCAAAACATTTGACACATTGCAAATCTTGCAGCATATACGCCATACTTTTACGATTCATTATGTCCAGTAAAGAGAATTCAATTTCATCGTTATCGTAGCTCATTTCACAAAGTGGGCACTTCCATACTTCTCTGCAAAAAATAAATGTAACTGAGTGCGTGAGTTGTTGTTCAAATGATACTTGCCTTACGAGCCAGCGTAATTTAAACTGACAGTCAGCAAATAATGGATAACGCACTTGTTCTCTTCGGTGCCACGATACGTGTCTTTGCAGAGGTCTATGTCTCGCGTGTGATTGCATGCCTTGCAAATCACTTCTGGCAATATAAACGATATACATGGATCCTTCCATTCTGCTTGGTCGCTGAAACAACCTACACCAATTATGCGTAACAAATTCCTTTGCAAACCATACACCTCCTCTTCCACTTCTTTATCCAAAGATAAGACCTATAGTTTGAATCAAAATCATTATTAGCTAGCATAGTACATACCACTGAGTTAGAGAAGAATTTCTTTGTTCAGTACCTTGCATATCGACTTGATCAATTCTAGTGCAGGATTAATTTTTATACTCTCATGTCCACCTAAATCCAAATTTGGATTTTCTTGAAAGGTCAAAACCTTCTCTGGTAATTTTTTATAGATTTTTTGAACAATTCTGCAAAAGTAGGATTGCCAAACATAAAGTCTCTCATGCTTGGATACAATTAATGCAAACAGAATTGAACAAGATTACTTACTGGAAAAGTTTTTGAGACATTTCACCCATTATAAGACTTTTAGCAAACTCAGATGTGTTTTCTAATGCCCCTAATCCAAGTGGCCTTGTTAATGTTTGACTTAGGCTGGTATTTCGTCTTTTTCGCGGTCGCGGAGTCATGTTGGCATTGTCACTTTCGCACATGAACTGATAAATAGCACTTATATAGCCAGCTATAATCGCACTAAAACTAGCTTGACATGATGCCTCTTCAGGAAGGAACTGCATAATATTCCAATTCATAACAATCTCAGGCTAGAAAAATCAAAGAAATTGATGTAGCAAACAAATACAGCGACATATTTAAAATATAATATTACTTCTTACTGTATCATCATCCTCTTCTTCTTCAGGATCTTCGTTTAAAATCCCTTCACTCTCATCCTGTTCCAAACTTTTTGGTACCTTTCCCCTGACACCAGCATGGTTTGCCTATTGAAATAAACAATTCTTAATACAATTCTTTCCATCAAACAAGTAAATTATAATTAAACTTTTTTTTTACCAGATCAAGCCATATTAAGAATTCCCAGGACTGGTTGTAAGTGATTTCAATACTATGAAACAACTCCTTATTCTTAATTGACTGTACGACAAATTCTACATAGCCTACGGCATCGGTTATGGTCCTCTTTTTGGTACAGAGGATAATTTTATTAAAATTTGCAAATATAATGATAGAACCCAGTCGCTGAAACTCAGCAATGAGCTGCACGAATAGTTTCCTCATGAACGTATACAACGTACGACGCAATGCCGGATCATAGAGTAATGCATTTGGCGAGCGCAACCATCTAAAATGATGAATTAAATATATTACTGAATGACTTACAGTTTTCACAGTATTGTCTATTTCGTATTTGCTCACCGATAAAAGTGAATGATCTGATAATCAGCAAATACATTTCTGTAGACAGTCACATCACGTAGCCATGCATTGACCATACTTCTCAATACTTTAAATGCTGCACTACAAAGTGCTGTCTCATCATAGCTAGGTATTGTTGCTGTTGTTGAATCCCCTGTTACCATTTCCTAAAAAGTGCAAAATATATAAAAGAAACATTGACAAAAACAATGTTAAAGAAACAGCATGAGACAGATACTATATAATACCTGCAAAGTTGCCTGTGGAATATTATGGAATGCACCGAATGATGCTGTACCATCTATTTCATTAATTCGATGAGATTGTAGTAAAGTATTGACAGCCAAACTTTCAACATCCAATTCTATGCATACACTTGAATAGCTTCCAGCGTTATTAGCTGCACAACTTGAGCTCTCAGCAAAATCCGTCAACAGTCTTAACAATGATATCATTAAAGTTTAAAAATTAATAGCTCAGCGAAGTAAGTTTACATATGATTATTCTTATCCATAAAATTAAATTTACCTGTTATCGTCATTTTCACTACCGCCCAAGTCAGGTCTCTCAGTTGCTGAACACCATAGGATAAAATTGTGTTTCTGCAAGTGTCTAGCGTAGAATAAATCAGCACCAAACAGTGTTTGATCAGCTGGTATATTTCCAATTGGTGCATGAAAGAATCGACTTTGTTCTGCCATCAAATCCAGAATTTGTTCCATCTTAAAGTAATGATGGATCATGCATTTTGAAACTACTCTTTGCCAATCGAGTGTATGGAATAAATTCTCAACATCTTGAACATGTGTGTTTACTAATGGGAAATCATTTAGCACCGGCATCTCGTTTGTTAACGTTGACATATCTAGACACATTGAATAATTGGAATTTAGTATTGACTCGTCATACTAAAATGGCTTATGGAATAGTGTAATACCCATTGGTGATTGTACTGCTATTAGTGTTGCTCCTTTCATTTCATTCTTATATGCTTGTAACGCATTCTGCAACGTACGCCGGATGAATCTAATATTTGTTTCTACTGTGACCTCGAATCGCATCGTTTCAGGTAAATCCTTTACGCAACGTTCCAGATTTTTCTGAATCCTGAAATTAATAATTCATTATTTTTCGAAATACTTCGAACGATCTATAATACATCTTACATCGCATTCCTCTCATTAATGTATAACGTATTCATATTAGGCATCTGATTTGTTTTGACTGTGTCCAATACAAAAACATGGCCTTTTTTGGTTGGTCCTAAGAATAGACCCCACATTGCTTTTTGACGATTTGACGTCCAATGGTGATACAGGAAAATGTGTTTCATAACTCCTGGCTGAAACAGATAATATCGAATAATCTATTCTTAGTTCTAATTTAAATAATTAGCAATTTATTGATCCGCAAAGATATAAATGTTTTACCTCCTTCAAATATGGTTGCGTAGAGATACTTTTGAATGTTAATTGCTCCAAATTGAAAGTATCTGCGCCGTCCTTCATTTGGAGTGCTTCATTTCTGTCCACAGTGCAGATGCATCCTAATTGTAAAATCACTCGAAATTCTAAAGTCATTTGCGTTTCATATATTCCTTCAACGTCTGGTTTTGATAAGTCCTCCATCAATTCCCTTTTAAGGTGATACAAAATTAGTAATAAGTATTTGATACTGCATACTATTATTGTCACAATTTTCTCGCTCTTCCACCAGGAACTTACTGACTGTGTTTTCTATAAAGTTCTTCAGGCACGGTATATTGATAGAGATGATACACTTTACGCGATCGAGGTAATATCCTGGAGCATTTTTTCCAAGAATCACTCGGTCCTGGATCAGGCCTCTCTTTGCGACTATTTATGTAAAATATACGAGGCACAATAAGTCGCAATTGATGTAGCTCCGTGCCAACAAGCGCCCATAATCTGAAGAGACCCGGTTCGTTGGTTTCTACAATCTAATGTACGATATTCATATGTTAATTGTAAAATGATTTTTTTGAAAATTTGTATATTGTACCTGAACTATTTGCCAAGGCGTCTCGAATAATATTCTTTGAGCTCGTTTCAAGAAGCCACTAACAGTAGCGATGTTATGATTTCGTACAACACCTCCAGTACCTCTACTTTTCTCTACATCCGTTCTACTTCGTTTGCTCTTTCTTTTTTCACCTCTTTGCTTAGCTTGAAAAGCCCACTTCTTTTTATGGTACGCTATCCACTCTTGTTTTTCTTCCTAAAAAGAGCATATAGATTGAGATTGGTTTCTATCGTGAGATATTGATATTTAGTACAAATAATTTCTTACTTTTGTTTTTCCCATAGGAGGCGGTGGACCTAAAACCTCCCTCCAACTCTTATTATTGTCTTCCTCCTCCGCTGATGGAATTCTTTTTCTTTTGTTCACGGTGCACATCGGACGTCGGAAGTTATTAGATACCCCAGCTATATCTTCAATGTCTCTTGGTTCCTCATTCGCAGTATTACTATCAGAAGTAGTAGGCTTGGGTGTCACGCTGAATAATTCCGTGATTGTACGTTGTCTTTTGACATCATTTTTCTCGAGCAACTTTTTATGCAACCAGTCCGGATGCTGTACTCTTGGAACAGGATTCGCGAGCTGGAATAATAAAAATTTACATCAGCCATCAGATCAACAGATCCAGAGATAGGACTTGAATAATTCATTGTTGTTTACCCCTTGCATCGCTGCTGGTATGGTGATAATCTTTTGAATTACACTACCGAGTCTCTCAATATAGTAATTCCAATCTAATATATGACGTATATCAAAGTTTTGCAAACTCGAATCTTTTAGCCATTTACGTAAGTAATGTTTCTTTACGCTGGGCTCCGCCTGAAATATGGCAACTGGTATTGTTCTGTAAAGTAAAGATGAAATGCAATCTTCAGCTGATATCATTGGAACAGTAGGCGGAAGGTCAAAGATGTTATCTAATTTACCGTTCCGTAATCGGAGAATCTTGAGGCTTCCTGGATATTATAAATTTACAAGCTAAGCCTGCATCCTTGACCATCTGATCTCCTAAAAACTCAGCCAATCTCTTTGCCGTTGTAATGGACGTCGATTTCTGTCCTCCGTAGTCCTCCAACTTGCGGGACATTGATTTATTTTCAGAGATCAGATCGAATAGATCAGAATCCGGTATGTCTGCACCCTACAATTTATCTTGGCTGATTAAAGTCTTCTTATATTTAAAACTAATATTTCATTATAACTATTCTCACTTTACTGTACAATACATCGAGCCAATAGTCAGCAATTTTAGCAACAGACGCGTAACATTCTTCCAAAGTTTTTCCCTTGAGAAAGGCTTCGAATACTGACGATTGAAAGATTTTTATCAGTTGAAGCTCGCCTCTTCTCTTCACTTCGAAACCTTTTAATTCGGCTAAAGATCCATCAAAATTAAAAACAGCATAACGTTTCTTCAATCTTTTGCCCTCCTCTTTTGCGGCGGGCAAAACCATTGCCAGATAAGGACCGTCAACTTCGAAGAAGATTGAATTTTCACTTCTGATTGTGTAATCTAGATTCTCCGGATCCACCAACTCGTGATAAACATCATTCGTGAATTGATCCTGCCAGAGTTAATATTTATCATATCCAAATACTGATACAAATTAATTAAGATTATAAGAAAGTATAGCAGACAGCATACCTTCACCATAAAGTTCAGTACGGCATTTGGATATGAGATGTTGATCTTTGGTTTTTTTGAATGTTCACTCTTGATAATAACGTTATCAGGAAATGATGCTGGGAGTACACACCAAATACCATCAGTGTCCAATTCCAGAGGTCGTCCTACTTGTTCGATAATTTCTCTAGCTTTCATAATAATAGTAGCGCCAGTATGACAGACAATTCCACCCATTTCCATACTGTGCCATCGCGAACTGTCATACAAAATTAATTAATTTTTTTTTTAAATACTTAACTACGTACAGTAATGATTTCAAGATACAAGAATCAGTACCCTTTTCTCATGACATATCCGTAAAAGGAATTCAGAATACACTTGTGAGCGAGCTGAAGAGAATCGTAAAGAACTTCTCGATTTTTTGCTGATTTTATTTCACCAGCATCACCAGATTTTACAGCAGCTGCTACTTGCTGCTTTGCTACCTTCGTTAAGCCTTTGTATTCGTATCGACGATCCCTAAAGGCTCTTACAGTATCCACATAGAATGAATTTTCCTTCTGACAAACAGTTTGCGTTCTCTCCTCCATTTTTGTTATTTTGGGTTTTTTGAAAGCTTTTCTACAATAATCGGTTAATCTTTTCTTCTCGTACATAGCCTGTTCCTCGCGCGACAGCTCATGAAAAGCTCTACGAGGTCCGTCAGGAAATTTTGGAGGAAACCTTTCCATTTCTAATTGTTGCTGTATTCTTTGAAAATCACCGTAACCAGCAGCCACTAAAAAGCACAGTATGTCAGTAAAAATTCGTCGGGAAGAGATTTTGATCTTCCGTTCCTATAACTTACTGTACTCTCCTCTCCAGGTCCACTTCATATTCCTCTGACATAAGGCACCAGGCTTATTATAATCGCAAGCTGCACATATAGTTTCATTAACCATAGCAGATGGTTGTAATCTGTTAGTTAATATAATATTAGGATACATGGCGCCTACGTCTAAATGATAAATCACGGGATGTTCAAGTCTGAATGGCTGTGTTTTTAGAGATACTAATTTTGCTTTGATCTCCTCAATTACTTCCTGCAGATTTGTTACCGTACTCAATGGAACTTTTTCCTCCTCCTCTATAGCATGTTTTAAGGTGCTTTCGATACCGTCTATCAACTGATCCACTGCTTTTGGTATTATTTTGAAACGGCAAGGAATATCGGCACGAAATACACCAGATTCGAGAGCCTCTACATGACCTCCTACATATGTTTCTTGGTCCAAAACGTGTCCATCCTTTGTAAGCTTATTTAATTCAGTCTCTTGCTTATTTGGGAATATAATATTTGCGTGGAAAGCTTCAACCATGAGAAGAGATTCGCAGAGAGTGCCAGATCCTTTACGGAGTACCTCATCCGGTTCCATAGGAATAATAGTGCACAGTGCAAAAATAAAAGGATGCACGTATTGGTGGTAAAGATAAAATGTCGCCACTGCATCGGACACTGAATAATTTGCTAACATTTCGGGTTCTTCCGATGCATATCTACACATATCTTCTGGATCAACTTCTATTGGATTATAACGTAGCTTTGCTTTGGCTACGGCTTTTAGGCCGTGTGATCCAACCGGGAGATACGAGTCACGTTTTACCCACCTGGTTTAAAAACAACGTATTGATTATTGTTCAATAAAGTTAACATTCTATTTCTAAAGTATATGTATGATAATATACGCACGACAAACAGTCCATGTGAATGGCTGCTCTACTTGCATAAACTCCATCTCTACTTTGTGCGAATCCAATTCTCTCTTTCATATCCATATTGTGTACTGCTGCTCTGGTTTCCACGAATGGCCAATCGAAAAAATCTCCGTTATACGTTACAAATATATGAGGTCTTACGTCATTTATGTGATCAAAGAACTTTTGTATTGTGGCCTTTTCGTTAGGTTCATTGAAAACTGTGAAGAAACCTTCGAATTCTGGTTTTGGAGTATATTCAAAGTCTTTTATGTCCGTTGAAATGATTTCTCGATTCGTTATTAAATATCCCTGAAAATATAGTTCTTGTAGGCAGCCGTTATATTAAGTTAAACAAGTAGTTTCTCTTTTACGGAATTCCAAGCACTGTTCATTGTTACCTGGCCATCTATCATGTATGATATCATCATAATTTGATCAGTGGTTGCATCAGGAAATTTTAACGGTAGCTTTGTTGTTTCTATATCGTATGCTAATACTATGGGTTCTGGTGTTTCAATTATATCTTCTCTCCGACGAATAATTGGGGGCTCTGATCCACGAGTCTCTACTGTATACCACGCTCCAACAAATATTTTTGTATCTATAGATACGCGTACATGATGCGGCACGTCGTGTTCTCTAAAATAAAATTTATGAAAATATTAAAATTTAAAACAATACTTTAATATTTTAAAACAGAGTTGTGATCAGCTCCATTTTAGGACTGGTGACCTACCTGATGTCTAAAACACTATCCATATTGTCAGAAAGTCTTTTGTTAGTCTGCTGATCATAAGGATTTAAAGAAGATGCTAATAAATCAGTGTAATATGTGTGACTCTTTTCACGTGCTTTGTTGGCTTTTACTGCAGACGTAATCTCACGTCTTACCCTCATCAAGTTGGTCAAATTAGAGAATGACAATTTTAAGTATTTTTGTTTCAGACCAGTTAAGTGATTAGGCTATAAGAAACGACACAATGTTCATAGTGTAAAATAATACTTTCATTTGATTAGTCTTAATTTTATGAGTATAATAAGAACTGAGATATGATTTAGTAAAATATAATCAAATTACCAAATCCAGATCTTCCTTGGAAACAGTCTCAATCTTTAAAACGATTCCATTGAATTTTTTAAATAAAAACGTTGATACTTCTTCAAATGTATTCTTACGACATAAAATATAAAAGTATGGCTGATAGGGTACGGAAACTTTAAAACGTGTACCATCTTCTTCTAAAAAGTAATAATCCACTCCACTGACTAATTGTCTGTCATCTTCTATAATTTCAGTCTACAAGAAATATAAGATGCATGAAATACTCGCCATAAGTCAATATTTAAATCAATATTTAAATATCTATTTACGGAGTGCATGTTTATAAGATATCCTGTTCTCTCTTTGACATCGGTCACTCTGTGAAAGCCATATAAGGCGTCCAATCTTAAGTTTTCCTTTGCTTGCACCAATCTACCTTCTGCTGAATTTTCTCTAAAATGCATATTAGAATTAAAAAAAATTCTCTTGCGCTACAAAATCACACATACTGTACTAGCTACCTACAAACCTTAGATCTTTTAGATTTGGTGTAACATTATTTGATTTATTTTCCTTTCGATCTGGACGAAATCTTCCAGTATTCCGTAACGTCTGCATTTTTTATATTATGATATGGTTCAATGAATCGTATCCGATACAAATAACTGCATAACTTAACCTTACAATGTATAGTAAATGTGAAGTTGACGCGCTCTTATAGATTCCCGCCATTTCCCATTCTGCGAACATGAATCATGAACTACTACCAGTGATGAGTAGCTACACTACACGCGTTTAGCCTCTGCTAAAACCGTAGTGTTGAGCCCAGTTGAGCCAGAGATGAGTAGTATGCTCATCTCTGGTTGAGCATCTCCCAGCATCTCGCTACTTGTCTGTGGACATATTAACCCGTATTCAGAATTCGCTTTTATTGTTAATAACGCGCGTTGACAATTATGTGTTAGTGACTTTTAACTAACAGCGACTCGTTACTTACTTTAAGAGCTTGTTCTGAATACGGGTTATTGTGTCTTACAAGTAGTGGCAAAAGAAGTAATTACAATGAAAATCTCTCTGTATTTTTCATGTGCGATTGTGGAATAATGAAATAATGAAACAAATTTATTGTTACATATTACAGATACAAGTAAAGGTTGGCTTCGTATTAACAAACATTTTCTGCAACCTCCACGTAAGCACAAATAATTTAGAGAGGTACAAAGCAATAAAACAATTATAATAACAGATCAAAAATAATAAAGACGTATTTCATTCTCATGATTTATCTACATAGATTACATGTATTACTTCTTTCCTTTTCCTTTTTTTTCTGTATTATCCATTCCTTTTACTGTTTTATCACCCTTTTTTGCTTTGTTTTGTTTGGGGGATGAAGCAGGTTTTAAAGCATCTAATATTTCCTGCTGCTTCACCTGTGTGTCGATGTGCACCTGATCAGGCTTCTTACGATACCGACTGACAGCAGCAGGGGGTGAGAATTCAATTTCCATATCTGATGCTGATGAACTAGAGCACACTGATGCATCATCTTTATTCTTAGTAATTTTGAATTGAAGTGGTTTCACAGGTTTCTGCACAGTAGAGTCTTCGGCATTCTCACTATTAATTGGATACATAGTAACGTAGTACGTTCCATCCTTTCTATGAACATGCAAAGTCGGTGGAAACTCAATCTCATCATTCTCGCCCTCTTTTTTCTTAATGCGATGGTTTCTTCCAATTGACTGAAAACTTCTGCTCTTAGTGGCTTTGGTTTTTTTACTCTTCGTAGGTGTTGCTGGTCTACTCTCTGAAGTAGGTTCAGAACCCGCTTTTGCCTTCATCATCAAATTATATAAGTATTTCGAAATGGCACCTGGCCTCCAACCAAGACGTGGTTTTAATCTACCTGGTGTATCAAATGAATTCCAAAGCCAACCCATATTAGCTGGCACTCTCATTCTCATATCTACACAATTCTTATGGCCATAATGAATGCCTGGCAATAATTTTCTTGCGGCTTTCACAGCTTTCATTACTCTTTTACTCACCTTAACATAGGAACTTGTCGTTCTAGAATGATCACCGATTAGTCCTGGATAATGGATTCTGTGTTTTGGATTATGATGTTTGTTTTTATATGATCTTCCATGTTTACTCGGTTTCAGAGGAAGAGTATTTTGCAACTTTAGAGATGGTAATGGCTTCTTTGGAAGAGACAATCCTGGTGCAGATTGATCGGATCCAATGTCATCCTGCGCCCTTTTTTTTCTTCTTGATTTGCACTTTACCTCACCACAAGGACCTTTCTCAAATTCTACTTGCATGTGAAGACTCATTTCTTGCTCTTTATGTCGTTCTATCTTCTCTTCCTTTTTTTTCGTTTTCATCGAGGTAAGATGTGCATGATCTGTCAAATGTGCCTGAACCTCACGACCTGATCGTGAATTTACTAATAATCCTGTTGGTGCAACTGTATGTCCAGATACAGGAATTGAACCAGTGATAGTATGACTATTATTTTGTTTCACAGATGACTTTGTGGTAATTGGTGAAGATTGAGACAAAGGAGATGATGAAGTCAAATGGTTTTGATGTTGGGGTGCTGAATCACATAGATTCTTTACACTAGTACAGATATTTTGCTTGTGGTCCCGTTCTCGTCCGAAGTATGGACTCTCCGAAGGATCCATCAATCCCAAACCAGCCATCCCAGGTACCTTGCCAATAGAATCCACAAATTCTTGCGTTTCCTTGAACGCTCGAATTAAACAGTCGACTCCCTTACAAGGTTTCTGCGTACATATTTTACAAGTTTTTGCCTTATCGGTAGACTTCTTTGTTTGGCTCTGATCAAGTCCACAGACGTTTCCTGTGCAGAAATTATTACACGTTTAACATCTAAGATATAAAATATACAAAAATGTATTTTAGTCTCAATACCTGATTTTTCTTCACCACCACCTCTCAACCTGCGTTTACTACAACATCCTGACCCACCACTTTGTATTGATCCTGAACAACAACTACCGGTATAGCATGGGGTTGTTTCTGTACCACCATGATAATTTCTAGGAAACGGATCAAGTAATCTAGTTCCAATACATAATCCACCTGCACAATTTGCACCAGTGCATGGAAAATCTCCAGTGAAACTTCTCATGAATGTGCCCCCTGGTTTGCATACACAACTAGGATCAGTTTGATCTGCCAGATCTAGGAAGTCACCCTTATTGTCGTCTTTCAGTAACAGTTTTCCAAAGGTAGTTGTGTTAGGAACCAATCCGCCCTTTATATCCGCCTGATGCGGATTAGTAACTGTAATGTTTTTAGAGCATTGGTCCTTTTCAATTAATTTCTCACATACGGGTATAAGACTCATAATAGTTTCCACTTTTGGAGTCGGCTTTGTTACCGCTACTTTATATTCATCCGGGACACAGATATTATGCTCAGCAATTTTTTTCCTTTCTGTTAATTCCTCCTCTGTAGGTAAAACTCTTGTACATTGAAATTCTTTCATAGATTCAGGAGTTTTGAATAATAGTAGTTTATCTCGTACAGCAAAGTGAGTTGCAATGCTTTTTCCATAACATGATAATTTCAAGAATATTGCAATAGTTCCTGATGGTTTTCCACGAACATCCACCATGTTATATGTATTTTTAATGGTGTACGGTTTAGGTAAACGGTCAATATCATTCATGGCCATTGCTACTTGGTCGCAGAGACAACCGGAAAGGGGCACTTGGGTACCGCAAACAGGAACTTCCTCTTCTTCAGGATCACAAATCTTCTTGGTTACTACTTTATGTATACTGACTTTCATTGGCCTTGTTTGCATTAACTGCACCAATTCTCGTGGTTGTTTAGAAAAGAGACATGATTTACCGGTATTGAAATCAATGGCTTCATCATCGTTCTTTGGCTGAATATTTACTGTAGGTACCTTTTCCGATTTTCTTTTTGAAGCGGCAAAATCATCTTGGGCAATTTCAAATATTGGAAAATCAATAAATTTTAATCGTACGCTTAAAGGTGTTGTTCCCACTTCTGTCAGCTTATCGGAATTCAGGGTCATATGATCCACAAGCAATTCTAACATGTAAATTTGCTCTTCTTTTGAACCAAAGCAAGTCCCCATGGCCATCTTTTTAGATTTAGTCAAAAAACGCTAATAAAAATTATCTACTCGTAATGAATTTTTCGACAACATTTCGGAAGAGATTTTAGGTAAATGTAAACGTTAATTTAACATTGCTTTTTGACATTGTCTCATGACATATAATTTATGACTATGAATACTTGTGCTTGCTGGTTGCCATGGAAATCAAGAAATAATGACGGAAATATTGTCGCACATGAAAAATTGTTCAAATAACAGCAATTAAAATATTGATACAAATTTATTATCTAGTCATCATTACAAAAAGTTATTCTACTCGATGCTATCTATCTCTTCTATGAAAGTTTTACATTTCGTTTTTAAAATCTTGACGGCCTCCAAGAAAAGCGCACTTGGAGGCAATGCACCTACCGATTCTACGGTAACTGAAATGTATAAAATATAATTTACATTGTGAATATTATATATTACATTATTTGATTTCTGCCTAATCTTACAAGATCAATGTTTAGAATATATTGTAGCATAAGGTCACTGTATACTTACAAATAAAATGATCCGGTACTCGGCTCAATTGTACACAATCTTTAAGGTCTTCATAACGAAATACATTGCGAGAACAGCTGTCGTAACGGGGATCTTTAACTTTTGCTTCACGGTTTTCAATTCCATTTTTCTTATTCTTTACTATTTCTATTACACCAGGACTGAAACAATTTTTCAGTAGTTCCGCCATTTCACCCTTTACTGGTCTAGTTAATTTGATATCTGGTAGTAATCTGTATGTAGCAGTTGCTAAAATAAAAAGTTTTGTTTGTAAAATAGAGTTAAGAATTCCAATTACAGTAGATATAACACATTTTATACATACAGACTGGAGAGAATTTTGCGTGGTCTTTGCCTATTCCTTTGACTGCATGCATAAATGCATGGATTTCCTGACCAGGACGCATTTTGCACACCAAAATATCACCCTCTAACATACCCAATTGTTCCTCTCCTTTTGGATAAAGTTCCGCTTGCCGGCCAATTGGAGTCCACTTAATATCTCTGCTGTAAACTATCAAAAAACTAGTAAGACTGACATCCTGTGTATCACTCACTGTATAGTACACATTACCATTATTGTTACGATAAATATCATCAGGTCGTCGAGAATCCTTAGGAGCTTGAGGATTCCATGTACATGTCACTTTCATTTCGTATCTTAATGTATCTTGATCACTGGGTTCTTCTTCTTCATTTCCAGGATTAGAAGGATATTCAAAGAGTCTTGGATCTGCACGCAATGGCAGCAATCCTATTCTATAAAGCAACTAACATTAACTATACTAAAATATATCAGTAACAATGATATGAAGGTACCTATGATAAAATTTACCTATGAGCAAGCACTTCGTCTTGTATTAAACTGGTGTTATTTAATATGAATACTTTCTCTATAGCCATGGTTGGTACTTCACTTAAAAGAATTCTGCGAAATGCATTTGCCAAAGCTGCAGAACACCCAATTAGATCAAACTCGAGTTCCCTTCCATCCTGTGACTCTTTAACAACACGTATTTTTAGGTTCTAAAACAGTAACAAAAAATATTACTGCAAAACACAGTAGCTATAATTATGTTTCAAATATATAATTCGATTGAGATAGTACCTCCTTAAACTTTTCGAAATTCCATAGCTCATTAGCTTGAAGGTTAGAGTATTCAGCAGCCTGTAAGATGACTTAAACTTTTATAATTTATACATCAATAATATTTCTATATGTTTCTGTTTCATGACTCACGTTCGGCACTCCATATTCTTCTAAAATTACGCGATGTACGCTAGAATTTTTCTCCATTGTGGCTTGGGTAACAGGTTAGATTATTATTTAGAGCAACGTGTAGGTCGACACAAAGAACCGTATACTAATGACAGATGACGCCATATATCATATATGACGTAATTTGTCCAAAAAACTCTTGTTCAATGTTATTTCTTAAGTTTTTCCAATTTTTATAAAAATGATCTTGCACTTTACGACTTTGTAAGTTTCATAAAATTATTTATACATTTAGTATAGTGGTAGGGGTAGAGTAATGAGAATAACATTGATATAAAAGTAACTTGGTTTATTTAAAAGAAAACTGCAATGATCCAGCACTTGAAACTCAATTGACTTTAATAACTGCGACCGAATAAAGTATAGAATTTAGGCTTCCTGGTACAACTTGGATGAATACACTTAAGAGTGTTCAAAGAAGCAAATTTTGGTTGATCAAAGGGTATACACAAGCCCTTTGCACCCATTGCTGGAGCTCCTGGTTCCTCACCTACATCCTCTCTGCAATCATGAAAATTAGAGTAACATTTATTTTAGACAATTTGCCATTCTGAGATTAAATTTCAGAATATTACCTTGCGCTGTCAGCTTTAATTTGATCTTCACAAGATATTTCTCCACAGAAGGGTGCTAGTATTAAGTGCTTTTTATCCAACGATGTACAAAATTCACTCCACTCATTCGTTTCCGTAATATGTTCCTTTAACTCAACTGTAGCTCTATGATATAGGCATAAAAATGAATATATTAAAGTCTTATTAGGGAAACCCCCAAAAACATGCAACTTTACCTATTTAGTAAGAACGAATGTATTTCATCAAGCAACTTCGATACACTGGAGAACACATCGGCTCGCGATGTTACCAGGCGTGCAGAATTATCCCTTCGAACAAGGGTAACTTGTTTTTTTTCCAAATCTTTGGGACCTAATTCCACCCTAACAGGAACACCTTTTAGTTCCCAATGATTAAATTTCCATCCAGGGCTATAATTATCCCGATAATCCCCCTTTACTCTGAGAGTGCCATTTTTCTTCAATTCATCCTCGAGCTTGGCACACTCTGAGAGAAGATTCTCTCGCTGCTCTTGAGTAGTGGATGCTGTTATTCCACAAGGTACAATGACAGCTTGAATGGCAGCTACTTTTGGTGGTAATACCAATCCTTTGTCATCTCCATGAACCTTTAACATTAATAAAAATTTAATTTAAAGATTCCAATTATATCTCACTCGTACATGCAAAAATAAAACACTGAATATACCATTATCATGACTCCTATAGTCCTTGTAGTCATTCCCCAGGAATTCTGATAAACAAATATCTTTTCGCCACTTTCATCAGCACCCTCGACTTCAATATCAAACATCTTTGAGAAGTTTTGTCCTAGATGATGACTCGTTGCTCCCTGAATAGCTCTTCCACTAGCAGAGATAAACGCTTCTACTGTAGTAGTGTAATCACCACCAGCAAATTTTTCCTTTTCTGTTTTGCGACCCTTGATTACTGGAACTGCAAGTAACTCTTCATATACTCTAGCATAAAGTTCTAATATATCCAGAACCTCTATATCAGCTTCAGCTTTTGTAGCAAATGCACTGTGACCTTCTTGCCATAAAAATTCACGTGTACGTAGGAATGGTTGTGGATGTTTGAATTCCCATCTCTGTGATTTGACATATATATACATTACAATAATAGATACCTATAAATTAAAAGGATTTAATATCAAGCAGTAAATACTTACCACCACATTATTCCACTGATTAAGCTTGAGAGGAAGATCGCGATGTGATTGCAACCATTTTGCATATGCAGGATACATGACAGTCTCGGACGTAGGACGAATGGCAATCGGTTCAGCTAAATTAGATTCACCGCTTTTGGTAACCCAAGCAACCTCCGGCGCAAAATCTGCGACATGGGTCTTTTCTCTTTCCAATACTGCACGACTGACGAAGATGGGGAAGTAACAATTCTGTACACCCCTTTTCTTGATTTCAGTATCTATGAAATCCTTTATCACATCCCATATGGCAAAACTCCATGGGCGGAGGATATAACATCCCGAGACGTCATAGTATTCTATCATTTCCCCCTTGGTAATTACTTGTGAATACCAGTCGGAAAGATTTTCAGATTTTTTTGCCTCCAGACCCAACCTCGTACCAGTCTTGAGACTCCGAACATCTTTACTAGTAGATTCCTTATTTGGCTTCTCAAACATTTTATTAGATTTGTCTACCTTCTTCGAATTGCTTTCAGGCTTCTTTGACTCTTTGACTAGTCCTGCAGATACTGGGGGCTTCCAATCTTGGCCGGTTTCTGTTTTGTACTTACTCTTCAAGTTCAGAAGAATCTTTATCTCTTGGTCAATAATATTTTTTTCTGCTTTTGAACTTTTTAGTTGTCTTACTTTATCCCCCTGCTTTGTGATCTCTTCATTAATATCATTACCTTCGGTTTTTGTAGGTTTAGCAGGTGCAGCACCTGGTTTCCAATCCGCACCTGTTGCAGCTTTGTAATCAGCTTTAAGGTATAGCAGTGTCTTGATCTCTTTATCGATCGTGGCTTTATCAGCTTTTGATGTCTTCAATTCTCTAACCTTATCACCTTGTTTTGTGATCTCTTGTGATATATCGTCAGCCGTCCTCATGTTCTCGTTTGGCAATGGAACACTGGCATCAATGGTTGAAACTCCAGCAGGTACACTGTTAGGTGGACTTGATGTCGGCTTCCACTCCTTGCCTGTAGCAGATTTGTAGTCAGCTTTCAGAGCTAAAAGAACTTTAACCTCTTTATCGATACTGGATTTATCAGCTTTTTCTGATTTTAATTGTCTCACTTTGTCTCCTTGTGCGGTGATATCGTTAGATATCTTCTCCGATGAATTATTACTTGCATCTGATTCTATTGGACTCACAGGTACAGCTGTAGGTGCACCAGGTTTCCATTCTACTCCAGCAGCTGCTTTATAATCATTTTTCAAGGAAAGGAGAACTTTGACTTCTTGATCTATCACTTTCTTATCTGTCTTTTGAGCTTTCAATTGTCTTACTTTGTCTCCTTGTTGTGCTACTTTTTCGGATAATTGTTGTATATTATCGTTTGGAGTAACTGCACTTTCTGATCCTTTCACCACTGCACCTGGCTTCCAATCTGAACCTGCAACTGTCTTGTACTCTGCTTTCAAACTTAAAAGAATTTTCACTTCTGCGTCAACTATTGCTTTTTCAGCTTTTGCTGCTTTGATTTGTCGTACTTTTTCACCCTGAGCAGTGATTTTAGCGCTCAACTCTTCAGCGTTATTACTTTGAATCTAAAAGAAATGGAAGTATCTGAATTAAAATATATTAGGCCCCAATAATTTGGTTAGTAAAAAATGTTTTCCATATTAGCTAAATTTCTCAGTACCGTATATGAATATTACTTAGTTCACAAAACCATACGGTGACAACATCAAAATCACGTAGTCGATAAAACGATTCAAAATGTACACTGCTCTGACAGAAAGTAAAGTTTATGCTAGAGAAAGGACATTCGTGATCCCCACTCCTTTAGTGAAAAGCAATGGAGAACGGAGTAGGGACCAGTAGAAATTGAAAGCTTTTATTACAAGCACTCTATGTATCTATATGAATACCTCTGATTGAATCACAACCTGCAGGTGGCTATTACCCAACAATGAACTTACCTGTTTTCCTGTTGACTTAGCAGTAGTGGCGACAGATTTAGTGGTGGCTGTGGAAGTACTAGTGTGTCCATCAGGTATATTGAATAAAATAAGGGGTTGTTCACGAGAAGAATGAGGACTAGCAGGCGCAAAAGGTACATCACAACGGAAGAAACCCTTTCTTTGCAACTGGATTATTTCACCTTTAGTGACCCTTTTCAATTCTGATTCACCCAATATCTTGACCTCTTTCTAAAAATAGTAAAAAAACTGAATCAATTAAAAAAAGATATAAGCAATATTATCTATTTCAAAAAGAACTTACTCTGGTATCTTTGGCAATAAAGTCCTTAAAGTCATCGTCCTTTCCGAGGACTGGCTTACTGATAATATGGTCAAAATATACTGCATAACAAGGTATCAATTTATGATCTTCGTTATTAGCGTTTTGCTTATTTTCTGGTGAAGCCAACCAAGTCAACTTTAATGTATTCTTATAATCTTTATTGTCGAGATTAAGTTTTGCATCTACTCCTGTTACAACGCCCTTCTCTTTTTTTATTTTCTTAATTAATAGATTTCCCCAGTTAATGAAGGTCGCATTTTGACCCTCTACTAACGCTTCAGCATCCTCTTTCTCAATAAGAACAGTTGGTGCTACCCGCACCTGTTTAGTACCTTTCTCAGGATTTTTTGGATGATTCTGAACAGTCAACCATCCTTCGGTAGCACCCTCGACATTAACAGGTACAATTTCATTCTCATTCAAACCGGTGTACCTGAGAAATGACACCAACCATTTAATTAATAATTTCAATGTTTAATGACAGTGAAAAATTATACCATATTTCTTACATACCTGACAACAATGGGATCGATGACTTTCTTGTTGAATGACCAAATTTTATCCCACTCCATAAAGACAACAGACTGAGAACTTCCTTGTGCTATTATAAATTGCTTTAGAGCTTCTACTGTCATACCCCTTCTCAAAATACCACGTACAGTAGGGAAACGAGGATCATCCCATCCATCTACTAATCCTTCCGCCACAAACCATGTGAGCTTTCGTTTAGAGAGAACAGTGTTGGTCATATTCAGTCGTGAGTATTCCCAGATGTGAGGTCGACGTAATTTAAGAGCATCTATTAGCCAGTAAAATTGAACATCTCGATCATGATACTCAGTTGTACGTAGAGTATGTGTTACTCCTTCAACAGCATCCACAATAGGACAGGCAAAATCGTATGTGGGATATACCCTTTATAAAAAATAAAAGTACCATTAATATCTGATACATCAAATATAAAGTACGTATTTACATGAAAAACTATACATACTTATACTTTGTCCCAGTACGAGGATGAGGCTCTGGCTTACACCTGTAGATAGTTGGATCTCGCATGCAACCATTTGTCGACTGATAATCAATTTTCGCCCTGACACAACATTCTTGCCCTTTTGCAGTACCTTTCTTCATTTCCTCCCATAACTTTAAATTAGTTTCGATTGCTGGATAATGTACAAAGCAATTAAAACACAAGATGCACTCATTGTTGATTAGGTAAAAATGTGTCCTGTGGACTTACAAGCGTCTCTGTTCGATGATGGTAATCTTTGCTCACGTTGCTCTTTCATAACCGGAGCTGGCGTATCATCGACAAATGCTTTGCCGTTCTCAATTAGTTGTTCACAGTACTCGAGCATCAAATCAAAATAATCTGATGAATGTGTGAAACGATCAGGTTTTATTTGCAACATCGCTAAATCCTCCAAGATTGCTTGTTCAAATTCCACTGTTTCTTTTGCAGGATTCGTATCATCGAATCTCATAATAAGCTGCCCGTTAAATGCCTCTGCATAGTATTGATTTAAAAGTGCAGCCTTTGCATGTCCAATATGTAAGAAGCCACTAGCCTCAGGTGGAAAACGTACAACGACCTATAACATGAGACATCGATATAAATAAAATATTTTGATCTGTAGATATTGTGAGGGAATGAACTTACTTTACCCATTTCTGCCCCAGGAAGTTCAATATACGTTCCTTCCTGTTTCCTAGTTTTGCTACCATGTGAGGCATTACCATCTTTATTGCTTTGTTTTCCCCCATTATCAGAACCTTTTTTAGAGATTGATGTTTTATTCTTTGCAACGTTTTGCAGTACTGCTTGTGTAGTAGGCATTGATTGGATTTGAGTATACCATCTACTAATATGAGGATATTTATTAAAACCCTCTGAAGGTTGTAGATCGTACAGCGCAGAAAAAATTGCAATATCAGCAATGGTGAAATGTTTAGCTACCAGCCATGTCTTTGGAGCTAATGCATGATCTAAGTATGTCAAAGCATCAGAAGTAGATGATTTTAGAGATCCTATTGCAAAGGACAACCAATGATCCACTTCAGTTCTCTCAATCATATCATTTCCACCTAAAATAAAATTTAAAAGTTGATCTTTTAACTAACAGCATTATATAATGAATGATACGTATAAAACTATTTCCTTTACATAGCATCATTCTGAATCTTAATATCTTATCATTTTTATTAGTATTATGATACTATCATGCAGTATAATATTATAATCTAGTTTTTTTTTTCAAAGATATCCAGATATTGGATATACTTAAGTTAAAATTTATAAATTTATATAAGACAAAATATACCATATAGTGATGTATCCACGGTTCGTGCCAAGTAACGACTAACATCATTGTTAGTCTCGCCAATCAACTTATCATCCGCATTAAAGAACTGAAGAACTGCAGGTTGTTTAATATTATTAGACCAAGAGATTGCAATTTTAATTTTTCCTCCAGATTCTAATACTTCTGTCGTAAGCAATGCACCTAAAAATTGACCGGTTATAAAATTGAAATCAATCTACGACAAACTTGTCTTTCCTTTATTTTTAAACAATTAATAGAGTTGACAGATTATGTTATAATATACAAGCGAAATAAGCTAGAAAATCATAACATTAACGATTTATGAAATTCTTGTTTAAAACATATATATAAGTGATCGTCTAAAAATATAAATGATGAAATTATGAAGTAAACGACCGGCTCAATATTGTCAGGATTATATATCATTTAAATAGTAGCAGATGGTTTAAAAACAATATTCAAGTAAGAGACATACCCACAGGAGGATTTTTAGAACTTGCAATAAGCTTCAAAGCCATTTTAAGTCACAATTATTTGTATTCTACGGAATCAAGTACAAGAAACACATGTACCCAAATATAGATACAATACAGCGAATGTGTCTCTTTGAGGTTAGAATTGACAACTTGGAATACACATGACGTATATCCGGTAACCATGTGTTCAAATACAACTTTGTTGGAAATGAGCTTTTCAGAAATAGTAACACTTAGGAAAAGTCAACATATTATTGGCTGTTGTTCAACTGGTATTTTTCAAGAACCAATAGCCTACATGTTTTCGCCAATTAGTAGTGCTTGAGAAGAACTTTCTATTGTGGCTGTCAAAGGTATAAACATATCTGAGCACTGTCAAATATTGTTTATCATCATCAGTTTAATTTATAATTTGTTATTTATACAAGAAAGGGCTTAATTAACTCTGAATAGTTGAGGAAAACCGAAAATGATGCCCGGTCGGCCACCTGTACCAGGTAAATATTATGCATTACAAGATCTAAAATGTATTAGAAATTCTAACCCTATAATTCTTTTCTTACATTAAATTTGTTCAAGCTTCTGTTCCAGAAAATCCTTTGGGACTTTCCTGGCATGATAGTGCTTGGATCCCTATGCTCAATAGTAGTAACATAATGGACTATTTTTCCGAAAGAAGTAATCCATTTTATGATAGAACTTGCAACAATGAGATCGTTAAAATGCAACGTTTAAATACAGATCAGCTGACGTAAGTGTGAAAAATATATAAACATTATATTAGATAAACATGACAATTAATTCTTCTAGGAATATGACAGGATCGGAGTACATCTTACTTCATGTACAGGAACCTATTTTATATGTAATTAGAAAACAACATCGTCATTCAGCTACCCAAGTTACTCCATTAGCAGATTACTATATTATTGCAGGAGTGGTATACCAGGCACCAGATTTAGCATCAGTTGTTAATTCTAGATTGGTATAACATTAATTAATTAAAATTACAGACAACATATTTTACATATTATATTATTTACTTTACTTTTTAGTTATCCACAGTACATCATTTACAATCAGCTTTTGAAGAAGCTAGCTCCTGTTCTCGATATCACCCCAGTAAAGGATATTCATGGGATTTGAAAAATGGGAAAGCGTTAACTGCTAAAAAAGAGGTTCCTGTTAGAGAAGAACCTAGCTCGTTATTCCAGCGTCAGAGGGTTGATATGTTACTCGCAGAACTCACACGCAAATTTCCCTTACCAGTTCCAAAGCCTATTCAAACCATTACTGAACCTTGTATGTATAATATTTTTCTTAAATGACACTGAATTAATCTTTTTCGATTGTATAATGGTTTCATTTCTTTCCAGCTGTGGAAATCAAACAAGAAATAAAGACTGAAAAGAAGGACATGAAACCACCCCCAGAAAAGAAACCGAGGATAAATTAGATTTAATGACTTCCTATTACATTTCTTTTTTTATTTCGTAGAATAATAAATACCTACTTTACACAGCATGGTAATTATGCATCATTTCTTCTTACACCAGGGGCAATCAGGATTATCAATAAACTTCTTATTAATTTTTGGATTTTGTGGTATTTTCACAGGAGTATATTGGCAGTCACTTCGTGGTACGCCATCACAAGGATGTCGATTAGGACACTTTGGAGGACGTTTTGGAGGAATTGGCGGTGTGCATTTGCGACGGCAAATTTTTGTTCTTTTTGATAAGCGTGGTGCCGACTAATAATTCCAAATGTCCAAGCCGTAAAATTAAACAAAGAAAGAAGGACAAACGTGGTAAATGCGTTGAAAATTTGATTACCGTGTTTTGCAATAAATCAGAAATGTCCGTAAAAATAGACATTTTTGTATGAAACATACCTGTATTTTATTTCTTATTAAGAAGCATCCGCGAAACATGTTTCGTGAAGGGATTAATTATAAAACTAAAAATTTCGACATTACATATATATTTTCACGATCTAATTTTGCACGGGGTTATATACACATTTTGCGACCGTACGCGCCATCATTGAAACAACGTAGAAAACATTTGAAGCGGATTTTAATGTCATTTCAATATGTAGAATGTCATTATGTCTACACAACTTTTGGATATATCTAATGAATCGTTTAACTGGATAATTAAAGACATTTTTCGAGATTCTTTTACAAAATATGACATGTGCACCAGAGACGTGTAATATCCGACATGCAATACAAGAGACCCACAGGGACATCCAATTATCCAGAAGAGAATTCATAAAAGATTTACTTCATTTAAAATGCAAAGTAATTCACTTGGTACAAGATCAGATAAAAGTATCCAACGGAAAATTGGAAATTCATTACCAAAAAGTACAAAATTAAATTAATAAAAATGTCCACGTAGACTTAATAAATAATAGTTTGCATAATCAATTTCTCGCAATCGGTTCAAGGGAAATCGAAGGGGCATCGAAATGTCCACAACGCCAAGATATTTTTTAAATTCAACAAAAACAGCAAGATCAGATGAATGGACAAACTCACTAACAGTCCCATCAACATCAACACAAGCTGATCTCCCCTATATGAAACATGTTGCACATTTACCTCCAGAACATAGAATGAACAATAGAACCTGGAAAAATTCAATTTCACGTCTGATTCCACATTGTAGTAATATTCTCTTAGCTGCCTTAATTTTAGGAATTTTAGTCTGGATGTCTTTGTTGTATGGAGCATTATTAGGGGCCTCTCTGTGCGGCCATGGACGCTCTAGCTTCCCATTAATGTCCTTCGCACATAGCCAAACAAGAAACATACTCTTTTGAATAAAAATGTACGATGAAAGTGGTGACTTCCAATTCTGAACTTTGCAAGGACAATGAGGATACAGGAATGAATTGATGGGTTATAAATAATAAAAGCGACAAGTCGATGAAATACGAGGCCGTTCAAGACTTGACACAAAATATATTAAACTCGGAATAATACATCGTGTAGCGTTTGGTTAGAATATGCGAATAGTCTTTTTCTGACGGTTCATTAAAATGCTTTTCGGCTTCGCGAGAACGAGAAGTCACACATCGTTACATATTCTTATATCATGTCACATTTTCTGGCTATGCCGACGAGACGTAGTTATGACAGATGTATTCTTGCGAATAATATCCAGCACCCCTCCTTCTTGCAGCTCACTGTTCGCTAGGATGCCGTGTGCTGTTGATTACAGTTCGATTGATGATCGTGTATTTTATGTATGATGATGGAAATAGGCGCTGAGTTCAGCCGTCCTGATATGTCTCTTATCTCTCCTCGCGGACAACCTACAATTTATATAGACGGCGAAACAAGACATAATAATGATGACTATAGCCAATCACATTCATTGACATTGAAATAGAGTATTGTTCGGTAATCACCTCCTTAACGACCCTTTACACGCAACTCTCAGGACCTGGTATGGTATTGGCAATGATGATTTCTTTCATAAGATTACGATCAGCCTTGAAGCTGATGGGTTCCCAAGATTTCGCAGAAAATGGATTCAGCTGTAAGTTTCCGGTCAATTTTATGCGTGGCAATTACTTAACGTGAGGAAAACACGCTACGGCGGTCAGAATAAAGAAAGAAGAAAACTCACGCTACATCGGTTCGTTTGAAGGCCCTGTTTGTGAATGTCATACGGCGCAAATAAAGTGTCCGGTCTAACCGGTAGAAACAGTTGCGGTTCCCGTTTTATTTTCTCCTGATCTAAAATCAAAAGCGTTGACATATAGTCGATTATTGCGCTAATACGTTCAGTCAGAATATAACAGTCTTATTGAATTAGTGGCGTTACACTGCAAGATTTTACCTTGTGGGGACTGTATAATATCAGGCTGATTATTAAGAGCATAATCAGTGACCTGTTTAAGAGTATACTCAACAAAATAGGTATGATCACCGTGAGTTACATCGAGCATAGAATTATTCCTTGAGTCCGGAGGGGTGATTATTGGTTGTTTCATATATGGTTCGATATGTACTGGCGACGTGGTGCCACGACGACGATACATCATCAGCATCACCGAGAGTACAGTTACACCCAGTGCCATTAGACATCCGATCAAAAGTAGGATAAGCGGTACCATGCTAACTCCACTATCTAAAAAGCAATTACACCGTTAAAACAGCCCAGTTTTTCAAGTCAAGAGAAAGATACAGTTTATAAATGAGAACTGACTCCATTATATTACCTGCGTGCTTCTCCGAATCCCTAAGCACTATATCTTCAAGAAGAGATACTTCACTTCTTCCTTTTGCGTTAACTGAATATGTGATCAGATAGAAGTGGGTTGCTGGCAAGAGATCCGACACAGCTATTCGGAATATAGGTGTCTCTGACGAAACACTCGATGCATTAATCCGTAAATTGCCAGTCAGAACCTCGTAAGCTTCTAAACGAAATTCTTGACGAAGTCCACCATCGTACCCAGGTACACATTCTACCTCGAGTATTTCAGAACTCTGATTCAGAGATGCCTTGATGGTACAATTATTAAGCGGACTAGGTTTGACTAGGAAAATACCAAGAGAGATAGAGACCTTATAATAACATTCAAGTAAAATATAATTATAATAATCCAAGGAAAATTCTATTACCAGCCGGAATTACTTGATAGATGCAAGGAGTTTCTTGCCTTTCAATAACGTTTCTGCCCCAACAAGTAAGAGCACCGTAATCCCTCTCAGAGACTGGTGTGTATACAAGTTCACTCATTGTTCCATTATTTCCATCGAATTTCGCTGGAGCTACTTCAAAATTTTCTCCGCTATTGTTAAACTCCCATACGAAGTCTACTTCGCTTGGATCCGCATCAACTTCGCATCGTACCTTAACGGATTCTTCAAGGGATGCGCCGATGATCGTTACTTCCCTCGTTCGGCAGACTGGTGCGACTGTTTGAAATTGAGAACTCTTAATGAGATATTCAACTTGAATCGTTTTCATTTTACGGCTTATATAACTTCGCTTCACTGCTACTCACACTGCACGCGAAGTAAAACGGTCGGACTAGTAGTTTCGCCGCGATCGTTACTAGCCAAGCATGTGTAATTTCCGGCGTTATCTCGTCCTATGCTTTGCAGAACGAGACTTTGAGTACTCATTATTACACCAGCAGAATAATTCTGCGTTAGTATCACACCCTATAAAAGGAGATACGTTCGGTATAGAGAATTCGTAACGACCTGTGACACTCCCAGGAACAATAGGAATTCTAAGGTCTATATATGTATATATAGATACTGACGCAAGTCTCGGCCAAGTCTCTCGATATATGCATATATGGTACATCAAGATACCTTCAATTATTATTATAACTATTGCTTACGTTGTGTCTCCATGTAATCTTGTGATGCTCTGGATTTGCGCGTACTTTACATTCGAAATAGACGTCATCACCTTCCTTTATGTTCTCGGCATTGAGGGTACTGCCCAGATGGAGTGAAACCTTTGGGGGAACTTTTCAATGGGGAAATAAAATATGGGAAGTTATTTCGTGTAACTTTTTAAATGCAAAATTTTATGTACTTACATACGACGTTAAGCTGAAATAAATCTTCTAGGTATGATCCTGGCAAGGATGGATTTTGTCCACGACATTTGAGAATTTTTCCGTGATCCTCGGGAACCGGTGAGAATATTAGGGTACTTAGTACCACGTTAGAACTCCCATCGTTGCTTACCTAGAGGTTACGTGTAATCGTTTATTAGATACACTCGCAGTGTACGTATTAGAAAAATTGGTATAATCGTATCAGTATACCACACCTTGTCACTATGAAATTGTACATTTCCTTCAAGCCAAAGAATCTGTGCTCGCGGATGTGATCCTGTTGCCTCACAAGTCAATGAATACTCTTTCTCGGCCTCCATTACCGTTGGCTTTGATAATATTTTCACAGACAATGGTTTTACTGTAACGCGAAATAAATGTCGTTCCCTATATACATCAGGTTTCGTAATGGTGTCGCGAAGACGTAAAAGCACATCACAAGAATTGAGTATCCAATAACGGTCAAATGGTTTTCCAATAAAACACTCGGAAAGCGTGCTTACGATAAACGTCCAGGAGTACAGTCTTTTCCAGGGGGGCCGTAAGATTCGTGTTCGTGGCACGACATTTGTACGTGGTATTAAGGTGCTCCCTTCTCAGTTGAGGAACAGTCAACTTGCTAACGATAATGTTGTGTTCCGTTTCCTGAACACGTCCCTCAACTTCTTTCCCGTTTACGAACCAAGTTATTGCCGGAGTTGGTCTTCCTGCAAGTTAACAGTATCCTCATGCAGGAGTGGTAGTATTCGTAGTAGTTGGTAGCAATAGCATTAGTAGTTTTGTGGGGTCGTTTTTATAAAATAGTTTTATAAGAAAAAGCAACGACTATGACTGGATTACCTCCTCGTACTTCGCAAGATAGACTAAATTCGATGCCAACTTGATATGGACCTAGAATCGCTTCAGCCTCGACTCCGGATCCGTCGTAAATGAGAAGTTGATGCGGCGGAACTAGGAGGGAAGTTTGAAATGAGAAATCAAAAGGAATATTTTCATCCTATAAACTTCCTCCCATTTTTTTTTTTTTAAGAACCATCTTACCGATCACTGTCAAATTGACTTGAAAGTTTCTCGTCGGAGATTTCTTGAAGTCTACGCGACATCTGTAAACACCCTCGTCCTCCAGTTGAACAGCTGTCAGCGTCAAGGTAGCTGGTGTTGTATTTGCTCTAAAATATGCTCTAGGTCTAACAGCACTGCTGTCTGACCAATTTAGCGCTTTATTAAAAGCTCTTCCACGAACGTCGAAACTGCGGAAAAAATATTCCCCATAGACGGTTGAAGTTATGAATTTGAAGCGGTGAACTTATATCGAGTGAAGGTTTATCAGTTACCTGTAAATAGGTTTGCTTTCGGAATCGCGAAACCATAGCATCATGTAAACCCGATCTTGCCGGGTGGACGGTACAATGTCACAAGGCAAAGACGCTTCACGTCCAAGGACTGCGTTTACTTCGATAGTGGATACTATAATAATATTTGACGTTTAAAATATTCATTGTATGATATCTATATGGAATTTACTTTATACGTATCTATACAAAAGTTAAAGAATTTATACATACTTGGATCGTCATCTTTGTCCCAGTTTCCACTGGCATTCACGTAGACGACTATGGCAAATATATATCCGCTGAGCACAAGTCTCACTGCAAAAAATGCCAATGTTCCTACTGCCATTCCAAATTGAATTATTTTGTGCAGAGGTTCAACGATCAAATCCACTTGGCGCATAACACCTCGGGACAAGCTAGACTTTTCCGATTTATTGTCATTCCACGCTGATATTTTCGGCACTTACTATCATCAGCGATGGATCCACTTCATTTTAAGATAGTACTGCGAACTTCACGTTAAAGCTTGCTTTATATTATTTGCGTGATAAAAACACGATAAATCAAGAGATTCAAGAAGACGGAACCACAAAGAGCAGCGCGTAGTAATGCAGTACAAATGAGATGACCTCACCAAGGTGAAGACTAAACGTTAACGCGTGACATTCCTTCACGAGTCTCGCCGGAAATAATCCTCCCTCAAAGTCGCCGGCGGCCTCGTAATAAGTTACAAAAGTTTTGAAAATTATTGTCGTTCCAGGTTAACGAGGTCGAGTACAGTAGTTCTTTTAAGATAAAACAACGGCAATCACGAGGGTCCTAGAATGTAATCCTCGAGGGTCGAATTTCCAGAATCCGTGTATCTTCCACCGGAATATTACATGCGCAGCCTACACGTCACAAAACCACTTTAAACTACACTTTGGCATGAATAATATGAATTAACCCTTTACCCTCCAGAGACGACTTTCAATCGCCACTTGGTTTAATGCAGCAACTCGAATGACGTGTCAGAGACGATAATAACTGTTTATATTTTTTGGCTGAAATTCAAAGCCTTGAATGCAATATCGACAGGGGTAGCCATCGGGGCGCATTCGGTTTCCTTGTAGAAAGCGCAACACGATAAGCCTTCGGAAGGCGGTAAATTCTATCAAAAGAGCCTCAAGTTTTCCGTTTCCCCTAGCGGCATAGACGTCGAGTGCAAAGGATTACAGTACAAGGGACACAAAACTTTGTCAAAGTGATATATCCGTATCCCAAGAAAGAAGACTCTTCTCGTATGTCACACAACAAATAACCTTATCGTCAATCACACTACGTAACAGTAATTAAAATATCTTTCAACACAAGGAACAATTATCACTGCCAATAATCTCATCCTAACGATTATTCACCACGTTGCATTACTGCCATGATTACTGCCAACCATCTGACACATTCGTGAAGACGTAACCTTCTCGGATTCACCCTCGCAGATGTGTCTAGTCCGAATGCACGGAAGGAGACTGAATTCGTACGTTGTCGCCCCACGCGAGGTTCTCGTCCTGCCTCGAGCGATCGATTCGCGGCCTCCACTCGACTGCCGAGACACTGACTTGTATTCCGTTACGGGAAAAGGACTACCCCCTAATAAATTCGCACACGTGAACGGCTACGAGGGTAGTACAGATCGACCGACTCGACCGAGAGCCACTGTCATCATGAGTGAAACTCGGAGACCCGGACCAGCTAGTCTCCCGAAATCGTTCCTCGTGTTTGCGTGGTGGGGTCAGTGGCAGTTCGGACTATTTGTGACACTACCACTGACACCTATAGGGCACGATGGAACTTATGCATTTCCTTCAAGTAAAATCCGATGATCCTATATTATCGTGGATTTAGTATCCGAACGAATTCATTTCTTACTCGTACGAGCGATAACGTACTCGGGCGTTTCCGTAAAGCGATCGTTAGATGACTATGCTCTATGGGCCTCCAGCGCGTCGACGCAGCGCGGTATATGGAAGAAAAATTATTTACCTTTACCTTTACGTCACGTTACATACGAGAGGTGGGAGTTAAAAAAAGGAAGAGGACGAAGTAAAAAGAAATGAGAACGACACCGGTACGTCGTATCTATTCCTCCGTAACACTGCACTTACTGTTACTTCTTTCTATACCTTCCTTCTTTTTTCGGAACAGCCTCATACGTGCGCACACACTCACCTATTATATCTTCTCTGCCCTTTGTCAATGCTTTCTAACCGTTGTACCCCTGTATAGAAAATCTCCTTTTATACTGCATACGAGCGAGGGTGGCACCTAGCAATCTGTTATGCGTATCTCTTCGACACTGCTCGTTGTATGCGGAGTTTGTTTCTTTGCTATGGAAATTTTATTTCAACGAGATAGCAGACGACCTATCGACGACGCTTGTACCCAGAGTTCGCCAATTGGTATACTATGGCTATAGTCAATGGGTAAAGTTGAAACGAGGTTGATATAACGAGGGCATAGAGAATACCAGAGAAAAAACTGTGTGTCGAGTATTCCGGCACACGCTGAAGGAATCAATAGCTAGAATTTACCTGAGGTTCGAGAGTTCCGCTCGTTAATCGTAACGATGAACAAAGCGTAGAAACCTCATAGAATTGAGCGACGATGCCTCGCGTAAATCATTACTTGAATGTAGGAAATTCCAATATTTTTCAACTTCTCCAACTGATGTTATTATACTGCCATTTTGATTAACAGCGATAGAACAGTCGTTCGAGCACGATCGAGGTTAAATATCGATATATCAAAAGTTAGACGTGCCTTGTCGTTTCCACTTGTATGTCATATTGGCATTATGAATAATAATTCTATGGAGAATTCGGCTATAGGATTCACGTTTCAAATACATAATTTCTCGAATATTATAATCGTACAAAGGGAGCAACAGGTGTCTGATATGAAAGATACAAGAAGAGTAACATGCCAGATACGATTGATATTGACAGGAAGGAATGAAACTTAATTAATCATTCGTATTATACACTTTTCACTCCCTCGTCCATTACCATTTACCAAATCAACATTACTCGATAATCCGAGATATCGACAACAGTGTCAAAAACATAGGACAATGACGACATTATCAATTCTATTGCCTTTTTATTATTAAGCGAATCGACGACGGGAACAATCATAATGGCATTAGGGTGCCATTAATTTTTCTACACGTAGTCAATGTTCACCGTTCAGAAATAAAAGCTGATAATTTTATTTGCCCGACATTTGTCGAGCGGGAAAGTTATATACCCGAAGCAGACAGCAGGGGATTAGTATTATAATGGAATAGAGGAAGAATTAAAAACGATATATCGTGTTAATAATGCAATTATATTTGAAATAGTAATGTTTACAGCATACATTTGCGGCGCATTGCAGTATCGAGTAACTAATCATCTTGAAAAGGTCACGCACTATTCACCCTTATAATCACGTATCCATTAGACTTTCGAATAGCGCGAAACGAGAATTGTATTTAAATAAAAAATTGTACAGCATCAAAAAAGGAAGAATGGTACATATATATAAACTTTTATATAACCACAATAAAACAAAGCCCGACGAATGACCAAACGATACAAAAGCCAGGTAAACAACGAGCACAGATCCAGACATATTTCCAGTCAGTATTCGTCGATAACTTAAAACTAATGCGTAAGGAATATAATTAACTAATCTTCCAGCCAGTTAGTCCACGATGAGTCCAAACGAAATGAACGCTATAACCGCTGTTCGTGTATGCACAAAACTATAAGTAATATGCTTACCCGATAATTAATATTATTGTATTCTCATTATCGTTCATATACTAGATACAACTGGTTTATGTATAATCGTACTCTAGTCTACGGACTATGGCACTTGGTGCAGCTAAATTTCGAAATTTCTTCCTTCTTATGATTTGAATGACGATACCTTAAATCTCTACGATACTTTACTTACATATACAACACGTAATTAGAATTATTTAGTGCGCTGTCATTATGATACAGGCATACAAGGTGATACAGTCAATTTACTTTACGAGCTGGCTCCATAGTATATATATGCGCATATATATACAAACATACGCATACCTACAGCAACACGGCAGACAATAGTATAGCACGGATCTAGCAGAAAAAATGGCTCTGGTAGTGATTGACGTATGTTATAAAAAAATTCGATTACCCTTGTGAATCGACGTGTGACACGCAGCTTCATATTCAATTATCGACATGTGATAAGTTCCTCTGTATACGCGCCCAATGCACATCCGTCCATCTATTGAGCTACTCGGCCATTGGCTCTATTCCTTTTGTCTCCCTCTCTGACTCTCTTTTACCCTCTCTTTTAGACAGGCAATTTCACATGGGAAACTATGCACGGGAAGAATTGTTCGTGTCTACACACAGCGTACAATGGATAAATCGTTATGCGATGACAATGGCATCACATGGAAATGGTGGTTTTCATTCACCGAGAGTACAGTCTAGAGGTTATGGGTAACGTAATGGCCTATTTAAAAAGTCTCTTCCCGTTCTGACTCCTTGAGGAGTTCGGAATGTAGAGAAATATACGTCAGTAGTATACAATGCGATATACGAATCTAGAGGCGCATTCACAGTCGTTCACGAAAGTCAATAGCATCAACGTTCTATGTGGTTACGTGACATATTATATGACTGTAATAGGCATTGTGTCAAAAATAAAGTTGCCTGCATCCCCTTGAATAAGACACTCTGTATATCGATTATTTATTATCTTATCTAACCTTATCGCTTATGATCTATTATACATTGTAATAGTACAGCAATCGAAACGAAGGGTGAGCACTATAAGGTCAGTAGCAAGAATCAAGATAATTACGTAATAAGGTGTTTTTTTTTAAATATAAGATGCGTCTCTCATTCGATAAAATGTCAACGATCGGTTCAATCACGTGACATATGGTGATTTTACATTGAAGTCGTCTAGTTTCACTTTTTATTCTTCTTCTCTTGAAATTTCTTACATGTACATACGTCCTTGTTTCTGGATTATTCCAATTTTCAATTAGACCAGGATTCGTCTTCCGTTTATATTAATTTTACAAGAGGAAGATGATATCTTCTATTCGTTCCATTAGTTCTGATCTTGCAATCATTCTTTTTTTGTCATTGTCATATATATATATGTATATATATATATATATGTATAACCTTTATAGGCCATTCTAAACGAATTATGCTACTTTGTGCAATTTTCATCAACATTTAGACATTCAATTCCTGCACCGATGACGCGACTGTGCATCTTCATCAAAAGATAATGGTATTTCTATCTTAATAGGTAGCACCGCTGTTTTTTTTTTTGTTATCTATACCCACAAGAGAACCCGCAATTCACGTAGCGAAGTTTACGCAATATTTTAACTTCACTTTAAATTTAAATTTTTATTTGTATATCACAACGAGAAACGCAAGAGCGTGGCCGAGGCCACGAAAGCAAGAGAGAAGTTTTTTGCACGCGCTAAAAACATTCTTTCCATTATTATTATATGTGTGTGTGTATATATATATATATTCATATATACCTGCTATGTTACTTATAAAGGATTCGCTAATGGGGATTGACATTATATTACACGACTCACTATTACAGGTCATACTAGAAATCGTATTGGCACGCTTTAATACCAATTATAATTGCCATTATGAGCGAATCTTTATACATAACAAAAAGAAAAACTCCGTTCCCGATAAATGTCCGTATTACTGGCAAGCCGTAGAAATATATGCTTTAGACGTATATAGATAACGATGCCCATTCTTACGTATTGTATAGTCAAAATATGTATACGGTATAACAATGTTTTCACGAGTTCATATTATTTCATATAAAAGACACAATGATCCTTGATCTTCGTGATATCGATAAACGCCACTACTATTTCACTTTTCTTCTAACTTCCGGTATCTTAAACTTTTTCTTCTTTCTTTCCGAAAGCTTCCGTAAGCGACAGCCATTTTTCGTTAACTTACGTCAGTGATGTGATTCATTTCATTTGACGTCCTTGACCACTTAGCGTAATAGTAATTAAAAGGTGCCGCAGTCGAGAAATCTTTGGCGCTTTACGTACATCCCCGATATATTTTTTAAAAAAGATGTATATTAAAACCGAGAAAAAAAATATCCACCAATTAAAAATGCACAGTCATCCCATATACTTATTTACAAATAAGCACTTCCCGACACTCAGTTATTAATTACAGCTCCTTTGAAAGGGATAGGGGTAGGTGCGCCCGTAGGGGAGGGGTGGGGGGAGAGAATGAAGAATGGTAGAGTCATTGATTTTTACAAGAGGGGCACAGGTGCTTCGCAAAACGCAGGACACGCATTGTAATCCTTCATGCCATAAAGACGATAGCAGTCGTTGAATCGCCGTTTGTTTCGTTGCGACACTTTTCATCAATTTTCTTCTTCCTCTTAAATTTTGCATAATTTTCTTACGTCGACGCACAAATTTTAAGTTTCTCTTTTTCGCCGTCTCACGGCGTTCACGAGCAACAACGAAAAGCAGCCAAAGTCATTTCCACGAAGAACGTCGTACGATGTGCGGAATGATTTAGTGACTTTAAGAACGCATTGAACGGCCAACTCGAACAATAATGGACAACAAAGGGGTTGTGTCAATTTCAAATGATTCAATGTTTAATTCACATTTCAGACGTTTACAGATAATGTTCGCTACAATTTCATATTACGGTAATTCTTATAAAACAGTATAGTCAAAATATGTATACGGTATAACAATGTTTTCACGAGTTCATATTATTTCATATAAAAGACACAATGATCCTTGATCTTCGTGATATCGATAAACGCCACTACTATTTCACTTTTCTTCTAACTTCCGGTATCTTAAACTTTTTCTTCTTTCTTTCCGAAAGCTTCCGTAAGCGACAGCCATTTTTCGTTAACTTACGTCAGTGATGTGATTCATTTCATTTGACGTCCTTGACCACTTAGCGTAATAGTAATTAAAAGGTGCCGCAGTCGAGAAATCTTTGGCGCTTTACGTACATCCCCGATATATTTTTTAAAAAAGATGTATATTAAAACCGAGAAAAAAAATATCCACCAATTAAAAATGCACAGTCATCCCATATACTTATTTACAAATAAGCACTTCCCGACACTCAGTTATTAATTACAGCTCCTTTGAAAGGGATAGGGGTAGGTGCGCCCGTAGGGGAGGGGTGGGGGGAGAGAATGAAGAATGGTAGAGTCATTGATTTTTACAAGAGGGGCACAGGTGCTTCGCAAAACGCAGGACACGCATTGTAATCCTTCATGCCATAAAGACGATAGCAGTCGTTGAATCGCCGTTTGTTTCGTTGCGACACTTTTCATCAATTTTCTTCTTCCTCTTAAATTTTGCATAATTTTCTTACGTCGACGCACAAATTTTAAGTTTCTCTTTTTCGCCGTCTCACGGCGTTCACGAGCAACAACGAAAAGCAGCCAAAGTCATTTCCACGAAGAACGTCGTACGATGTGCGGAATGATTTAGTGACTTTAAGAACGCATTGAACGGCCAACTCGAACAATAATGGACAACAAAGGGGTTGTGTCAATTTCAAATGATTCAATGTTTAATTCACATTTCAGACGTTTACAGATAATGTTCGCTACAATTTCATATTACGGTAATTCTTATAAAACAGTGGGTAGGGTGCGTGTGGGTGGGGGGGTGGGAGAGTACCGTTAAGACCTGCTGAAACGAGATACGACACCAAGTACGACCAGTCTTTACTATCGTTAGCTTAAGATTAATTGAAAAGAAAATTTCACGAGATTTATCTTTCTACTTTTTCTCCATTACACGTTAAACTGCCATACGAGCACGTTCTTTCGTGTTTTTTCATTGTATAACCTTAATTGGACTTATGAAATGTAATGCCCAAAAATGTGCGTTGCGCATGCGCAATGCTCTTGCTCCAATTGGAAGATACAGAAACTGATAGAAAAAAGAAAAAACAATGTTAACGTGGCTGGCAGGCTTAATTAGCGGCTAGTTCTTAAAAGGATTTATATTCGAATACAAAAACGGCCGTTATACTCGCGGCAAAGTTCTGTGCTCGTATCGGAATTACTTAATTTTTTCCAAATATGCTCAATACCTATTCCCGACAATACTTCCAGAATAATTTACATTGCAATTAACCCCTTGCCCTTACGATTTATTGTAAGGCAAACGTGCCTGTCCAGACTAATTAATTTTATCGCAACTCTGTGCGTGCAGTTGTTACGGCGGGCGTAACCCGTCAAAGTTTTGTTTGGCACAGAGAACTCATGCGGGCGGGACACGTCATTTCCACTTATGAGGTTAATATGTTCACTAGTTAAGTTTAACTCCTTGTACGGAAAATTATGGTGAACAATGAATTTGGACAGTTGCCAAAATTAAAATTCGTGATATCTCTTTCGATCGAGCGAGAACTCCGTCACTTTTGCTGGTGGAGAAAGAAAATCAAAAGGTATTGTGAATCATGAAAACGGGATGAGAAAATAAAAATGATAATTTCTAATAATATATTTTCTATAATAGTATAATCAATGCGTTATATATATATATATATATATTTGTATATATAATTATATATAGTGGGCAGATTATGTACAGAATACGTAGTGGTATCAATTTCTTGTGGATGCGTGTGTTGCACATTGCGTATTAGTCTATCTATAGTGTCTACCGCAAAACAAAACAAAAAATAAATCGCAACCTATGGCAACAGACATAATAATGGCAAGTATTTGTTGAAAAAATGAAGTAGCATATTGGTGCGGGATATAGACGTGGAATGAATTAATGACGAAAGAAAAAAAAGTTTTTTTTTTAATAATATCCGATAAATAAACAAAGCTTTACATTCATAAAAATCGATAAACAAGTATGGGATAATGTACAAATTGCAATACAGCGAAAACGTGATTAAAAAAAAAAAGAAAAAGAAAAAAAAAAAGAAGAAACATATAAGGGGACGAAAAGATACATGTATAATAATGTTAATCAAAATATCATTAAATAATAGGGTAAATGATCGTATATGTTTTTCCTCCAAGTATTTAGAAATTTTACTCGTGCGGTATATTAATATAGATATTAAATTTAATCAAGACTAAAAAAAATTATCTATTTCGAGTCTTTCTTTCATATTTTTGTGAATTTTACGTCACGTCAAGTGGTGATAACGAAATTTTGTCTAATGATTACAGGCACTGCCTTCGGTTTCACTTGATATAAATCGGTATTACCTTGTAACGTTACAGCTTTGATTAAATGCCGTAAAGCAAGTGTTTCCGTAAGACCTTTAGACTTTATGTGATGCCAGCCCGGTGGGGGTGGGGGGGAGGGATGGGATTACAGGAAATTTAAAACTTAAAACACAACAGATTTACATTGTCGATTAAATCTTATCTCTGACACATCCAACAACTAGAAACAGAAACATTGGAATCGTGCAGCAGCCAAACGATACAACATTTTTATACTATGGAAGTTACATCTCTCGTGCCAATTCATTGTACAAATCGATATCTCGTGGCTGTGCCAAATGCTAACGGTACATTGCGTACTAACGGAATCCCAGTAACTTGATATTTCGACAACAAAAGAAACGTACGTAGTGTTGAAGCCACTTGAAGAGTAGGAATTTAGGAAAAAAAAAAAAAAAAACACAAAGAAAGGAAAGAAAGAAAAAGAAAACAGATAATAATTCCTCTCGATTTCGTTAACGTGGCTGCGGCGCAAAACAATGTTAAACGGTAAATATTACTCAACACGCTTGAAACTATAAGATAATAAAAGAAAAGAAGAAAGCACAAAGTGTTTTGGATAATCGTGATCTACAAAACGATACCGTACTAGGGTAAGCGTATCATTCGTGTATTGTGTTTCAATGAAATTTCATTTTTCCATTCCTTTTTTTTCTTTCTTTCTGAGTATCTTTTTCGCAAAAAGACATAAATTCGCAACGAGCTCTCATCCATTGCAACTCTACATGGAGTAACGAGACGCAATGCTTGGGGTTAATGAGTTTCTTGCGCGGCGAATGAAATATGATAGATGCCCATAAAATTGTAAGCTCATGGACTTCGGTATTGATACGATTAACGTATTGGAGGAGAATGACAGTCACGTTCTACGATCGAAAACTCGCATAATATATCCAGCAAACGCAAAGTCACGGTTAACGTATCGACAGCTTAAGAAATTTTTTGCTCGGGGACGAAAGAGAGTTGCGGCTACAACGGGTGATTTCTAAAAATCTTAACATCCCTGAGGAAAAAATGTTTATTTCGCTGATATTTAACCGCGCGCTGATATATGACACAATTTGTCGAAAATTGTGTCGAAATTTCTAATAGGTCCTCTGTGTGTATCACAATAGCTCTGCAGTTCTCTTAGCTCAGCATTTAAAAAGGATAATTTACCGAAGGTTATTAAAACAAAAACAAAACACCGTACAGCATCACTCACGAACATAATATGATTTAAGAATTGTCAGGTCTAATATGCACGAGCGAATATTGCCTCTGACGTCATCTCTCAGTAAGCACATAGGTAAGTCATATATATTTATACTATGTATAATATGACACCACCGTATATAATGGTACAGACCTTAGGTCGGTATGGTCAGAGACAATTTTCGCATACCACTTACCCACTTTTACCAAGAGAGATATACAAAAAGTACTACATACAACATAATTATAATATGCCGCTAAGTTTTGCATGACGAATCAAAACTTGGCGTTAATAATTTTATTCTTTTAGCTACTTATTTCGTATTCATTTGCGTAGATGGAGTTGGTTGCGTCTAAAAATTATCGCTAATAGGCGCTTCCTTCAATAACAAGAGAGAATACTCCCCCTCTTGAGATACAATTACAATAATATGATTAGACATTACCACTAACGTAATATTTTTTTAAAAAATTGGATTACTTTTAAAAACTCGAGATTACTTTAAAAACTGTTCCGCGGACAGTATGTTTCATTTTTCTTTTTCTTTCTTTCTTTCTTTCACTGGTTTTACACTGTCGTTCAGCGTTGTTTTTAGCATTTAAATTATTTTTAAATATTCCCATTATCCTCGTCTTATTATGCACTTCGCCCTTAGGCAGCTTAGGACCATCACAATTCACGACGCAGTAGCGGAATTCAGGAATCGAGTGCACGTGGGGTATTCATTAGGTGCTTGTACATCTTGCAAAAAGTTATTAAAGGATATTGGATGTTCCATTCATTTTGATTATTATTCCTGCCGGTTCTGTGAGCTCTGTATCACATTTTTTAAAGACATTCCTCTTTATCTAATAGGTTCTTCGTTTCGTTTAGCTTATTCCCAGTACATTACGTGTCGATAATATTCTTGCAAGGGTTAATACAATTTTTATTTCCTCAAATGGTGGAGATACCAGCAACCCTGTCGCACCTAGGTCCACCGCGTAACTTTTCAATTCTCATGGGCAACGTCAAGCTTCTCATTTTTCTTCTTTTCAATTCCATGAATAACGATATCCTCGATGGGGCTCCGCTGCTGCATTCCGCTGTGCTCTATCAAAACACAATAACCCTCTAATGACGTATGTATCGCGAGCATACAGTTCAGTTTAGAGTCGATAAGCCTTCGTTCGCGAGAGTTTCGAATAATAACGTTCCTCCTTATCGTACTCTTTCATCTCAATCTCTCTTTGCCTCCCCACCCCTCTCTCTCTCTCTTTCTCTTTCTCTCTCTCTCTCTATATCCGTTCAGTTGGCCGCGTTAATACACAATTTACATTCGCGTCACTTTATTACATATCATATTAACCGTGATTGGGCTGCTTTTACGATTATTCTGCTGCCACCGTGCATCCATTAGTTTCAACGGCAGTTCGTTAAGACTGGCGTAACAGTAATACATCGTTAGCACAATCGACCGTCTTTATCAGATGACGTATACACATATTTTGTACACAAAAGTTTGTCACTGTTGTTTTTCGTTTCATCTACAATTACGAGCAGCAGTCGAAGACTCACAAGAGACACTTCACCGCGTACACTTCTAATTATGCTTCGGGTCAGTCGATCAATGTAGTAACGTTCATGTTTCTTTTCTTTCTTTTCTATTTTTTTTTCATTGACTTTATTTTATACGATTTATGCGAGAGTGCCATGGTTTTTTTTTTCATTTCATTATTTTTCACTGTTAATGCGTCATATTATCGTTTTAACGCGGGTAGGAGGAATATGTACCGTTTGCAGAGTTCTCTAGACTTTATCATATTGGAAAATTTATACGAGATCAAGAAGACTTACGTAAACGAAGACACGTGTAACGTGGTGATCCGAATCGAGTGTATCTCTGTGGCGAAGGCACATTAACGATAGGTGGAAAAGGAAGATATTTTAAAAAAAGAGGCAAACGTCCGGCATCGCATAATTTTATGTGAAATAAAAAAAAAAGAAGCAATTTATGTAGTTCACGTGAATCGGATTGCCCGAGTACCGCGCGTGCAAATAAATATCGGTGCTACCACGTTAATAATTAACAATAGTACTAATCGGATGAATGATGAGACTAATTTGAGTGAAAAAAAAAAGGAAAGAGAAACAAAAAGAAAGTCTTATAAAATGATAAGAACAAAGAGAACTCGGCAACAGATTACTGCACAGTGGTTATAATGAATCGGACTTACGGATTATAGTCGTTTGATTGGTTACGTTAGATTAAGTTAATTCCTAGTTAACCATGAGCGTGTGCGACTCCATGGGAGCGGCACTATCGTAGAGGGTATCTGTGTCTTGCGTTGGCTCACCCTGAAGTTGACACTGGTTGCTCAACGTTCCAGCACCACAGTCGCAGAAGAACCTGCAAACAAGTATTTAAAAGAAAATTCTTTATTGACAGGCGCAAGAGACTGAGAAAGACTAAATAGGTGATAACAATTTTGTTCGTCGCAAGAAACGACAAATAAGAAGCGAGAATAGAGAATCGTTACACTACTAACCGATCGTGTCTAATGAATTCCACGTCGTGTCCTGCGTGACAGGTTTTTATACAGTTGACACATATGGCGTTTCGGTCGGTAGTGTTGCACGTTTGACAGCGATAAAAGTCGTGCATTGGAAATGACGTGTACGACGAAATTTTGTATAAACATTGACCGTTGCCCACTGCCTTCTCGACGGCATCTTGATTGTTGAATATTTTGTTACCTGAAATCGAAACACAGTTTATTAACAGATGCTTGATTTGTCAGCAATTAACATCGTGACAGGTCGTTGCGGCAAGTCGAGGAGTAAAAGAAGAATTTCGCGATAAAGCATAAACAAATATATGTACCTCTGGTAGTGGGTTGAACGCCACTTGCTAAACACAAACCGCCAAATCGATTGTTGAAAATCTGATTAAATTCCAATGTGGCGGTCGCGTTATTGGTTATTTCGACACCTGCAGCCAGTCCATCGAAAATTCGATTTCTCCTGAGTACTGGATGTGACTGTGTCGAGATGAGAACTCCTGCTTGTGCATTTCGAAATATGTCATTTTCTTCCAAAACACCTGTATATGTAATAAGACGTCAAATTAGAAACAGTGCGATACCTGTGATATACCACATGTCAAAATATTTTTAATAAAAGAATTATGCTTACCCTTGCCACCATTGAATATACAAATGCCGCCGTCTCGACCGTCAAATATCTTGTTCCTCTTTAGGGTTGGATTACTGTCGGTTTTAATCCAAACGCCTGCCATTGCATTATCGAATATTTCATTTTGTTCGAGTAACCCTAAGCCACTGTTATATACAAGGACACCACCGTTTTGTCCACCCCATATCTTGTTTCCGCGTATAACAGGATTACTTCCAGTCCTATCCCATTAAAAACAATATACCGAGTGTCAGTTTTACATAAAATTAAAGGCTTAACAATAAATACGTGCAAAGCGACGCAAAATTTATTAATAATTATTATTTTCACGTTACCTGATTTGTACTCCTGAGTATAAGTGATTGAATATGTCATTGTCTTCTAATTTTCCATGACCATTATCATAAAAATAAACGCCGACTTGCTTCCCACTGTGAATCCGATTTCTTCTTAACACTGGAGTCGATCCCGTAGTTATCCAGACACCTGCCAACGTGTTCGCAAATACTTCATTCTCTTCTATCAGACCCTGTCCCTTCTCGTGTACATAAATTCCGCCATGCTGTCCATGATGAATTTTATTGTGCCGAACGATGGGGTCAGAATTTGTTCGGATTTGTATGCCGGCCAAGGCATTCCCATAAATGTCATTGTGCTCGATCAAACCTCTTCCTTCGCCAAATATATAAACGCCTCCTTGGTGTCCGTTATAAATCTCATTTCTGCGAATCGTCGGATTCGAATTTGATGTTATCCAAACACCAGCAAAGTTGTTCGAATGAATTTTGTTGTCGATAAACTGGCCCAGGCCATTTTCGTGAACGTAAATACCACCTGTCTGGCCATGATGAATTTCACAGTGCACAACAGTGGGATTCGCGCCAGCTTTTACCTCGAACCCAGCAATACGATTGTTATGGATGTCGTTTGCCTCAAAATATCCTAGGCCATTGTCGAACGTAAAAATTCCAACGTCCCTTCCATGGTGAATGTGATTTCTTCGCATAATAGGATTCGCATAATTCTTCACCCATATGCCAGCCAATGCGTTCCGCGATATCTCGTTATCCTCGTAGGTGCCTTGCGCGTAATCTGTCACGTAAAGACCAACATTCTCGCAGTCTGAAATGTCACAGTTCTTCACAACTGGATTGGCACCTACACCCGATACGCAAACAGCTGCTCCAACTGAACAAGAGACAAGAAAACAAGTTGCTTGTACAATCCCATCGAATAAAAGAGATACTAACTGAACTTACACGTAAAATAACGAACTGGCAGACCTACTTAAGACCCACTTACCTACGCTCGAGCTCCTGATAATGCAGTGATCGACGGTGGGACTGCAATTTTCGCCGACCTCCAAACAATAGTGTTTATGATGTGGAACTGTACTGGTAACATCAGGTGTAAACTTTAACGTCAGATGTCCCGCGTACGCTCGTTTAGCCCCTTCCACGAACATCACTGTGGATTCACTCTCTCGTTCCAAAATGACGGATTCAGCCACATTACCCGACGCTGCACCTATCAGTGCTACGTCACTGTCTATCACGAGGAATTCACCACGATACGTTCCAGCATGCAGAAACACTAAATGTTGCGGCGCCTCTTCGGAGGATTGCGAGTTGTTGCCACAACAATTCCCTTGACTATTGGTGCTGGCACTACTGTTTGGAGATGAACCACTACTACTTCTATATTCATCTACGTAGTCTAGAGCTCCTTGAATTGTGTTGAAATAGGGAAGATTTCGTCCCTTGAATTTCAAATCTTGAAATCCAAGCCTTACGTGTACCCCTCTATAAAGCTGCCGAAAACTCTCTTTCCAAGGATTCGGATAGTCTGATTCATCCGGCGATACGAATTCGAATTTACAGGGTGCAGGGTTAAATAGCGGCAGATCATATTCGTATACTTGTTGATAAAGAGACTTCCATAGTTCTGTATCGTTTGCAATCGCTTGGAACCGCTTACAAACCTGCGATACCCGACACAGGTCCTGCTCCATCAAGTAATTGAATATTGTGAGCAGCACTTCATCCGGAAGTTCATACTGAAGATAGTGTGCTGCCGTGTTTGTGCTTGTACCTGCTCCAAAATAAGTAAACGCATTTAATTCTTCTAAGATCTGGTAGTAGTATTATTTATATTTATCAACGTATCTTTTGTTTACTCTATACTTGTGAATCTTTAATAAGACTTACCGTCGGTGGACAATGAACATGTTCGTCTAGGTCGCTTTCTGGCTGGTAGAGAGGATGAACCAAGAGCAGCCGCAACGCTGCTTCCACCAGGAGGAGGTAAGGCAGAACTAGTGCCGGGTGCTGGGTCAGGATGAGGAGGACTTTTGCGTCTCAGGTCATATGGTGAAGAGTGTGAATGTGATGGAGAAGGAGATGGCGCAGCTACACCTGATACACTAGGCGAAGAACCTCTACCTCCGCTGCCACCGCCGCCGACCCCACCGCCAGGAGGAATTTGATTTGAAGCGGGACACGGTAGCTCGCATGGCTCGGCTGACAAAACAAAAAAAAGAATGTAATGTGGATGAACAAGGATATTTTATTTATTCATGTAAATCTATATTTTATAAATACTATTTCTGCTTGGAAAAGAATTGCACAAAAGACAATCTATATTTTGTTTACATCAATGACTATTCATTTTTGTTCCCCATTAGTTTGGATGAAAATGAAAGCTTCAATGACAAATATAATTCAGATAATACAATGAAGAAAATATATATATTCATTGCTATAAAAAAACAAGTTTAAACTAATTGTAAATACTCAGTTATGAATCTTATACTTTTATACTCTTTTCGATTGGACATGAAATAATTATAATAATTTTATGATAGAACTTAAATCAAGCTGAAACATTGGAAAACAAATTAGAAATAAAATGTACATCTAAATTATGAATCAGTTTCGAAAAAGACGTATAACATATTGTTATTAATGAAGTTACATCTCATCATTTTACACATATGCAAGAATATTTTCGAAAAGAAAAGGATAATTAATTATTAATAAGAATTGCATAGTGCATTTAGGTACAAAGATCTGTAGTTATCATGTGAAATACAATGGTAGCTCGATATGATACCACACAGATGTTACTCAGAAGACATCTGGATGATGTTACATTAGAAGGGACAACAAAGTATTACTTTTAGGCATAGACATATAAACTATAAATCCAATTTTATACCAATTTTAAGCATTCAAGCTTCATTCACACAATTAAGTTTGGCATGTAAAACCAAAAAAAAAAAAGATTCCTTATTTTACAAATTTGTTGACAAATTCTATCACATACTATTCACTAGACATGATAGTAACTGACTGAAATGTTATTGTTGTATATAAATATTCCGATATTCTCCAAATTGACCTGTAAAACTCAAACATACAAAAGATACAAAGAAACCCGATACACATTGCTCAAGCAAGAGAACAATAGAACAAATTTTCTTTACTATTATTTCACAATAAATGGTCAATGCAAGAATTCTCTCAATAAAGTATTTTAAAAGAGCTTGGTATATTTAGTATTGAGTTACATGAATGACTCTGCAGCATTAACAAATTTTCAAAATCAACAATACACTTAAAAAGAATGTATATTACAATAAGGATTTCAGATTAATTTTACATAATCATAAAATATTTCTAATAAAACGAAAAATATTAGTAATAGTGTTCCTAATATTTTGCATATAATCCGCCTTTGACAAATAGAAATTCTAATATTCATAGTGAACGATATGCAAACACGATATTAAACTAGAGCAGCGAGGTAAACCAGATTAAATTTCGCGGAAGGATATTAATGATCGAAAAAGAAAAGTTTGTGTAAGCGAGGACGATAGAAAATAACGATTGGGAAACGTCATCAGAAAGATTGGAGTGGGCCTTTTTTAGGGCGCTCGCAGAATGAATACCGTGGACAAGACGTGAGCAGGAGGTTGTCGAGCGTACATACGCGAGTATATTGTCGACAGTAAGAAAAGTAAGAGGCATAAAAGAAGAGATAAGAATAAGAGAGAGTGGCAGAGTGCCGAATGATCATTACGATCGAAAATAGGAAACAGGGAGTCAGGCTCGCAAGGGAAGAGAGCCAAGACAGGTGAGCCGTGAACAGAGTTACGAAGAGCGTAGTCTCACCCGAGGTAGTTCTCGAAGGCAGAGGAATTCTATTGGCACCTTTCCTCCGGGATCTTCGTACGTAGCTGCGCGACGAGGTGAACGACGCGCTCGGCATCTTGGCAGGCTCTTCAGAATAACGCGAAAAACGGTAAAACAACTAAACACTAAACAATGGCGACACTTCCACCGAGCACAGCGGCCATCTTCTCATTGACGGTAAGACTGCCGACTGGTGCGCGAGCGCCAATCGGATGAATTGGTGTCCTCCCCACCCTCTACGTACCACCTTACCCGCCGATCCCTTCTAATCCCCCTACCCTGATTCTCTGTCTCCCTGTCGCAGTATTCCGCAAACACAACCAACCAACGTCAGTATGGAATTATGGAGAGCACGGACCGAAATACCGATTTTTCCTGTGTCTCTCCGATCCTCTCATGTTTCGCTCTCTCGATTGTCTACGTCGCTAGTCTCTACGTTTGGAATTCTCCGGAGAACAGGTACGTATACCGGCGCCAGTCTAGATATCTCCCTCGTCAGACGTCCATTTTACACGACTCGTAGAACCTCGAACGCTTGGCCCTTTAATAGCCACGAACAAAGTGTAACTGTATTCACGACGGGAGCCAATATGAATGACTACTATTCTTGGCTTGCTCCATCTCTCCTTCTCGCTCTCATGTCTCATCGCGCAACTCTCTATAATTCTGGACAAAACTGACTAATGTGGCCACCTATACTGGACAATTCTTTCCTTCGTTTTAAATCCGCGTCGCGGGCTATTCAAAACTTGTCATAGACACTCCGTTTTTTAATTTATATATCTATGTCTTATGTTATGCTAATTGTGTGTCTTTTGGATTTTTATTTATAGGGAACATCCCAGTACTATAAAAAAAAGATTCTTCAGTGTCTTTATTGTAAATCTGATCTCTCCAGTGTTTTTATACTTTGGCTTAGATGAAAAAATATTTCAGAAGGTATTCATTGTTATGCAGCATCCTTGTTGATATTCATATATTTAAAAATATTAGGCTTTGTTAATAAATTTATGTATTTTAGGCGACTGTATGGGAATTGCTGGGTCTTAGATGGCCTGGATTTATTCAGGCAATCATTTTACCATTGCTCCTGACGATGATTTTATTCTTGGGACCTTTGAGTGTACAGGGTCTTAATGGTCTATGGAAATTATATACCGGTTAGTATCTAGTATATGCAATGTACAGTTAAGAATTACCTTCAGTTTTTAATTGAACATACTTTGTGATATCTATACATCCTATACATTGCAGAACCTATGTACTGGTTAGGGAGCTTAGGAAGCTTGGCTTGGTGGAGAAATCAAGTGGTAGCCCCATTATCCGAAGAATGGACATTTCGAGCATGCATGTTACCATTGCTATTGCAATGTTTTACTCCAACAACTGCCATTTTTATATGTCCCCTATTTTTTGGGGTTGCTCATCTACATCATGTGGTAGAAAGAACGAAAACGGGCATGGAGTTAAAGCACGTTCTATTCATATCATGTAGGTACTTTTTCATTTGATGTGTAAAATTACAGATGAAAGAAAAACAAGTTTTACTATCGTATAACATTTCCACTTCAGGTTTTCAATTTGCTTATACAACGTTATTCGGTGCTTACGCTGCATTTCTCTTTGCTAAGACCGGTAAATAACATTTTATTTTGTTATATTTTATATATCACCTATTGCACACAATTAATTTCGATTTCATATTTTATAGGGCACTTCGTAGCACCTTTCACAGCGCACTCATTCTGCAATCATATGGGTTTTCCTGATTTATCTGAAGTGGTGGCCTACAAAAATCCATTGAAACGAGCTGGGTTGTTCTCTTTATTTGTAATAGGTTTAGTGACTTGGTGTTGTTTATTAACACCAATGACTAATCCAGTATGGTTTAGTAATAATTTATTTTGGCATAAGCATTTCCTTTGAAGTTCATATTGTTTCTAAAAGGAAGAACAATACTAAGAGATTAAAGCGAATTTTATAGTATAATTAAATTGAAAAATTGAGAATTGAAGGTTGTGCCAGTAACAATTTGCGACGTATACCTATTTCTGTTTTATTGAAATGATTCACAATATAGAATTGAACAGTGCTACTGTTAAAAAATTTTGGTATAAAACAATTTTTATATACTTATTTAAAGAACAGAAAAATATTATATATTCTTTCGCGTAATTCACGTCTCCCAGTTAATTATTTAATAAGGAACATGATAAAATCACCGTAGTGCCTCACATTGACTAGACTGGTTTTTACAGTCATGACACTGTATAGCTTTGAGACTACAATGTTAGGAAGGAATTGTAATGCCAAATGTTGTTACTTATATGACTAAGCGTTGCGCCACATCTAAACATTTAATAACATAGAAATTAATCGTTTCGATTATATTATTATCCTGTAATTGTCGCGAACGTATTAGTGTTCGCATTAAATTGACATGTGTACAAATAAATCATGTTCTAAAAAGATTTGTAATATAAAGTTATGCAATTGTCAATATAATGTATAAAGATGCATCAATACATTTGTGACAGTTGCACAACCCCATTTAATTAAACTTTTCCTATTTACATTATCCAAATGAGATATTTAAACCGTTATATGAAATTTTGGATTTATTTTTGATATATGTAAATCACAGAGAGAACAATTACAACAGTGTTACAATACTTTATTTTAAATATTTATATCTGGCACAAACGTAACAAAAATATATAACTACTTATATCTCAGAGTAGTCTTGCTGCTTTACTTGCTTCTCTTGAACGACAGAGTATCTAAAGTCTAACTTGCTGCTAGCCTGCTAATTGTGAATTGTGCTTAAAGTTAAGCTTTTTCACTTTAATACAGAGCGATACATTCGCGGCAAGATTATCGTAATCTTAGACATTCTATAAAGACATTGAACATTTTTCTTTTTACGAGACATTTTTCTTACTACGACTGTCATTTCTTATTCGAAATTAAGGGAAGTTGATGGGGTGGATTGTTAATATCGATGAACAAAATATTAATGTCAATTCATCGAAACAAGTATGTATATGTCAATAATTGAACCTTATTGCAAACCTAATTTCGCAGTTCAGACTATATTGAAAATTGATCTTACACGCTCAAAATTCATCACTTATATTTTTCAATCATTAATTAAAACTTATTCTTACATCGTCGATATTCGTTGGAAGAGACTATATTTGCACATTATATAAAAATTGTTTGTGTTTAATTAAAAATGTTTTAGGAACTCTATCTTAAATTCTAAAGGTATTAATGATTTATGAAAGATGTAATAGTGACAATATTAAATTGTAATCAGGCTAGAGGTAAACCACAATTATACATATGGATGCGAAGAAATTATTAATATCCTATGATTGACTTGGTCCTGGAGCAGACTCTAAATTTTGAGATTGATTAAGAAAGAGAACATTGCTTGCCTTTATTCTCGGGTTTGTTGCTACAAGTGAGGGGCATGGACTTATGCAAGGAGTGGAACAATGACTGTTACTTAGATCACACTGATCAAGCAGTTTCCATAATTCTTCTGGTGTTGGTCCACCGGTTACTTCCTTCGCTGTAACAGACATGTCATGTTACGCGTTAGTGAAAATAATAAATATAAGTAACATATGTGGGATTCGACGTTAAAATTGAACTAAGGCTTAAATGACGAATCCATCATTCAAATGTTCAGATCAGGCATTCAATTGTTGGTGAAATTTTAACTGATATAGATGAAACCGAACTTTGAACTATCTTAAACTAAGAATTCCTAATGCCCACTTCTTAAGTTACAAAATAGGCCTATATTATATATATTTATAAAACCCAGAAAGTGAATTCTCAAGCTCACCCTTTTCTCCTTTAATGATAAGATCCAATGCTGTAGTCAGATCCCACATTTGTACAGCTCCATTGGAATGTCCAGTAAATATAAATCTTCTAGGCCTTGAACCCATACGACTTGATCCTTCACACTCATGAACACAGAAAGAACTAATAACACTTCCATCGACTGACTGAATTACACATACTCGTTCGCCATTGGATGCTAGTCGTACAAATAATTGATCAGTCTCGGGTACAACTTTTTGTACAAAAACCTGCTCGTCGTCTTGTTCACCAAATGGTCCTGTGACAATGAATGATATAAATTATCATTACGACAAAAGTAAATAAGAGTAAGGATCTCAAGAAAACCGTGAATACTTTCACATACCAAAATCATTGCCAGCACTGTAGCTGACACAGGGCTCTACAGCATCCAAAGAGACGATTTTAAAACTAGCTTCAGGAGTTGAACCAGGTTGTGTGGAGATCATTCCACGAAATCTTGTTACAGTCCAGCTCCTTACGTGATTATATTCTGAGCATACGGATACCAAGTATTTTTCCGATAGTGTTACCTACAATTTTTAATATAATTATTGTTAAAACGTAACCTTTTATTCACTAAATTATGACACACGTATATAGTCGGGAATATTTACTTTTGTTACACTGCTCTGGTGTACTGTAAATGTTTGAAAGAGCTGTGGCGCATGTCCAACAGTTTCTGGATGTTGTACGATAACCCGCACACTGCCTGATTTTGTGCCATACGCTATTTCGATCCAATTCCCACACAAACCTGTGATAAGGCATAGGAAATCTTCTGGTAACAATACATAATTAGTAGTATGTACAGAATTCAATAAAAATATTATAAAATAAAGTAGAATGTACAAGGTATATCCAAACTACTAGATTCACTCTAGACGGTAATGTGTTAATATTATTATTCATATATATTAGAATATTTTAAGAATTATAAGAATCATTACGATACATCAAATAAAGACGTCCTAAAAGATATCTGGAAGATTGGTTACACCTTGTCTACATAATAATAGTGTACTGCGAGTGTACATGATAGAGTATAAGTGCTGCTTAGACTACCAGAGATATTAATAATATCATAGTCAATGAAATAATGACATATGTTGTATCATGAGTGGCACTATAATAATTACACTCTTAGTGGGAAACAGCAGATTCATAAAGAAGTGAACTCTGATATTTGGCAATGCATTGAAAGAGGGCAGTCATGCAGGATTACTTTACATATAGAATCTGCAAAGTTAAAAGAAAATTTTTACATTAAAAAGAAATAATGCTGATGCTCAAGAATAAAAGCAATACATAAGGATATATACTAATAATATACTTAAATGTTTAATTTTCTTTGTTTTCTTCACAATATCCAGCAAATGAATAAATACATAAGCGAAGATACTTTTATTTTCTATTACCTTCCCTCCCCCTCTCAGATGCTGGCATGGAACATAATGCTATGAATAGGGAGAGCAAGCAGGCAGCTCTAGTAATTGAACTTAATATTCAAAAGAATAAATAATAGTTGGAGAAAACCATTGCAAGAGGTACGATTAAAATTGTAAAGTAAAATACGACATGTGATTTGCAGTAGTACAACTGGACGCATAAAGATAGCAGGGTGCAGTGAGCCAGTGAGATCCAAAATCAAAATGTGCTATAACTCCCTGGTTATAGACATTCTGTTTGGGAGCGTTTTTGAAAATATACATTAATAAGATTACATTAGCACTGACACTGAGCTTTGGATTCACAGTGGTGAAGAGTGGAACGTTAGGAGTCTTGAGAGGAAGGGTATGATAACTACAGCATAGGAAATGTGTAAGTGCAATCACTGTAATGCAAAAGATGAAGTTGTATCATATTTGAATTTGTATTTATTCATTTCAAAGGGATTGGACCCATACTTGCCTTGTGCTATGTATCCAGTTGTACCGTACGAAATCATGAAGCAAAAAATGTAATGATAAATTTTTGTTAACAGAAAAGAGCTAACGACACTCTGATCGTTTATTGATCTTTAATTAGATGATGATGATGATGAGCTGTATATTGTAATAAGGTTATGTCACAGTGATGATGATGTTATGAATTTCATAAAACTGATAAGCATGAACACATCTTACTAGTTATAATGGTACGTTTTATCCGCAGCAATTACAGTGACTAATGAAAAGGAATAAATAGCGGCCATAATAGATAACACTGCTTTTTTCCGATAACGAGGCAACATTTACAATGAATTGTTATTGTTAATAATGTAATATTCGCATACAATTTCCTATGTACAAACAAAAATTGAAAAGCTTCCTCAGCTGAAACGCACCAATTGAATTTGGCAAGTTTCAAATTTGATTGATGCGTTTCAGATGGATAGGGCACGATGATTTTAACTGAAATATTTCCATTAGAAATAAATAATTATTCGTTAAACAATATCTTGGAAGAACAATTAGGAACGCCATTACGCTTGAAGTATAAGAATCTCTTCTTTACTTCATACTAAATATTATTATCTTTCTACTAATTGAAGGAATGAAAACTTACTTGTTTTTGGTGTTAGATAAACTGATATAGCCGTGATCGGGTCGTGACTTGGGTCGCGATACAATTCAGTTACAAGTAAATCATTGTCCTTCATTCTTAAAGGAAACTTCTGCATGTCTGCAACAATTAATGATAAAGATTAATCGATAACATAAAAAACGAATAAGAAGTACAGATGCTTGACATACCAATATAGTAGATAGATCCATTGTTACATCCCAATAGTAAAAAGGAACCAGCAGTGTCAAAGGATGAAATTGGTACTACATCTTGTATTTGCCAGTGATGAGTCATCGCATGCCACACCCCAATTTTTCCAGTTGGCGACAAAGCAACCAACTGGCTGCCAATGAAAAATAAATACTCGACGCGAACGTTTAAATTAAACGTCCCGATATTTGTTTTAATCCCATCTTCGGAAACGCTCCACAAACGTACTTGACTACCATAAGAAATAGCAACCATTTTACCATCAGTACCACTACCCATTTTTGCATTTATTGCTACACGTTCAATTATAGACTCTATATGCGGACTCGTAAATGCGTGCTGCCATCCAGACGAATCCTTTAATCTATAGCATGTTATAAAGTGAGCATAGGCTATCACTATCCAATTGTGATGTGCCTTTATTATTTGAACTCTTAAAGGATCTACCCATGCTGAAACTGAATTATATATATTAGTTATTACGTTGCGGAACAACATTTAAATGCAGAGCATTTAATTACTTTCTCTTTACCTTGCTGAGGACCAAATATTAGGCCCACATCGTTCTTAAAAAGTTTATTTAAATCTGCCGAACTGTTTCTGGCATGCCTTAGATCCAGTGATGGCGTACGTGAATGTGGTAATCCACGTTGTGATACCCGATAATCTAATGAAGAGTTTCGAGTATGTGCAGTCAAAGATGCTTTCTGATGTGGTTGCCCTGTTACAAACGATTTTTAATGATAATACTATGATATTAGTAAGCAGTGATCCATATACAAGCCAGCAGCCAGAAACCACATCTTTTTGTATACCATATCTTTCTATTAAGCTTTTGGACATAATTGTACAGTTGAAGGAAATGAATATAGTTGCTATTCAATATGATTATCTTACCATTATTACTAGTAGTTTGATTGGAAGAGGTAGATGGTAAAACAATAGATTGGGATGCTGTCGCAATTTCTACTCTAGGTGTTGAATTAGAACCTGTAAGTCTGCCATGAACCGAAATATCGTTATTGCTAGAATTCACACTAGTTGGTTCTTGTAATGGCATACCTGTAATATTCATTAAAATATTTGTTATTGCAACATGAACAGTGTTTCTACACTAAAATATAGTAAAATATATTATAAAGTATAATGCTCACATGGTGGTGGCAAATAGCCATAAAATAAAACATCACCACAGGATGATTGTGACAAATCTTCACATAGCATTAACCGTTTAACTAAAGGAGTAATCCCATAATATTCAGCCTCATGTCTCAAAGTCCTAATATCTATACTTTTTAAATCTATATCTCTGGTACGTAGATAATTCAATATCACAGAAAAGATCTTTGGATCCCTGTCTATGAACAATGCACCATTTTCATCTCTTCGACTGGTGATGCGGTTACTCAACAGAGCTGTGAAGAAAGAATCTGGTATCCATGACAAGGTTTGTCTGGATGTAGAAAACCTATAAGGTGAACATTCTTGTCATACAAGTCATTAAACTAAATAACATAACGACAACAACGTCTTATGGACGTTTGCCATCTAACTTCAATTTTCACATTTTGATGTACTACAGAAAGATGATTATAACTAGTACCTTGTGCCGCCAACATTAAGATGAACGATATCTCCCATAAAACTATGCGAGATAGCCATAGTCATAAGTGTCACAATACTACATGAAAACTTTGATTATTCATCCCCTAACTAGTGCACAGCAATTGAGCACTTTGTAATTTACATCTACCCAATACACCGTACTCTTCTACTTTGTGCTGTAATATCTTCTGTACTATAAGATATTAAAACGTTACGCAGGAGGCGCTGTTGCATTTCCGAAGACTTCCGAGTGCTTCCGAGCTCTATGGATTAATATTTTGACCACTGAACTCTGGCGAGGAAGCTCTAAAGCCCAGAAGTGGTAGATATATCAGAGATGAGTGGGCAGATGCACAACAGAGATGAGTGGGGAGATGTACAACGCTCCGGTTTTAGGCGATACCAAAAGCATGGTGCTAAATCGTAGCGGCGAGTCCGGGAGTAGGATTTCGTGATTATCGCCTCTGTCGATGTTACAGATTTCGCGTAGCCGCGCGGGTCATGATCATCGTTCCAGCCGGTATTGCAGTCAGCGAAAATGAATAGATTGCTCGGTGGTGGGGAAAAAGTTGCCGCCCCTCACAAACCGTTCTTGACAAACAGGCAGGGCAGCAAGGTGTTCCGTCCAACCGAACCCTAAACATTTGTATGGACGTTATGCGCAAACAAATGTGTATATTCAAATAAATTTCGAAGTTATAAAAAATGCATAAAAATATTGGTTTTCTTCTCTTTCCTCCTCCCCACTCATCTCTGGATATACGATGATGCGGAACAATCAATATACATATACATTCATAGATAAGATAGAAACACTCTAATAACAAAAAATTGTTGACAATTGAAAGTTTTGTTAAACTAGTCATTTAATTATTAAAAGATTAGAATAGAATTAATTAAAAAACACCCTTATACAAGTTCATTTTTATAAGGTAATTACTTCGGAAGATATGATAACAGGTGTTTGTAAATGACTTATTTTTTTCATTTTCTTTTTTTAATATTATGTAAATCCAATATTCTCTAAATTAACATTAATAAATATTAATGATGTCTTCTGTAAATAGGATGTTAGATAATGCTCTTCCATGGAATGTTGCTATATTAATTTGATGAACAAGGTTGATGCTAATCCAATTCCAAAGTGTTACCAAGTGTTACATGTTCTGTTTATTCCTATAAAATTAGGGCTAAGCTACAGAATACGACTCCTTCTTGAAGCTACCTGTAGATCGTTTAGTATTATTTTAGATAAAGCTTTTCAAGGACGTATTCTGCAGTTTTACCAAAATTAGTTTCATTCATGTTAATAAGTATTTATTTTAACTTGAAAATAGCCATTCTTATTAAGAACATTAAAAAATTCTTTGACCATCCCATTGAATACAACATATTTGTACAGTACAACATTAGCTACTTAATTCCATGAGCACAGTATCATCCGCAATCTATTTTAAAAATTAATATTAATGTCCTTGTCATCATCTTTTCACGATGAGCAGCTACAACTTCACCACAGCATTTGGCATTAGGATAATTGAAATAGTGCGTTTAGCCAATAATCAAGCATAATAGGAAGGAGGCACAGATAAATCTTGCAAAATCCCAAGTTGTTCCTCTGTGAACTGCTGTGCATGACCAGTAAGCCCAGTCCATCCATCATAATGCGTTCTTTTAAAATCACCTAATGTCTTTCTGATTGTTGTCTGAAAATAAAAGTAACGTAAATAGTTTTAATTACTAGAATTAAAAATTATTTTTTTCAGCTGGATAAAACTGATACTAACTGGAATAGGTTGAGGATCATTGAGATGAGGTCCAAGATGCTCGAAGACCGAGGGAACATACTTAGGTACATCATAAGGATGAGCGCGAATAAATGCACAAAGTCCTAAGACACCTGCATGTCTTATACGAATTGCATTGATTTCAGCATTTCTATCGCGCTCTGCTACTTCAGTGATTTTTTTATTTTTACGTTTTGATAATCGAGTTTTTGCCTTTACTTTAAATTGCTCCTAGAATGACAGTTAATTTAGTTACATGTTCAACGAATAACGTTTGACGTTGAGCAATAGAACTTACCAATAAAGATTCCTGGTCAGGAATGAAATTACAGTGTAACAATCCTCCAAGAACTTGACCAGCTTTCTCACGTACCTCCAATCGTTCATCTTCTAACAAATCGAGAACCGTATCTCTAATACGATTAACCCACATACTGTTGCTAAGAACTATGCTCATATTATGAAACACAAAGACTTGTAAGTACTCAAGACAAGTAGCTCTTGCCCACCATGAACCATTCTTGGAAACTTTAATCACAGTCTCCAGAGCGACATTTATATATCGAGGTAGAGTAAGAGCTTGAGCAAGGACTGCTAACGTTCCAGAAGAAGTCTTGGATAATTCCTCATCGGTCTCACAATTTTCTAATTGACAAACTATGGGGAACAATTCATAGAAACCAGGCAGTGCTCCGTACTGAGATCGTGAAATACTACCAATCAACCATTTGCAAATTATTTTCAACAACCTTATGGCCCCATCGCGTTCTTCGCTTTTAGAGTTCTTTGATTTATCGTTATTCAAAGTGACATTTGCCACAATGGTCGAGAGAGCCTTCTCCTGGCTAGTTTCTGCCACTGGTAAGTCTTCCGCCAGTGATTGTAATTTCGGCATTACTTTGTCAATTAGATCTTGTACACGTGGACTAGTTTGATATGGAGACTTTTCAGAAAACTGCAAATCTCCATCAAACACCATAACAAGTAGAGACGCCAAACGGTCTCGTACGTTTTGGAATGGGTTAGCGAAAAGTCTGTCTTCTAAACGAGTCTGTAAGCGCTGAAATAATTGGGACACACGCCAAGACTGTTGGCTGAGTGCACCCTGCAAAGCATAAAGTCTTCCACATTCTATAAATGATGCTTCAGACTCCCCTAGTGGCGGTTCTTCCATCAAACATTCGAGTAGCCAGTGATGTCTGTTGGGATCTCTACGTTCTTGCGATGTAGCAAAGCAAACCCCCCAGTCAGCTACAGTCTCCACTGTTAAATTTGTCAAAGTGGTTCTTATTATGGGAAGTAAAACTTCCCACATATTTGACGTCATCTGGAATGGCCAATGTTTTGCTCCTCTGATCAGACCAGCTGTTATTTCAGCAGCACAACGTTGATTACTCTCGTGTTTATCTGCCACTAGCCTCTGCAGATGAGGCAGGAAATGATGCAAGTGAGCATCACCATGGTTACGGAAAAGCCCCTTAAATAATAGGAATCGATATCCATTAAATTTATCTCTGCCTTTTTTCTCCTCCAAACTGAAGAATTTCACGAGTTTGTCCACGTTCTGTTTATCCCCGAAGAAACGATCCACCTCGCTCTCAACTTCAGACAGCTTTCGCGTTTTTGGGTCTAGACAAGGTTGCTGAGACGAGGGTGCGTACACTTCCACTTCCTTAGGCCATGCATAATAACCCAGATACGGTTGATGAACGAATCTAGGTTCGTTCCATTGTTCTTCAGTAACGGGGCGTGTATCAAAATCATATTGAAGCCAAGCATTGTCAGGTCTTTCTCCAGGTGTCCACTTTTCTATCTGCTTGTCATTAGTCGATAGCTTTTTTTGAAACTTCGATATATCAATTTTAATCTATAGAAAAAGTGTTGAAAGCCAGTCAGTCAAAAAGATCAGTCAATATATCATCTAGACACAGATAAAGTACCTTTTGATGTTTTCGCTTCTGCTGTTTCAATATGTAGATGACTGTTCGTATAGCGATTTTCCGTTCATCCAAGGAGTCATGGATCAATGCACCTAGAAAGTATCGGACTACTTTTACAGGATACACTTCATCCGGATGAACTAGATCTCTGATGAAGTTCATGGCCATCAGTCTGTGTCGCCAGTGTAAATTTCCCTCGATTATTGGACTTAGTAAATCATTTAGGACACCATAATATAAATTCTTGTTGCGAACTCCAAGCTCTTTCAGCGATTGCAATCCTTCTTGGATCTCCTTGTCAGTAGGTTGAGGTACATTGGGCTTTGGAAATGTTTCAAAGAAAGCGGCCGCAATCTTCACACATGAATCTGGTACTTCTAAAGCAATGGCAGTAGTCGGAAAATGTTTATGAACAGAGTCTACGAGTATTTCTTTCAAGCGAATGACGGATAACTTCTCAGATGGTTTGGACGTGACAATAGCCGGCCAAAGTATCTTCACCAGAGGCCAATCTCGTTTTGTCAATAAAGGATCTTGCTCAGGTCCCAACAGAAGGTACAAAACTCCCTGTTTCCAAAAGAGAGAAGTATTATAATTTCACGAGGACGGAATATTACTTCATATATACCTTGTGTGCATCGTGATTTTCTTCAGGATCCATAGCCAATATCTCAACAATGCGAGGGATAAGGAAGGTATAAGAATACGCATAATGTTGCAAAATACTAAAAAGTACAGTTTGGGCTTCTATGCGTATACCAGCATACGTGCTAGTCGCCAATGTCAATAACTCGAGCATAATGAGCTTATGAGTTTCTGTTAGACAATGAGACTGAGACTGCAAACGTGATTCGTGCTGAATGTCTGTTCTTTCGTGTACGAACGACGCGATACGTCCCTTCTTTCCAATTAATTTATCCTCAAGTACTTTTTTTGCTACCTGGAAACTTTTACGTCGAGCCTCGTAAGAATCTCGTAGACGTTCCTTATCCATGAACAAGCTACTCCAAATCTGAAAGAATAAAAATAAATAAATGTTTGAAGTAGTTCATTCGCATCGACGTGACTTCCTAGTAAAGAATTTCTAATTAACGCACGTGTATCATATGGAATAAACTTTTGGTATCATCTTCAGACTTTTTTAACATTGTAGCCTGCAAATTGCTCATGACACGAGCCATGTATTTCCTGACATTACTTCCATCTGGCATTTGAACTTCTCCTTTAATTCCGGTAGTCGGTAGGAATGGCGTCCAAGGTAACGACGACTTCATTAACTCGATGGGAGGTTCTTTCCACATTGGCAAAACAGATGTGCAGCCACCAATAATACTATTCACCACATTCAAACTGCTCAGGAGCTCCTCCCTATGATTATTCATTTAAAAAGATTCTTTGCGTAATTATAGATTTTAAATTTGTAACATGATATCCATATATAAATATTTGTCTTACTCGCAATTCTATGTTACACATATAACATAAATGTGATTTACCTTGTCAATGAAATTTTATTTGCACTGTACTGTTCAAGCTTAGCTACTTCAGGCATGAGATACTTAGAGAAAATTTGTTGTATCATAGCAATTTCCTCTTCTCCTGGAATGTACCACTTAATTTGATATTTCCCATCAGATACCATTAACGTATTGAGATCCAAGGCTTTACCCCAGTCTCTGATGTAAGGATATTCGGGGTCATTGAATTCTTTTCCCGTAGAAGGAAATGTAACCGGTGTCACAGTAGATAAAGCGTATAGGAGAAATTTGAGAAGTCTGCAGGCAATTTGACTACCTTCTCGCGACTTGAGATACAATATCTTATCAAGGACTTTTATCAAGGTATTTATATGCGGTAGTAAATTTCGTCCAGGTGTGTTAGTCATTTGAGAGAGCAGAAGCATGGCATACAAAAGTCTTTTGTCTAAATTTTCTTCCTTAATAACATCATCACCCTCATCAATAGCATCAAATATAGTCTGAGAGAGCGTTGGCACTAAGGCACGTAATGTTGCTTGACCATTGACACGAGCAAAGACGTAGCACAGGACAGCAGCTAATTGCCCGGCAATTTTTGTTTCTAGGATGCGTTCCGTGATGAAAGCGCGCAGTTTGTGCAAAGCGCAATTGAAAATTGCATCACTTGTTTGAACAAGAAGAGATGTGCATACGGCTTGTAAGGCGTCCTCTACCATGGTCTCCAGTTTACTCTTCTCGTCATTTCCACGACTCTCTTGTCGTACGAATTCCAAGGAACTGGAATCTATAAAGGCAAAGACTCGGTCCAAAAATTGCAGGATGAAATCCTCGAACCGAGATGTTGCTTCACACACCATTCTCTCATCCTCACTCATAGGCACAGTACATCTGGATGAATCTACAATTGGGACTAGCGTTGCGTATACTGATATTAAACGAAAGGTCACAAAACACTTCCTGGCATCATTTGGATCAATGCCAGGTAAGGAAGAGAATAAAAGTGGTAGTACGTGAGATGGTCCTTCTGGGAAAGTGTAGCCTGTAACCAGAAAGCAGAAGTTGTAATAGAAAATTAATCACGTGTATGCGATATCTTGTTTAAGATTGGACCTTTGATTATATTTCGAGATCCTTGAACCAGTGGCCGTGCTACAGATACCATGCAAACCATAGAGGCCGTTAGTTTGTGGGGTTCTGTCAAGGAGTCGAATGTGGAGTACATTCTCTCCAGGACGTCGGGAATTACCAAACTAGGTCTAACGGTAGCGAGGTAATGGAGTGCTTGACAAACATCTATAACACCCAACCTGCTAAACATTGCTGTCATTGCTACTGGTATCATACTTTTCACAAAAGCATCGATTTCTGAATCTGTCAGTTTGTGCGTATCTGGAATTGGTCTTTCCCATGTTGGCTTAGCATAACGTTCCCTAAATTAAATTACAAGATAGAATAATTACGTCGCTCGTATATTTTTTTCAAGAAAAAATAAGCATAGGACAGACTCACTTATGTAGACGCAGAATGAAGTAGTACGGAAGCTTTTTTAGCAGATCTTTTAACTTTACAAGCCATCTGCCGAAATTTGCGGGATAAAGATATGTTTCTACGGTTTTTAGAAACTTCTCAAGATAGGTTTGAGTACTTGATCCGTTTCCCTGCAAGATATTATAGTTACTATAATGGAATTATCATACTATTTAATGTAATAAATACAGATTTGGTACAGTATCTCACCAATGTTGACACTATCCATATAGCAATTGGAGGCATCTCAATTTTATGATGCTTGCTACTTTGTGTTTGCTTGTACGAAACAGGTAGATTAAGGCACCGTATAAATCTTGTAAACATTAATGGAATATGTGGTTCCCAATCGATGTAACCAATATTATATAATGCCAATCTAGATATTAACCACATCATTTCATTCTCCCATTGTGGCGCATTATGGCAAACTTCCCAAAAATTCATAAACTCATTGAACCATAGTTCATAACCAATTGAATTAGATGGCACATGCAATGGTAAAAACCATTCAAGAGCTTCTACAGTTGTAGATATGGTGTTACCGTTGAAAGGACAGAGCATAGGTCGTAATTCATCTAATATTTCTTGAGTAGCACTCAACTGGTAAAATAATAGTGTGATATATAGCAACAATCTGTTTTGCTGTCCTGACAGAATCTCATGTTCATGTTGTTTACCGGGAAATAGAATTTAGCAGCGTGGACTAAGGCATCCAAAGTTGTCACCAAGCAAGAAAAATAACGGTACATGCCAAGAGCTGTTTTTCCACTTGGTGTGACACGTCGTCCTAATTCAAAAAGTGGCTTCCATGGTAGTTCCAATTCATCTGGAGAAATCAGTTCTTTTTTTCTAAAGGATTGGGAATATTGCATGATTTCTTATATTGTTGTGTTATCCTTTCAAAGAATCAATAATGATATAACTATATATACATACTTTAGTAACAGGATCAAAACACATCCAAATTTATGTACCAATGAAGGTTCCAGATCCGGTATTGTTATCAATTCATACATTAATTTAATAAAGAGGATATGATCCTCTTTACTAAACTTCAGCCCATAAATCTTGATGTATCTAAAAAATTATTTCTGTACTCATATACTATAAAATAAGTATGATAGAAAAAACCTACCCCAAATACCAATGCTAAGTTACATCTTAAAAATGCAAAATCATGACAAGGACATGCAAATGAAAGGAAATATCTAAACTTTATAAAACATAAAAAATGTAATGGATTCACAATAAGAACAATTAACAAATCTTACTTGCAAAGGCTAGCTGTCCAAATTGTACAGCCAGGTTGCATTTCCCGAAGCATTACAGCTCTTGCTAGATTCCCCTTTATCTCAGCCAAGTAATATTGAGACTCTTCATCCAATTCTTCTGCATAAGGAAGTAACTTATTGTAGATAATTTCTTTTTGAAATTGAGATCCCAAACTTCCAGTAGACGACTGCATGGTTACGTCGTCTTCAATTTCCTGACCGTTCTCGTCATCCATGATTAAACACAATTCCTTAAAATGAAGACGTTGATATGTTAAAAGGTTCCGTTCAAGAAAGAGTCACTCACTGTAATGCAGTACCTTGTAAGTTATTCAGTCAGTAACACCTTGCTTATTCGTGTTCATTTTCATCGAGTCATGATTTTCATAGTAGAAGCCATATTTAATATTTTCGCATGGTAAAAGCGTCCCGCACAAAGCTGTCGTCACACAAAATCCCCTCTTAAAATTGTGATAGTATCAACAATTCAGAGCGTACGAATTAAAGACCCAATTACGGGAATTTTTTGCAAAATGCAATTGTCATTATAAAAAATTTCATCCGTACATTTAAATCTCCACTTGTACAAATACCGCTACTTTAAATCTGTGTCACAAAAACAATTTATCATTTGGTAATGCATCATAATGCATCTACATACTGATCTAATTTCTTGCATCACCCTTAGTATTAGATGCATTTCTATGCATTTTCAAAGTTAACCATTTTGCTCTTGTAAGTACGACCTATCAATGATAAAACTGTGTACAATGCATAATGATTATGAGGTTCATTTTCAAAAAAGGCAGATATATATAGATATTTAGTGCTCTAAAATTTAACGGAGCCTGACAATTATTTTGCTTTAGCAGAATATTTAACACTAGATTTACCATCTATTTATTCATTTTGATTGGTACTGGTATAAATGTGAATAACAAAAATTATATTTGTTACTAATGTATATAAAATAACATTAAGTTTATAAAATGTATTCTCTACTTATAGCTACAAAAGTCATAACATCATTTCTGAAATCAAATGATATATGTAGTAGGAATTTTGAAATGAAATTGCACGACCAGTCAAAATGACTGGTTTGGTAAATCTAGTGTTAAAGAAAACGAATGGTTTTAATGTTTTAAGTTGTGTGTTCGTTGATTTAGAACTGTATAACATTAACCAGCAGTAGACCAATTAGATTGCTTACTGACCGTCGTTTCTACTGAATACAGCCATTAGTATTTTCCAATTTTATAAAATATTTAAACAAATGATTATGTCGATGTGAAATTATATAAAATTCATAATTATTCGAAAAATTTCTTTAAATAGTAACTAAGTTCTTAAGTGGAGTTAAAACTGGGGATAACTCCCATGAAAGCAATTTAAAAAGCACATGTCTTCACAGTCGCATTTCAAACCACCATTTTTACTTTACAAATGTGGTTAGGGCATGTTACTACTAATGCAAAAATGATTTAAAATAATGTTTGTATGATTGTTATGGAACATAAGTACTGTTTTCTCAAGTGTCATCAGATATAACTGTTATATAAATACGTAAGTAGGCAACCCCTGTTTTTCATTTAAACGGATTAACTGAATGATGGACTTCGACCTATTTTATGATACAGTTAACTCGAGATTCTTTTCTGTTTTTTGAGATTTTCAAGTTGCATATGTAATGTCAGCATTACTTTACAGAAAAAAATGGATTTTACTATTAGAAACATGATGCGAATGTCTATGACATTTCGTAATTTAATGTTCTTCCCAAATTATGTGGTTTCTTCAAGGTTATTTCAAACGAAAAGTCATTATTGTACAGTAAAAAATCAAGGTAATTTATAGCACTTACTTTGTCCTAATATTTTTGTGAATCTTGCAAAATTTATTCATATTAATTTCTTTCTTTCAGACAAATCTTTCTTAGCACAGACCACTCATTCAAGTCCTGTCGATAATATAATCAAGAGTTTGCGTTCTTGTAAAAACTCAAGTGAAATTTTTAATGTTATACAGAATGAGCATTCACTGATGACTAATCGGCATATTATAGAGGCTTTGACGCTTTTATTTAATTTTCAAAAATATTCATCCAGAAAAGTAAATAATATATACCATAGACAAGGGTTTATGTTCTTCTGTGAAGTAATAAATAAGAACTTGAGAAACTTTGATGCAAATGAAGCTGTGCATGCATTGAAAGTTTTATCATATCTTAAAATTCCTATTAACAGTATGATTATGCAATCAGTCCTTCAACTTGTTCGTGAATCTATCAATACATTGGGATTGTCAAAAATAATATTTCTGGATTTTTTAATCCATCAATTTGAAAAAACACCACTGACGGAAGCTTTGTCCATTGCTTTGCCTATTGTTTTTGAAGTTCAAGTGGCAACACAACTTGATAGAAATAATATTAAACATTTGGCTAGTTGTCTTCAATACTTAAGCCTAAGGTCTCAGAATCCAGCCAGTATTGCAAACGTACTTGATGCAATATTGAAATTTGATCAGGAAATTGATATAATTAGTGCATGCTCGATTTTGAGGTCTCTGTGCTCCATTGAATCATTGCCGGATACATATATGAAACTGGTGCATAACATGGAAGAAATGGTTTCACAAAAAATAAGTGAAGCATCATGTTCTACCATGATGCCTGTATTATCAAGTGTTGTCGGGAAAATAAATGAAAAGTAAGTAAAATATTAAAGGAATAATTAATACCACAATAATATTCGTATTCAAATTGAATAATATGATTGAAACCAATATTAATATGAAACCTAACAAATATTCAATTTTTGTATACAGACAAAAGGAGTTTTATCATGAGGGGTTCTTAGATGCATGCGCCACTGCTGTTATTTCCCAAGATTGGGGTTTCGAAGAAGGAATAAACGTTCTATCAAAATTGACTTCCGTAGGCCATACGCAGATACGTCTGCTGGACTATTTGGCAGCAAAATGTTTCGAGAACACAACAATTCTAGCAAGTTCTTCACCAGAACAAATAGCAATCCTAGTGATGGGTCTTGCTATTGCTGATTACAAGCCAATATTTTGGGAAAGTATGCAAGAGGCAGTCGTAAAGAGTAATCTTTTAGAAAGAACAAGCCCAGGATTCTCATGGGTCAAATTTGCCGTTCACCTGACATCATTAGATTGCTTTTGTCCAAAAGTCATTACAAAGGCATTCAGCACTACGATAAACAAAAAGTCGAATGAAAAACGTCTACTCTTACTGTTATATCAAAGTGTAAAGGCCTTAAATCCTACATATGACGGTCCATGGCCACCAAGAGATGCATTGGAATATGCAAAAGCCTGGAATGAACTCAGGGACAATCATTTAGAATTACTCCCAGCGTTGCAAAAGGCTCTGGGTGGTAGTCAGTATATTATCTCTAACGTGAGGACGAAGCTTGGACATTATATCAGTAAGATGAAAACAAAATTCCTCAATTATATTTCCATTTCAATCATAAACAAGAAATCACTAAAAACTATTTTTTGATTGTTCATAGATCATGTAATCGTAATGCGTAAAGGCGGCTATCCAGTCGCTCTGAATTCTGCAAATAATGATCTGCAGGATGACGTTATATACATGGAAAATTTGTCTGTTCCTGCAGAGAGCCAAATGTAAGAATTCTTTTTAAAAATCGTTGGCAGTAACATATACTATATTATGTTCGGTACTAAAAATTTAAAAATTTTATTCATTTTTTAGTATTCTTATCTTATGTATACCAAGATTTGCATATGGACTGAACTCACAACGTCTAACAGGACCTTGGTCAATGCTGCTAAAATCCATGGAGGCATATACACAGCATACCGTCATACCAATACACCTAGATATGTGGTTAGGTCTTCCAGATCATGAGAAGATTCCTTACCTTATGCAATCTATCCGCCTCAAGTGTGATGATTTATCAGTTACGGCGAATATGTAAGGTTCTAAAACTATAGAACCGTAACATTGACATATGCTTTTTGAGAGTGATAGTCCAATTTTGGCATCAAAATATTGTTAAAAACAATCCCGTTTCCAGAAACGTATATATGTCATGCGTCGTTTATTATTTTTGCAAAGTACTGAAAAACTGACTTTAGTACGACACACGGATGTTATCTAGTACCGATTGTATAGTTCTGTAAAATAAAAAAAAAATAAAACGTTTTATAAGAATAACATTAATACCTGAAGTCATTACAAGTTTACTCAATTTACATAAAATAAGCGACTTTGAAAATGATATCATAAAACCTCTAAGTTATTTGAGTTATTGTATGCCATATAAAGGCTCGTAATAGGGCTAGAATTAAAGAATTTTGTCAACTGCTGGATCGTCGGAATAAAATATTTGTGAGATGCGAACGAATGGAAAATGTCAGTTCGTATAGCTTGAAACAAAAGGCTATTATATTTATAGATCATAACAATTTATTATATGAAAATATGCAATATGTCAACAATAAAATAGTTATTATCCGACAGTTCAAAAAAACTTTGAAACTGATTGTTTATACGGTACAAATTAGAACAAGCTACAAACCAAACGTCACACGTCGTTTTAGTTGTAATACTACTTGTTATCCCATCTGAATTAAAATTACAAGTAAAAAGTCTAAGTAACATATTATTACTTGTCGATTATACAAATACTTTGTAAATATAACTTAATATTACACTGAACATGATACGGTTTGTAAACAAATTTCAATCTAAATATTTTATACGGATGTGTACTATACCTATGAATATAATGCCGTTTGCATAAGACTAAAAACGCGAGATACAGTAAATTTGTAAAATTTTGTTTGAAAACTCTGATAAATAGGAATACACATTCCCCTCAACATTTCCAACAATCATGAGGCAAATAAATATATTATAAAAAATACTCTACATACTGCAGAGTATAGAAAAATAAGCTGCCTACGGATAATACAACCAGTTGAAACTTCTAGAGCACCAGCTAGCACCATTTTACTCGTGTTTCGGCAGCATGTGGTCAATATCATTGATTAAGACCGAATAACTTGAGTGCATTAAAAGCTGTAGCTAATGCTATTTCTTCAGGTGATGTCTGCATGAACGCAGCTACCATTTCAACGATTGCTGGCAAGGCACAGGGTTCGTTGCGTTGGAAGGTGCAGTAACGATGCAGGAATGTCATGGATCGTTCGGTGAGAGCATCTTTCACATGTGGAGGTAGTTTGCTAGCTCTAGTATTTGGATACATAAATGGGGCATCAGTTTCCACTAGAATTCTATCTAAAGGTGCTTGTCCACCTTCTAATAACTGTCTTACACCACTGTCTGATTTGTCTTTACACAAATACCCGGTAATTCCTAAATAAAAACCTTGATTCAGATAAATTTGTGCTTCTTCTGCAGTTCCCGTGAAACAGTGAATTAAAACTGGTGGTAGACGACTTGTATATTGTCTCAGTACTTCTATTACGTCACTTTGGGCACTTCTCTCATGTATTATAATAGGTTTATTTAGTTGACATGCAAGTTCTACTTGCTTGTGAAACACAGAGCGTTGAGTGTCAGGATCAGAAAAATCCCTATTGTAATCTAAGCCACATTCTCCGATAGCAACACATTCAGGATTGCTAGCTATGCTTTCAAGTTCTTGTAGAGTTTCTGGATCTTCCCATGATTTTGCATCGTGAGGATGAACACCCGCAGTGGAGTAGAGGGTACCAGGATAAATTCTTGTTAAACGTAAAGCTTCTTTACTGGAACGAATACTTGCACCTGTGACCATAATTTTCTGTACCCCAGCATCCTTGGCTCTCTGTATCACGCTATCCAAGTCTCGACTATATTTTTTATTCGTTAGATTGGCACCAACGTCCACCAGAATATAATTTTCATAACACTGAGTCATAGTAGAAGATGAAGCCTTCTGCTCTTCGTTTGAACTGCTTGCATTTTCAGCCATTCCTTAGACCTTCGAAGTAAGAATATCTAAAAGGAAACAGTAGCCTCTATTGAACTATTTAAAATATTATTGTTTACTTGCATGTATAATACCTACATCAAAGAGATATATAAAATTTTAGAATTTTCATGATGAAATTAGAGGCAATGTCATTTCAAGGTTTAATATAACATCCAATGTACCAAAGATATATATATATATATATATATATATTGGATGATTAATAATAAAAACTTCTATATATATCAGATCATATAGAATAATTCAAGTCAAAAAGTCAAACATGTGCCTGTGTATTAATGACAAGCCGTTAAACTTGCACTTCAAAATTTAATTTCTAAATACAAAAGGAATAAGATTCAAACCTTATGGCAAATGACTGTACCCTTAACCTGTAACTCCCTGAACTAATCTATGTTAAGAACTGAACCAATATGATTTACCAAAAGCAAACTATTCAGAGTTAAATAAAAAGTTGTTGAGAAATATACTCACTTATCATTTGAAAATATACTGAAACCAAAGGTCAGAGATTAGAGACTGATAAAGTTGAGGTGGCAATGTGTTGCAAATGATTTAACCTTTAATTATGGCAACCGTGAGTCATATGAATTACCTCAACACTGGACTTATGCCTAGAATCATATTCCTACTCGTATAACAATTGCCGAATAACATAACAATCGAACACAGTGTAAAATTAGTATAAGTAACACTGAAATGTCATTTTCATTCAAACAAAGTTGTTATTGCATTTTTAACAGTCAAAATATGCATAACGGAATGCATCGTATTTGATGAGGGACATATTCTTATCAGTATGATAAGACTTAAACGGCTAATATTTCTGCTGCTTTGAACGTACAGTCTGATTAATATAATGTTATTCATCAATAATGTTCTGCAGGATATCTAATTCCATACAGATTCGGATAAGTAAAAATTAACAAGATACAAAAAGCATGTCTTACAAGGTACAGGTAAATTAGAAATATTCAAAAATATGTTCAATGAGATTTCACTTTTCGTTGTTCTTACGCTAAATGATTGTCAAATAAAATTATTACAAATTTAATTTAGTAATATTTTATATTGTGTCAGGTAAGCATGAAATATATACAATAAGAATATTTTAGTTGCGGCTCTTGTGACTCGGGCCATTACCGTTAGATGGCATTTGGTTTTTTTTTAGAGTTCTTGCTAGTTTGACTGGCGTCTTTATAAACAAAAAGGTAGAAAGTTCTTAGCGCGTGTACTGGTTGTGTGATCATTTAAGTATATAGATTTAGTTGCATTGTTTAATTTATATAAACAATTAGATATTGTTCTTTTATAAGAGAACCGGCGATCGTTAACGAAATGAGCTAGCTAGGAAATAAATCCGACTTTTAGAGTGGAGTAGATTTATTAAACCGTTTATAACTGCAGTATACTGTTGTAAGAATATGAAGGTAAGCTCTTACTGCTCTATTTTGTTTGAAATTATTTAAAATCTGATATCATTTATGATACATATGTTCTACTTTATACCGTATCCTATGCAAAAGGTTATGATTATATATTATTGTGAAATTTTGTTGTTTAGAAAAAAGCACACAAGACAAGACGTCAAATTCAGGCCGCAAAAGCACTGATTGCAAAAAAGAGAGTTGATGATGCAAACGCTCTTGTAGATCCACTTGCAACATTACAATCTTTTCATAGCTATGTGGCAAAGGACAACAGCAGGATAGAAATTGTATGTAAAAGGATTAAAGACATACCTCCTGAAATATTGTCATGGATCTTTGATTTGATGGAGCGTAATATGAAACAACTGTATAAACAATCGAGCTGGGGATGGGACTCAACGACAAAACAAAATGAAATGACAGAACCTGCAGCATGGTACTTAATAGCATCGTGTGAAGGAGAGCATATAGGATTTTCACACTTCAGATTCGATATGGATAATGGATTGGAAGTGTTATATTGGTATAATAAAATATTATTACGCCTGAACGTACATAATCATATGAACCAGATCCTTTATTAATTTCTTTGTGTGTATAGCTACGAGTTGCAACTTGAACCATCTGCCAGGCGTAAAGGACTCGGTCGTTTTATAATGCAGGCATTAGAGTCAATGGCTTTTCAAACTTTAATGCAGAAAGTTATGTTAACTGTGTTCAAGCACAATGCACTAGCCATACCATTCTTCCATGCTCTTGGGTAAAAATCACAATTATTTTTATAAGTTACAATCTATATAGCTATACAATCTTTTTCTTTCTTCGTCATCATTTGATTTGAGTATTATGATTGTACGCATGTGTTTTGTATCAGTATGATCTCTATATTATGTACATAGTTATTCTAAAACATTAAAAATGCTCACTATTAAAAAAATCGTAAATCACATTATTTCATTATCACGTGCTGATTTGATAACCATCATAAGTATCGTGACCCAATTTCAATTTTATCTTACATATATTTCCACCACTAAATTGGCGTACTGTTTGATATTGTTACAGATACAAATTGGATAACACCAGTCCACCAGTGGCGGAAAATCTGGGCTACGTTATCCTCAGCAAGCAAAATTTATGCCGAGGGCCGGTCGACTGAGAGACCATGTTCAGTATTTTTATAACTTCTACTGGGCCAATTCTATAAATTGTGTTTCAACGATGCTGATTTCAGTATAATTTAAAAATTCGAATGGTCGATATATTGCAGTTAGACCAGATTTTATAATTGATCTCTTCAATCTGTGTACAGCAAATCTGATGTGTCATAGCAATGCAACCTAAACTTAGTTTATGCAAATGACATGTTACTACGGATGTTAACTCTTTCGCTCCTAACGTCAGCTTTGACCGGCGTCCATGCGATGACTTGTAGATACTAATAACACTAGCTTTAGCAGGCATAACTCATTTTGGTAATAACTTCACTTCTAGCGTACTTCATAATCGATATTCAGTCGACGCTCCCGTAGGGCAGGGATTAAAAGAGGAGATGAAACAAATGATAATAGCATATAAGAACATGAAAGAGTGCCGCGCTAGAGAAATTTACAGAAAATACATAGAATATTCAAAAAATGAGAAAGAAAAAGCAGTAATAGGGAACAGCATTGAAACAGTGAGAGAAACGAGGAAATGAAATGATCCATGTTTTAGTGCATAAATTTATGAGAATATGAGATAGAAAAGCAAAAATAAGCAAAGGGTGAGGACATTCTGAATGATAATGAAGCAGATTGGTAAATTGAGACTAAAAAGGATAGGCGAAACGGAGAAACGGGCATAAAATCTATAGGAGAGAAATAATTTAGAACAAGGATAATAGAATAAGTGAAAGAATAACATAAGGTTAATAGAAAATTCCTTGTAATGCCGAAAGATGGAACAATAAAATTATTTATACACATCAATTGAAATTGTGGAATCATCTTAATCCTTAGCTGGTCCACGTGGGATACCAGAAATCCTAGTGAATTTTGAAAAGAATGAAATTGACCAAATACCATGCCCTACTAAATTGTTTCTACAATGTTCTCATCGAAAACGACAAGAAATTTCAAATTGCTTTCATGATAAATATTTTTCTCAGATTTTGGTCTTTAGATTTATATACTAACCAATCAAAAACAAATGATTAGCAGCAAAGTAGGAGCCAAAAATAGCGTGAAGTTTTCAAATACCCCACGTGGAGCTTCGTGAAACGCCCAGAGTAGCGAACCAGTTATGGTTAAGATTGCGTTTTATGAAACAAGATCGGCAATAATTGGTGTGGACATAAATTCACTATGGGAGATTTTAGAGATGGTCCAACATTATGAAATGTTAGTGGAGCTTCGCTAATCGTCCAGTCTTCCATATAATTAAGGAACTTAGTCAAGTCAATTTCTCCTGCATCGGAAACGTTGAATCGTGCCAAAATTGAGTTATCCCCCCAACAAATGTCAATCGCTTGGCGATGCAAAACCATGCCTAGACCTTTACCAGCACCTTCCGGTACAGGAAACACTCGGAGACTTGTTACACTCAGATCAACGGGCAGATCAAAGCGAAGCGGTGAGAATATACCATTGAGTTCAAACGGCAGAGTAGTAGTTGGGTGTACTGCTATTACTGGATGTAGTAATTCTTCGGATGCTAAATGCCCACTCAAAGATAACAATCCAGCAGGGTTGTCTGCTACAGGACTTGGCTTCTGGCAAGTGTCTCTCTTTTTCTCCAAAACCAACATGAACAGATGATTAGTCAACAAATTATCCGTGACGCCTTGTCCCAGTCCTCTGTTATCATCTTGAACAAGTTTTCGATCTTGCATGATCTGTTAAAGAACATATCATCATGATAAATAGCTCTAGATTGGTAACGAATGGACAACAATATAATGAAATTGTACGTGATAAAAGATTAATAATTTTCATGATATGCATACTAATATCATTGATATATAGTTATTATATATTATTTAATACATTTTAAACGCAATCTTACTTCAATTTGACCGGAAGCCATAGAAGCAGTACCCAAAGGCTGTGCTGTTGCTACAGTTAATCTGACTTGTTTATCTTCAATATATCCTGCAGCAGCTAAGGGATAGTAGTTCCCTTGTGTAGGCAACTTTGTAAATCTCTGACGCCTAATCATCTGAAATAGAATGGTAAGTTGGTGCATATACGTACAGTTTCGTAACAACTACATAATTATAATAAATCAGTAATTACGTTCAGTCCATTTAGATCCGTAAAAAATTGATCACCGGATGCAATGTTCGTATCAAGCCTCATTGCTAACTCATAGTTTTGCGTTTCAGTGATATCAACTTCATTAAGTATATGTAAACCGAGGCCATCGCTACCGGGCGAATTAAACAAAGTGCACGTATGACGTACGTGCAGCAGTTCAACGAAGACCCTCGATAAAATAGGGCCAGTCGTTAAATGAATTATTCGATCATCGTCTACAAAAGCTAAATCTGGCTCTGGCTTATTAGGTAGAAAGAGATAAGCACCACTCTTGTCCTGAGTAGAGCTTCTAGTCCCATACTTCACAAATTCCAAGTGAACAGGGAAAGTAGTGTCGCTGACACGTAAGGCCTTCAGTAATCCGGACTTGCCAAATGCTGCTGATAACTCAGGTCGTTGTGTGATAGAAAACTCCTGGGTCGAGGGTAATACTTGGATATGTTTGAACCCGGTTATGGAAGGTGATATCGCAGTGTTAAAAATTGTTACGTTAGCGAAGTGCACATCCCTGTATCGTGGAACATAAATATCATGATAACGAATGAAAAATAATAGACAAGGACAACACGTAAAATAGATAGACAATACTTACGGCGGTATAGAAGTGCCGTGAAGAGTATGAATTAAGTACGTGGTAAGACCAAAACCAGGTACACTGACTAGAAATGAGAGTTCGTATCTTGTTCCTGTTAATGCAGCAGGTCCAACCCATATAGGTGACACTTGACATTTAACTGGATGACCCATACGATCTGTTACTCTTACGTATGGAGTAGATACAATTAAGGTTTGGACCTTCGTTCTTTTTCTTGGTAACGAATTATACAATATAACTTTTCTTGATGTAGTTTCGTCCCCAAGCGTTAGGACATATTTATCTCCAACGCTGGTATGATGTGATCTTGAATGAGATTGTATTGTTAGAGAAAAATAATTGCACATAACTATAATAATAGTTAAGAGTGAAATATCAATTGAAAATATTTAGGTTTTGACAAACTGAAAAATTTGAGAAATATACAAGATTTATATTAAATACTAACTAGAGTAAAAGAGGTAGTTATCGAACCTAGTTTCATCTAATGAAAAGTAGATAGATTCCAGATTAACAGCAGACCCTTGTGGACTTTTTAATAAGTGGGATATTGATTGCTGGAGTACGTGAGCAGTATGATTCAAAGCTGTTATCATCTTTTGAGCATAATCTATTACTACGTTTTCTCGAGCTGTTCCCGTTATTCCATCATGGTGTTGAAATAGTGCATGCCATCTTCGAGCTTCTGTTATTCGAGATGCAAGACTTCCTTCTGCTAACTGATCATTTCCTTTAACCCACGTTATCGCTGACAATAATTCTGAGGCTCTCAAAGAACTTAGTAATACACGGTCCAATCTTTTGTGAAATGGTCTACAACAATAATGTTAGTAGTATATAATACGGTCTTTTAATAGAAAATGAAAATTTTTACTCATCTTTACGTAGGTATTCGGATTTACCTGGATGTGAAATATCCACTCCAATAGTGATCGTCTCTATCGGCGTACGTAAAGAAGTCCCCCGATAATGTTGGGAATTCATTAATATGTTTCTTCTCTTTTACTGCATCAAAATAATCACTAAGGGTTCCAAATTGAATTTGAACATTCATATGCTCATTATTATTCATGTAATCAAAGAGCTTTTGATAATTTCCATATTGAGCATCCCATTCGGTTACGTGCGCATAACGAAAATCATCTCCTAAAGGTGCCAACACGACATCAGTCTTAAAGAGTTGGGATTTTTTACGATATTGATCGAGTAATAATTCAGCGCGTTCCGCTACATTTGCTCGTGTTATACTACGTGGAGCTACCCTCCACGGGCAGGTGATACCAAAATTAGGAAGGCGATAAAAATCAAATTGACAGCAAACTTTAGGATCTGGTCCACATGTGTGCGGCACATCGTAACTGTAAAACGGCATCATGTGAGTAAATAGTTCTGTGGAACCATCATTGTCCCACAGCTGTCTCCAACGGAATTCAAGATTCTTATCCTTAGCAAGTTTCTTTTTAACAGAGTAATGTACTCTTTGTATTAATAAATTCTCTAATCCAGCACCTTTTAAGAGATGAGGCATTGTAGGGGATAATCCAAAGGGATCTATTGTCCATCCTGAATATGGAACATAATCTAAGTTTGCTTTAAGCCATTGATGGCCTTCTGTTAACTGCGTAAGTTGTGCTATCCAATGTGACACAGCCTCATCAGGCATTACCCAGCCACCAGTTACAATTTCCAGTTGACCATCATGGACTAATCGCTTGACTAAATCTCTAGTAGAACCAGACTGTTCTTCCCACCAGAGTTTGAAGAATGAAATTTCAGCCCAAATGAATTTTCGTCTCCTGTCCTCAGCCAATTTTGTGACCATATTATTTAGAATATTTCTTGTTTGAAATTCATAATACCTCTCAAAGGTATTGAGCCACCCTGGATCATTATGAGAATGGGGCACAACAAAAACTTTCAATTTTCTATTGGGATGCCACTCTTTATCATTGTATGTAATTTTCCATCCTTGTTTCCACATACCACCATCAGGGTTGTCAAATGGTAACTGCTTATACAAATCCAACATCTGAATATCAACATCAGGTATTTTTCCTATATTGAAATTACAAGTATGCTGCTTTTTCTCTCGGTTTGAGCTCATAGAATAAGATTTATTTAGCTGGTTTTTTACATAGGCCATTGGAACCAATTCACTCTTAATTTGTGCTTCTTGAAGAGCATTCATAGCTTTATGATGTTCATCTAAATCTTGCTCTAACTTAGACAGCCTGTTTTCAAAGTGTAGCCACTGATTCTAAAAAACGAATTTGAATACCAATCCAGATTGCCATACAATTTCATATTATTTCAATAATAAGGTTTCAACAACAATATCCTGTAGAGACTTACATCTTTGATAGAAATTCTAACATCATGGTCTGGAGGAAACAGTGTCAAATCCAGCATCAAATAAATTATAACACAGCAGGCGAGTATTATACCTGCTCCCAAAACCGCAAGTGTTTTTCTAGTCCGCATTTTAAGCTTATTTCGTACACATATAATGCAACATTCACATTGATATAAATTATTACGTTTCTATTTAAGGTGCAAACATTATTTCACGTCCCGAGTCCATTGAAGCAATTTAAAGAAAAACTATCTATTGAACTCTAACCCTCGATAAGAATATTTGAGCAAACATAATGAAGATCGCCCAATCAGTTCACGTTAAATAGACTCTGTAATATACGATACTATGAGACATCGATGGTTTTAACATAACCGAATTAATTACTTCTTCACGACGAAATGAATGATTATTAAAAAATGTTTACACTCTGACAGTTGTCACTTTTTGGCAATCAACACTACTCCACGACGTACGGCAGTCAAATGAAGCCTTTCCTGTTCCTTATGGCTGCGGTCAAGTGAAGCCCAATGAAGCCTTTGTAGCCGCGCGCAGCTTTTCCTTGCCAACTGTTACAACTATCTGTGATTACGCGTACACGAGAGACTTAAATTGATTTAATTAATTCTGATTTAAAGAGATTGACCATTTCCAAATATTTCTTATAAGTAGAAATGTCTATGATTTGTGTATTCCTTTAAATCAGTATTAACTAAGCAGTTAAAACCGCCGTGTAACGTCGTATTTTATGAATACGTGGACAACCGATATTGTAATGATTACAATAATTGCGCAGCTCGTGAGATTACAGGAATGCAGTTTTTACAATTGGCATAATATATTTTCATAAGCTAATGCAAGAGAAAAAATGCTATAACTATAATCAGAAATAATTCACCTTACCGTGCTGCTGAAAATAATATAATACGATATATTCACTTTTTGTTGAAAATAAATAAAACCGATGAAACATTGTTAGTCGAGAGGAATCAGATTTGTGCATAGAGATTTCTTATAAAATCTTACAAATATTTACTACTAAGAATGAATGAAATTCCTATTAATTTCAAATAAAAACATATTGCTTATGGGATAATCATCAAAAAAGCCAATATTGGACGCGATAACCTATTACTCCGAATCATTTTCAATCGAAATGTATATGCCTCTAATTGCCCCGATTGAATCCGATTCTAATTTAATCGGATATCTATTGGTTTCTATTGCTTTTAAACGGATTATTTAAGCTGAGATAATATATGTATATGATTGTCAAAAGCAATATTATGATCGCCGTGAATATAATTGTAATATAAATATATTTTCAGTTGGATCTTAATAATTAGTACCATTTACATTTCTGTATTCATAAGCAAATCATTATCACTATCTGCTTGCACTACATTTACCTGTTTTGACAGATGCGAACCATCGATTAGATAAGGGTTTCTCTTTAAATATTTGGATTACATTGTTATTAGCTGCTATAAGTGCAAAGAAGACGAAGTAATTCGTATTTACATGGATAAGAGAGAGATATATGAATTAGTTTAAATGTACGAATTTATACCTTTTTTAAAATTCATTATAATATATGATTTACGCATTGATAATGGTTCTACGATAAGATCATTTTAACGTTTTTAAAATAATTTGAAGGCAGAATTTTGAAATACTTCTAATATCGACTGCAGTAGATAGAGCATCATCAATGGAGTACACAACTGACGTCTAGTGGCCATGTGTTCATGTTCCTCCAATCAAAATAGAGATATAATGTGCCGGCGGCTACATGAGAATGCATGGCTGAGTGACAGCTGATCCATAAACCTGTGCACTTTTGACATTAGTAAGAAAAGTGATACTGCTACGTCGATCGGAGCACGATAAGTTTGCATGCCAGATTACTTTGTATAATTCGTATGAATGTGTGCCCTGAAAAGTGACAGTTATCGCAACACAAGTATATTTTAATCCCAATATCTGGTAATCTATTTATCATGCCCGGAGAGCCACCCGCAACGTCTGCAAGCAAGTCTAGTGGAAAAGCAAAGAGGATCTCTATACCACGAGTACAAAGCAGTACGGATACGGAATTGCAGTCTCAACAAAGTCAAAGTGGATCTACACCCCTGCAACCAAACGCTCTTTACTATGTAAGCTTTCGCTCGGATATGGACGACAGTTCTGTTCCACCGGTATTACGCTCCAGGCTACACGATCTTTTCCAACAGATCGAGAAGGAATTTGCAATGCTCTGTGCAGAAAATATGGGATGTAAGTAGCAATGTCGAGATAGATCGCTCATGACAGTTCTGTACCTTATATTTTTGATTACGTTACAGTACAGGAAAAGATTGATATGCTCAATGAAAGACTCGAGAGGGAATGTTATGGTTCTGGGGAACGTGGTTTGCCTCCTGGAGAATTTACAGATTATCCAGACACAAAGAATCTTTCTAAGCAGAAGTGTAAGAAATTCCTTGCATCACGTAACTTGAGTTTATCGATATTCATTTAATTGTTATATATTTTTTTATTTAGCAATGGGAGAAAGTTCCGCACAAAAAATTAAAACTTCTCATAAACTGAAAGCACAAACTAGTAAAATAGTGTCTAGTTTCAAAAATCCCACAATGTCGTGTAGTATGCAAAGGGAATATGCTGGTCATAGGGATGGAGTATGGGAGGTGTCTGTGGGTAGATCAGGTCAACCGATAATAGCAACAGCATCTGCAGATCATACAGCACGAGTTTGGGGAATGGATAGTGGCCGATGTTTATTACAATACATAGGGCACAATGGTTCAGTCAATTCTGTACGATTTCATCCTACTAGAGATTTAGCTCTTACAGCCAGCGGAGACTGTTCTGCTCATGTATGGCAAGCAGCAGTAAATTGGGATGTGCCAAAGAGACAATCTTCTGCCGAAGATATCTCCACAGTCAATCCAGACAGAACAACAAATAGTTTGATCGGCATTAATGAGGAACAGGAGGAACCACCGACTCTAAGAACTCCAGTACGAGAACTCCTAGGGCATACAGGTGTTGTCATGGCAGCAGATTGGCTTCCAGGAGCTGAACAGATAGTTACAGTATCTTGGGATAGAACCGCAAACTTATATGATGCTGAAACTGGGGAGATTATCCATACGTTATGTGGTCACGATCAGGAATTGACGCATGTATCAACTCACCATACTCAACGTCTCTGCGTTACATCTAGTAGAGACAGTACTTTCCGCCTGTGGGACTTTAGGGAACCAATTCACTCTGTATCCGTATTCCAGGGGCATACCGAGTACGAATATGCAGTGATTTATTTATTTATATCCATACAACTGACAGTATGCGAAACTAACTTTGTTTATATATATTTCTACACAGGATAGTAACTTCAGCCGTTTTTACAAGAGAGGATAAAATAGTATCAGGCTCTGATGACCGAAGTGTAAAGGTATGGGAATTACGCAATATTCGCAGCCCTTTGGCAACAATTCGCGGAGATAGTGGAGCAAACAGATTGTCTGTATCGAGTAGCGGCATAGTAGCTATTCCACACGACAATAGACAAATACGACTCTTTGATTTGAGTGGTCAAAGGTTGGCAAGGCTTCCTAGAACAAGTAGACAGGTATGTAACTGTTATTCGTAATCTTTATTATAATTAAACTTCATAAAACTAGTTACATCATAAGAGGGAACGTATTGCAGGGACATCGTAGAATGGTATGCTCGGTAGCCTGGGCAGAAGATGGTGGAGTTTGCAATCTATTTTCTTGCGGATTTGATAGACTCGTATTGGGTTGGAGTATCCTTCCGGTTAAGGATGCCTAGTAAATTGAATCCTGTGCAGTTATGCACTTTGCGCTTGCATAAACGTGACATTGGAAATCGTTGGCGGAAACTGCATGATGTTATTAGAGATATAATTATGAGCCAAGAGTCCACCAGCCAATCCTAGCAACGATCCGCCTCTTCCACTCTCACAGACAACTGGAAATATATAGTTCAAGTGAATGGTTCTATTTTCAAAGAATATCTAGCAACAATTAGCGAGGAATTCAGAATCAATGAAAATGGTAAGATTGATAGGATATACCTCAAGTGTCTCACGAATTGTCGATGTATGTGCATATTCATAAACGCATTATAAGATGGATATAAAACAAAACTGTGTATTGAATATTCAATGAATATATATGTTACGAGGAGAAGTTTCTAGTGAGAGTAAACCAAATATAAATGATATACAAAATGTATGACTTTTATTTTATATTTCTTACCTGAATATGCCGTTAGAAGACAGAGTACTGTATATCCGTGAATAAGTGCGTAATGAGGGTCTGGTTCCACGTGTCTCCAGATTATGCCTAATAATCCTAAAAGCTTAGCGCACCCGCCAACCGTTAAAGCACGACTAAGATCACATGCTTTATATCTAGCAGGTCTGTTACCAAAAATGAGCCATCTAATTTCTGTTATAGCTATTACAGTACCGACAAAGGCTGCTATAGAGATTGTTGTTAGAGCGAGTAAAACATAAAAATTTCTCTCGCCCTCAAAAACGTCACTACTGTCACTGTTCACTTCTGGGACATTCGATACAGCTAAGTTTGAGATAAGCGTCGTCCAAACTTTAAAGGATTCACTTAAAAGTAAGACGACCATTAATTTCCAATAGGACTTGAAATTGCTGTTGTACAAAAGATGGCGATATGCTGGCTTCTCCAATAGTACAAGATCAACTAGTACTATGACTGGATCATATTCGATGTACTTGTCTGCTATACTTCCACACTTGTCCTGAAATTCAGAAAGTTATAGCGGTTTCATATGGTATTTGAAGGAACTGCAAATTCTGTTTCTTACACATTTCAAAACTTTGAGGACACTGGGACTGTATCGCCTGTACAATTCCTTAACTTCTGCACCACAATTTATGCAGGTGTTCATAACGGTACCGAGACGAGTATTCTTTAATAATTTTTAATACCTTTTTCTGTTTCCGGACCCGGTGAAATTGTCTGGTATACTGCAATTTTATAGGTTAAATGAAGACGCTGAGATGTATTCATTTTAGAGGCATCAATATGTATTGAATAACCTTGAATACCCTGAATGATCTATGTTACATACATATATATATATATGAATGTTATACGTTATTCTAGGTATGGAATTTATTACCTACAAATAACGGTACAAAACATTAAGGAGTCCTTGTCAAATGAGTAGCTACAGCGAGGACAATGATAAAGAGATGAAGGGAAAGTATAACTGTGTGTGGTAGCAATAGTGGGGTGTAATGAAAACCTGCTCCAACGCTACCGCCTAAGGTTAACCGAAAACATTATACGTGTTCACTTCATTGAGGACAGTTCTTATGATGGCTTCGAAACTATTTCTGACGTTACCAACTGGCCAACATTTACCGGCTTTGGGTTTTGGGACATGGCAAGTAAGTAAAATCTAATTTAAAAACAATTGTCTATAGAAATTATTGTCAAATATTTCCGAATATATACTCGAATAGAGAGGCTCCAATTACTTGTATTTACACTGGAGTCGAACGAGAGATGGAATCATTGCATGTATATATAAAGTTTAGTAATCTGTAGACATACACATACGTATTTCATCTCTAAACTTGATACCAGTGAAAAAATAGCCAATGATATAGTCGGGCAACGACATGAGTTCCACTTTCGAGAGGCCATCTCCTTACGAATCTAAACGTAAATAAGTCCTCTCACAGTGGAACTGATGTTGCGGGGTTCGACTATATAGTACTTCGTTTGTATTACCTACACTTTATGAAAAGTGTAGATAATATAGATAACGTGAACAAACCTAGTATTCGTATATTTAAAGTTTTTTTTAGATGTATCACGTATAATTGAAATGTATGATATACAAAGAGAATTTCCATTTTCTGCAAATTTTATAGGCAACTGATGCAGAATTAGAAACTGCGCTCGATGCAGCCTTGGAAGCAGGATATAGACACATAGATGCCGCTTCTGCCTATGAAAATGAACCAATTATTGGTAAGGTACTAAAAAAATGGTTGGATGCTGGCAAGGTCAAGCGTGAGGAACTTTTTATTGTTTCTAAAGTAAGCAAAATCATTCGATTCAGCACAAAATCAAATTAGAAATATTTATAAATAGAAACTGTAATATGATAACTAATTGAATGTTAATTAACTGAAGCTTCCAGTTGTCGGTAATCGTCCAAGTGGGGTGGAAAAATGGCTCAAGAAATCTTTGAAGGATTTGCAGCTAGATTATTTAGACTTGTATTTAGTGCACGCTCCATTTACTTTAGAAGAAGTTGGTACAGAATTACATCCTGTTAATGAAAAGGGGGAAATCAGAATTGATACTAGTACTGATCATATAAAGGTGTGGGCAGAAATGGAAAAACAAGTTGCCGACAAGAGAACCAAGGCAATAGGACTCTCAAATTTTAATATACAGCAAATAAATAAAATTCTTGCTGCAGCTAAATTACCTGTCTCGAATCTACAAATTGAATTGCATGTCTATTTTCAACAAAAGGAATTGGTGAGTCCTTAGCATGAAGATACTGCAAGCAATGTTATATATAAAGGTAATATCCAACTTTTTGTAACAGGTGGAATTTTGCAAGAGTAAAGGCATTACTGTAACAGCATATTCACCCCTGGGCTCACGTGGATTAGTTAAATTATTAGGAAAGACAGATACAATGCCTGACTTATTAAAAAATCCAACAGTGGTGAAAATAGCTCAAAAGATTGGGAAAAGTCCAGGCCAGGTGCTTTTGAGATATATAATCCAAAAAGGAATAGCTGCTATACCGAAAAGCACAAATCCCCAAAGGATTAAAGAGAACATTGATTTATTCGACTGGGAATTACAATCAAGTGATATGGATGATTTAAATGCTCTTGACAAAGGGTCATCTGCCAGAATCTGTGATTTTAGTTTCTTTAAAGGCATTCGAAATCATCCTGAATTTCCTTTCTAAGCATATACTACACAACAGTGTTATACTATTGATATATTAACATTTTTCATTGTTGATATTTAGAATATACTAGCAATCTTATATTAATCTCTTATTGGAGTAAATTACGGTGTTAGCAAAATATGAAATAAAATAATATACAACATTAGATATTAAGTTGTACTGTTCGAACTGCTTCATTACTAAAATATATTGATTTTAGTAAACTTTATTACATAACCTCAACCGACATAATATTCCAAGATATTAGCATAACTACTGAAATACGAAAGTAAATATAATTCTACAATTGTATATAGACAAAAACAGTAACTGTCAATACCTTATAAAACACTATATCTTTCAAAGGGCTCCTAATATAAAAAAAGATAACTGTCAAACAAATACCGTCAGGTGGACCAGAAAATACCGTCTTTCACAGACAAACATCAAAATTAAGGGATAGCCCTGAGAATATACTGATAAAATTAACAAATTCTACTTGCATCAAAAACTCCAATACATCCCACTTCAGTAACAATCAATATGTCCCAACATAGGCGTCACCGAATGAGATCGTCATCAAACAAGATCATCAGGAAATAAACCTCTATTATCCATGAAGAACCAGTCGAATATTCGCCAGCAAGCGGATGATCTCATGGAGGATAAAGTTTTGGACGTCATTATAATGATCTACGCATAACTTTAGGATATATCCCGTAATTGAACCACGGTTACGGTTATTAAATTTTAGTCAATAATGTCCACTGGCTTACGTGTTACCGGCTGAGATCAATCGATGCAATTAGTTGAAATATAATAACCGCAACTGTGGTCCAATTAGTAAAAATTCCCCTAAAATTAATGATGAGATTTGGGTTTCTTTTTGAAAGATATTTTTAAACCTATGTCATTGCGACTCCTATAATTTAAAAATCTTAAAGATGACTGAGCCTGCAACTTTATAATATTAAAAAGCTCATTGGTAACGTCACCAGTTGTCCTACAAATGATTAGTCTAATGATTCAATGCAGATGTATGTTCATAAAATAATTGCAAAAGAATTTTAATTAATGCATAGTGGCGGATGTTTTCGATTATAGTCATTGCTATAATAAGTTACTTATTGTTATAGTTCGTTGCTTATAACATGTTAATTAAAATTAACAAAAAATGAGTCGTACTGTCATGAGTCATAGTAATCTAGAGTGCGCTATTCTTATTCATTATATCACATTCGATAAGTATTAAGGATATGTATATACTCGATATAGCCAAAGGTCGTGAACTGCAAGCTTTATTTATTATCAATACCAATAATGATAGTGTGAGTTATGGAAAAATTCTAAAACGCGTATATGAGTAATATACAAAATGCGTACATTTTATACAATATTTAGTAATATAGCTATTCTTAATATTATAAAATATCACTGCATCTTTTCTGCCAGCAAGTTTAATTCTTAACATGTGTTTCTCGGCAAAGGAATGCATCTTAACGTGGCCTAACAGTAACAGTAATCTTCTTAACCACATAACACAGATTGTATATATTTATACTAAGTATGCAAATGAATATGTAGAAAACTAAATAATAAAAATATCCTAATCAAAAATATTATTTGTTAATTTGTTTAAAGATCTCAGGAATGCTAACAAAGCATGTGTGCCAATTATTATATGCGTATCTGCCACATTGTCAAAAAATCCCTAAAAATCTTTTCTCAGTGCCTTGAAATCCATTTAAAAAATGATACAGCAGTGTCATTAGGCTCTGAGTCATACAACTGGTAATTGCTTGCAAATACTAGCGGGGATTCATATGGTGACGCTTCACGTGTACGCATGCGTAACCCGCTCACAACTGGCATCACAAAAGATCATCACGCCTCGCCAACAAACCCGCAGTTTGAGTCTGAATCTCGTGGAGTTCGAATCTCTTTCATCAGCGAAGAAGTCTACTACACAACTGAACAACATGGCTATCTGTGAGTAACAATTATCCGGAACAGAATAACCCTGGTTATAATTTCTATAGAGAAGTGCAAAGATATGTTGTTAATTATAAATTCAAATTTTAAATTTTTTACTTTCAAGAACAAACCATTAATGAGTGACTCAAGAGCGTTAAATGAAAATGGAAATTTTAACGGTCAAATTCAAATTTCGACTTCGATGTTCCCGCCATTAAATCAAAAATTATTTGCAAGAATTCCGCTGCAAAGTTAACTGTCAATTTCACAGTTTTTACTTTTTATTTAGTAATTCTGCAAACTATAATTACAAGAAAGCTGTAAGTAGATGACAATCCAGAATTGTTACATGTTGCATAACAGAAAGATATTAATATTCACGATTTGTTTAAAACAATACGTAGTATTTATCTTCTTTTCTACATATAATGAAGTTTAAACGTTCCTCAGAAGTATAACTGAAAATAGGATTTTGTGTGTTTTGAAGTATTCTACTCATAATTCTGTCATTCACTTTGCACCCAATACAAGAATAGCCAAGGGCGAAAAACAATAATAGATACTAGAATACCGAATAGAAGCCTTTCAATTTTTTATATTCAATATCATGATCCAACTTAGATTTTTATTAAAGAAATATTACTACAATCGTTCTGTCTCATCTTAGATTTTATATAGAAAAATAACTTGAAATACGGTAGTGGATGGCGCAACACTAGCATCTAAATATAGTCGGGGTGTGGTTGCCGGTTTGACAAGCCGGCCGGCATTTCATATAGTAAGCCGGTAATACATTGGATAATCTATTCATAACGTATCTTCGCAACTGCAAAATAACGAACAGCATAACATACAGACATTTGAGAATCCATTAACGGTAAAAAAAATATTAAGCAACTTTGACATTCCGTATAATAGATCCATATGATTGGTAAATTGCATATGATAACACGGTCTCAAATGGAATGACTTACGCCTACATTATGAGACAAGCTAGTTAAATCCATACTACCTCGATCAAGATCGCCTACTTCTTCTTAAGCGTCATTCAAAATGGCGGTGATCCAGCTTAGAACATTACAGTAGATCTATTTTTAGTAAAGCTTCTCAGAAACAACAATTATGGTATGCTATGCAGCCGAATACATTGCGTTCAAGGATCTTTCGACCCTCTACAAAATACATGAAAACCCACCGTAAAAGCTATCACGAACACAGACAAAAAACAGGTTCTGCAAAGTTTCACAGAATGTTGAGTATCAATAAACCAATATAACATTGATGAAACTCAGATGTATTTGCATAGTGGTGGTACATAACTGCGTAAATCGATTTTAGTAAATTACTTCGTCAAATAAAGTATTAAAGAAAAGCCTGCATAATCGTTTACACTAGTCAGAAAAGCTATTTGATTAGATATTTATTACTGTTATGATAGCGTTGACAAATAAGTTGAAAGTTTTTCAATTGACAAGCGCAGTTTGACGTAACACAAAACGAAGCCTAAACATTGGCTTTAGCAGAAATTTTTTTCAAGGAACCAACGGTTTAGCTATTTATCGAGTCTGTGTCGTTCCCTGCGGAAAGCCGGTTCTACCAAACATTATGCAGTGTACGTATACAAAATATATGGCACAGCTCGTATATTCACTTTAATTGAAAATATCGCAAAGTAAACTGTGCTATGAATCACAAACAGGTTCTATACGTCCCAATGAAAATGTCGAATTGTGTGTTAGACGTACATACATACATAGAAGGTATCTCCTTTTGCCCAATGTAAAGCTGGCGTAGCGAGTCAGGATCACGTCATCCAACGTTACGATTCGCTGCTCTTGTGTAATACGCGTTCCAAGCTGCTTCGTTATGCTTCTTACTTTGAGGATGATCGCCACATACAAACTTTTCGTTTCCTCAGTGCCTTCGTTCTCCTGGACGAGTGGAGAATTTCGAGAGAAATAATTCACACCGAGTGGTCTCCAACAATGAGCCAATTGTAACCTTGTGTTTAAGAGAGCGTATCTCCTCTTTTCTTTATAATAAAATTTGACTACCAGCACTAACAGCTTTTCCAGGTCGTTATTCAATCGAATGACAATACGTTTCTTTGTCGTTTCTGTAGCAACAGAAGTTTTCTTGATAATCCAAAGATTTGTCGACGGTATATTTACGATCGTGACACCATTGCAGACACTCCTTTAGCATTTGTCTTTACACTCGACGCAGAATTCCATGACGTTCGCTAAAGACCACCGTTGCTATGCGGGTTCAGTGACAGTACGGACAAATAAAAAGGTAGGTTTCTAATAGTACTGCGCAGTCCTGACACGTTAATTCCGTTACTCCAGTGCAGCTAATTGTAAACAAGAATGCACATCGCAATACTATAAATATTATGCACCATTGTACTCGCTCTGTCGTCCTGCCACTGCTGCCAGCATTTTTCTAACAAGACTTGAGTGTCTTATTCGAGTTAATGACTATAAATAGACTAGTAATTTGTAGGTTAGAAGTATTCAGCGGTTAGGGAATAGTCACTAAAGACTTGCAGTGTGTTACCATATTCGAAATAGGCATTCGCAATGTTCCGTTGTTAAAGAATGTAGCAGAATGAGTGTTGTACAATGAGAATTGGCTGAATAACACTAATTTTCATGTAATGTTAATTGCAAACATTACAGCGCTCTACATTATAAGAGCTAATTATTTTGAAGAATTGGATCAATATAATTTCTAGGTCTTTGTAATGCGTTCAATGAAATAGAAAAACTGTTAGTGTTTCGCTACTTTATATGTTACGTCTTCCGAGATCAATAGTTCAGATGAACATATACGTTGACTATCTTTCTGCGTGGTTCGGGAGATTTTGCGTGGAAGAAAAAAAACATCCGATATCGTCATCGAAACCAAATCGAATATGACATCATATTGATGACGTTTCTCGCGAGAAGGTCGTCATTGGTGATTTAATTGAACCGTTCACTGTTGACTAATCAACCTTCTATCGTGCGAGTCTTGTGTATGAGTGCATAACGAGACGCTTCGAATATTTTAAATATTGATTACCAAGTAGTGATATGATGTCACCTATGACTTTGGCCTCTATGACATAGATAACTATTTATATATCTGGAGATTCTTAAGCAATTCGTGGATTCGGTCAGTTTGCGAACGAGGCTTAAGGGTATTGCACGTGATCAGAAAATAATCTTTAACACGTCAGGGTTTCGTGTATATATATAGTATATATACAATATATACACACATACACACATTTGTATTTTTTTTTGGTAATCCAGTTTTAAGATTCGTGCCGGTCGCCGAAGTGTATTTATATATATATTTATATAAAAAATAAATAATATACAGTGAATTGTATCCAGAATTGAGAAACTGAGACTAAATAATTTAAACATTACGTGAAAGAGACTTTATATCAATTTTAAAATGATTGTGTTGGTGAAGGATATTTTACCAAAAAATTTCTTCGTCAAAACTGCTATACTGGTACTTGTGTACTCAATAACTGATCTACGATATCAATTAAGAACATTGCTCTATCGTGACGGTACATACATATATACATATATATACCAATGATCAATATGATTTACCTATGATGAAATTCTTCTGTCTCTCTCGTTACCGCGCGACAGTAATCTAATCTTCCGGTTGGTTACTTCCGCAAATTAAGATAAACTAAGAAAATCCTTCAGGCAACCATAATTTCGGTACTTTGTTTAAAGGAAGATCTGGCGCGTTGAGCTCTCGCTACTTGTTTGCCGTGTGACAAGGAATGCGCGCCGGGTAAGAATTTTGTAGACTTATCGGGAATGTTGCTGGCACTGCATTGCTACGTGAGAGTAATGCTGAAACAGAATAGTCCTTGAGAATGTCAATAATCATGAATTGAATTTATTAATCGTTAAGAAACTCATTGCTGTAAATTTCGTCTGAGCAATTTATATTGAGATTCAAGGTGATCATGACCTGTATCATTATCTCTGGTAGACCATGTAATGTATTATATGATTTTGAAATGTTGCCGAGAGGTTAGAATTCGAAAAATAAACATCTTATACGTTCTCTTCGATGACTTTGAGACTGATGTCGATCTTACGGATCGGTTTACATATGCAAATCTTATGCAAGGATTTGTTTACGTCTGAAACGATGGGTGTGTTTGCAATTCAGCAATAGCAGCAAATGGTTTGTGTATAACCTACAAGAACATTAATGTTTCAAGCGTCTAGTTGCGTTAATAATGTCTTCCGTTATGTTCATTGATTTTTGAAGCAAGAAAAATTGTTTAGGACTCTTACGTAACAGTCGACAGATTTTCATACGACGATGTGAAGTTTGGTTCTTCGAATTGGAATTTTTTCCGGTTCTTAATTAACACTGTCTTATTAAGTCGTAGATCGAGTACGAAAGACGTTAAGTAGTTTTACTATTTCCCAGTGATACTGCAATTATGTTTCACGATTGTCATTTTGCATTTTAATAGTGTAAAGGGTACTATTGATCCTTGGGATGCCTCCATTGTCCTACTTTCCTGATTACATTCATCCGTAGGAAATATATTATCGGAACCAGACATCGTAGCGCTGTGTACTCGCCAAATGACATAAAATATTGAGAGTCTGTCTCTCAGTAAAAATTTGTTCTTAGAACATTTAATTGAATTGAAAAAATCTTTGCACTGCTCTAATGCTCGGTGAATTCATCTAGGGTAAATGCTGAAAACTTCTTTACCGATTGAGTAATTGGTTTCATTTTGTTTCGACTTTTTAGCACTTTCTACGGAAGATAAATTGGAGTATCAGTTCTATCCCGTCACTAGTGGACAAATTCAATTTCGTGTGAAGACAGCTAATGATGCTCACGTTGCTCTTACTACTGGTCCAACTGAGGGAGATCCTATGTATGAGGTATTTATGATTTTATATTAATTATCCAGATTGTGACTTAAAAACCAAAAGGTTGGTATTACCTATAATTAAAATTTTATCAGGTCTTCATTGGCGGTTGGGGTAACAGCAAATCTGTAATACGTAAGAATAGATCCAAACCGGAAGTTGCTGAAGTTGAAACACCTGGTATATTAACTGCCGATGAATTCCGTGGTTTTTGGATCAGGTATGTATCTATGATAATTTGATTTATTGTAAAATTATAAGTAAACGTAATTTTGACATTAGGTAATTATTAATTGATTATTAAAGATGGGACGGTGGTAACATCACCGTGGGTAAGGAAGGCGAGGGCAGTCCGTTTTTGAGTTATCAAGATCCGGAACCATTTGGAATTGGTTACTTTGGTGTTTGCACCGGTTGGGGCGCTACTGGCGAGTGGCTCATTGAAGGTTAGTACCATATATGTATTATTATAGCTTAAAGTTTTGTACAGGGGTGGACATTGTTTGCAAATAATAATTTTGAGTATATGCTATACATAATTGCTAGAAGAATATACATTTGGTGCGATGAGACTATTACATTAGAATCGCATATCCAGGTATAAGGAATGTTATAAAATACGCTTACAATATAGTTTATAGTATTTTTAGCTTTCAATATAATTTTTATGACAAATTTTGACATTTCTCGGCACCGTTAACTCGTGATCGCTACAGCCAGGTGTATAGGCGGTTACGGTGAACGTATGTAAAATATAAAACAGTTTTTGGCACCTTTGAACGTTTCGCTTTTAACCTGCAGAATGTATAGTTTTCATATCCGTGCACGTTAAAACCCAACACTCGATTAGAGATACCAAATACAAACTAAACAAAATATGAAAAATTGACAAATCAGAGACTTTGATTATTAATTGATATATCACTTTAATACTGCATTATCATAGTTGTACCTTGACCATAATTGAAGGTCGTAAAACATTGAGAACCCCCGACGAGCTGTCCTACAAATTTCATCCTGTAAGAAGTGGAGCAGTGTCAATTGAAGTGAAGGCCAAGAGCAATGCTCATATCGCCCTGACAAACGCCAAAGGCGAGACAAGTCCAATGTATGAAATTATGATCGGCGGATGGGAAAATTCAGCGTCTGTCATCAGATACAATCGCACGCAGCCCGACAAGGTTCACGAGTATTTTATTTTTTTATTTCAAAAGAGAGATATATAGTCTATCGATATTTTACAATAGGATTATTTTGGATCAGGTGCGCGTAGATACAAAGGGCATTCTGAATTCCAATGAATACAAGAAATTCTCTATCTCTTGGCTCGATGGCCATATTGTGGTCAAAACCGGAAATCAGAGTGGTCCAGTGCTTCTGGACTGGCACGATCCCAATCCTATAGGCGTGAGCTATATCGGTGTACGTACTGGTTGGGGTTCTACGGGCAATTGGAATCTTCGATTCGAACCTCATGCAGCTCATGGTGGCTCAGGAGCAGCAACTCCCAGTAAACGTAATTTTCTAGGATTTCTGTAATCCGATCTGATAATCAGCTTTGCTTCGTGTGAATCATTACAGTATTATCAATGTTATTGAAAATATTTAATTATCTATTGCGATCTTAAATTATATATTTTTTCATGTTGTTTACGGGATGGAAAATATTTAACAGAATCATTCGCGAGCTTTCTACAATATAGAAATTATATAGGTTTCATATTTTGTATTAACTTTGGTGTTTGACAGGGCTTGCGGCCTATACTACATCTACATTTAGTTTCTCACTCTGCGTTGTCTATTAAATTGCTACTTCAATGAGGAATGTATCACGTATTGACTTGCTGCATGTGTCAGTGAATTGTGTTAGATGATATTCTTGTATTATAAGCGTGCACGTGCTGATTAACTTTCTTTATGTTAGTAATCTTTATAAGAATGTTCAAAGCGTATAGAGTGTAAGATAAAAATACCTACTTGCATGAATTAGGCAGAATAAACACATCATGAACCGTGACTCGCTAATAAAACTAATAATAATTAGGAAGGTCTGCTTCATGTGGCAGAAATCATTAAGATATTTCTCTTGTCTTAGTTCCAAGATTATTAAAACTCCAACCCTCGCATGGTGGCCTAAAGGATTCTAGATCTTTCATTTTTCATGTCAATACTAGTATAATTTTTGTGGATATTCTTTATATATTGATTGGCAATGAATTTGATCGATAAAAAAATTAATTCTCCCACATATGTTTAAACAAGAATAATTTCCAATCCAAAATAACATATTTAAATTTGTCATCAATGAATTGCATTAACAAAATGGGGTCCTTTATAAAAGCTGACCTGTCTATTGAAGTGTTATATGCTGTTCTACTCACTGCACTCTGAACGAATCTTTTGAATTGTGTGTAAATGTAAATATAAAAACAAATCATATTTTTCACCTCTCTTAACAGATCCACAAAGACCTTCCGCGCCATCAGCTCCGGCAGCATTCCAAGCGGGAACTGCATGCTGGGTAGACGCTTCCGGCGGTATGGTACCTCCTGGTGCAATTGTAGGAGGACAGGACGACGAGCCGTTGTACGTTGGTCGTGCCTATCACGAGGGTGCTCTTATACCTGGCAAGGTCAAGCCAGGTCATGCTGTATGTTACATACCATGGGGCGGTGCCGAGCATGGAAAATCTGACTACCAAGTAAGAAGACTTGTTTATAATATTAAAATCGAAATTGTTAGATAAAATATTTAGAACTACGGTTAAATACTAAATATGTTGTTCTTGATTCTGTACAGGTTCTCTGTGGAGGAAACGTAGCGTGGATACCAACCTCTGGAGGAAATGTTCCACCAAATGCTATTCCTGGTGGCGAAACCGAAGACGGTGAACCTCTCTTCATTGGACATGTTACGCACGAGGATGGCGTTGTTACCGTTGGAAAGGTACAACCGTCCCACAAGGTGCTCTACGTTCCATATGGTGGTGGTGAAGTCGGATTCGACGAGTATGAAATTCTGGTTTCCCATTAAAAGCGATATGAAAGCATTCTGAACCTTGTCGCTGAAACATTGCCGATTACCACCGATGAATTTTGGAATTCAGGAAGATTCAAACAACGTTTTTAAATAGATTGTGGATTTTGATCTGTCGCATATTGTACAACGAGAAAAGAACCGCAAGTGTCTTACGCAATCGCGGACGTATTATTTATTTAGAAAACTATATATATATGTATGTATGTACTTGTTATTAAATATCACAAAGATATTCTACATGAAACATAATATACGTACGATATCGAAGACGTACAGTGAAATTCTATTCCAGCGTTCATCGATTGCGAATCGTCTTTGCAACAATAGCAGCTTTCGCATATATATATATATAAATATATATGTGTAGATATATATCCCTGAGGAAACAATAGCGCCGTAGAGATGGCGATTGCCATGCAATTATATTGCTCGGTTAATGTTGTTAATCACCTACAAACCCACCATGCACAAGAAGAAATGTTATTTAATTATATTATGCGGCGACATGTAAACATATATTTTACCTTGATATACGCGTAGCTTTTAACGCACAAGAAGTATTGCTTTGTCAAAAATATTTTGCAATTGTATACTATAACTTAAGGATAAATATATATGAATAAAATACATGTTACATGTATGTTTATTTACCATTTTTATATTGTATACATCAAGAGTGTTGGTTTATCGAAGCTTCTATTAGAGCGTTCAACTCAAGTTGTTTAGGCAAAATTAGAAGTTCGGCGCGATTCCTAAATCTATTATTATGGCTAACCCCTGTTCAGGGATGACTTTCTACACATCTAGGGATCTCTGGTTGTTCCACGTTGGCAAGAGGCTCCACTGAAGCAGACGACGAGCCGCTGCCGTTGCAGTCTGTTGCAGTCGAAGATCTATATTTTTCCTGATATTCCTTCTCTTTATTAATACGTTATGAATCTAATAGCGGGTACGCGTTTTCGGTAAAAAATAAATCAGTTAAATGTAGCGTGATATAATGGATCAGTTAATCATATTAGTGGCGGCAGTACATCTTCTGTACTGTCCGTTCACGAAAGTCGAAGAAAGCTTCAATGTTCAGGCAATGCACGACATCTTATACCACGGCTTTAACCTTACGCAGGTAAAAATTATTTTTTATTTTGATCGTATAATCAGTTTAGCATAATTTTATACTATTTTGGCGCATACAAGTTCGTCATATATCATTTGTCTCACTTGACAGGTTGCCGACACCCAAGCAAATACATTGTTACGCAAAAGCATCTTCGTAAATTTAGATTGAAGTGTATTTATAAACTTGAGATCAAGCAATATAGTATATGCCATGTCGATTTAATTATTTATACATTTCGTGTGATTGCTTTTTCAAATAAACTATTTTAACACAGCATTCACCTTACGTTTTTGTAAAATGTTATACAAGGCTGTTCCTCTTTTATATGTTTTGATATAGTTATTATTTTTAATATTTTGACTGATATTCACTTTTGGAATACATGATGTTTCTTTATTTGTTAATCCATGAAATCATTCATTTTAATGAGCATTAATATGTTTTATTAGAGTGAGTATTATCGAGAGTTTGCTTTAGAAAGATTCAGTTGCGTTATGTTAGATATGCTGAGAGAATGCAGTGTGTCTCAAAATAGAGTAAAAGACTACTGGTATGAAAATTGACTTTGGCACAGTAAATCATGTACAAGTCCTTGGACTTTATACTGTATGTAACTATAAAATTTGAAGTCTTACATTCTTTGAATTAGAGAATATGTCATTTTTTATTGTGAACAGCATTTGTTAATATTTTATACATTTCCTATTTATACATGGTAAAGGGTTAATATGAAAATATTTGTTTGTTTTCTTAAAATAGTATGATCATCATGAGTTTCCTGGAGTCGTGCCAAGAACCTTTTTGGGACCAATTTTAATATCAGGCATTGCATCGCCCATAGTTGCAATCATTGACCACTTCAACCTTAGTAAATTTTGTGCTCAATATGTGGGTGAGTGAAATATCTGCATATACATATTTAATGAATGTTAATGATAATTATATCTTTAAATGTATTTTTTTAGTAACAAAATTTTTATTTAAATTTTTCAGTTAGAGCAATTTTGGGTTTATTGGCAATCACAACTTTCAGGATGTACCGAATAGCTTTGCAATCAATATTTGGACTCCAATTTACAAAATGGTTTGTGGCTATTACTGTAACACAATACCATTTTATGTATTATCTTAGCAGGCCTTTACCAAACATTATGGCTATGCCACTAGGTAATTGCAATACCATAGCATCTAGAATCTCATTCTTGGAGATACATTCCAATTGACAGAAATATCAGAAATTTATTTTTTTATTTTTAGTGCTCTTGGCCTTATTTGGATGGTTAAGGCGAAGCTATGTAATTTTCATTTGGTCATCTGCTGCTGCCATAATTATATTCAGAGCCGAACTAGCGATGCTTTTGGGTCTATTTCTATTATATGACATAGCAAATATGAAACTAACGGTACAGAGGTATTTACAAATTTTATTCAGAATTCTCTATCGTTTAAACAATATTGCAGAGATCAGTAATTGATTATTTCATGACAAACTATTTGTCATGAACAATTGCATGCCTTTTTGGAAAAGTATCATGTGTAGATATCTTGATATTTAAAAAATCTGTCACAAGATCTGACACAAGTGACAATTTTCCAAGCGGGCATTCTATTTTCGGATTATAAGTATAATTCTTAGAAGTAATAATAATTTCTAGACTGCTTAAAATTGCGGTACCAGCTGGTATATTTTTCCTAGCACTGACCATTACGGTAGATTCCATCTTTTGGGGACGCTTATTATGGCCAGAAGGTGAAGTGTTCTACTTCAATACATTTCTCAACAAAAGCAGTCAATGGGGCGTATCCTTCACATATGGCAAGATATCATACAATACTTAAATATATTTTATTTACGTAATATCATGCGTATGCTACCTTACATATACAAAAAAAAACAGACGTCACCATTCCTCTGGTATTTCTATTCCGCTCTGCCACGTGGACTAGCACTTTCTTACATCTTGATACCGTTGGGACTATTTTGGGATGCCAGAGTGCGTGCACTTACCGTTCCCGGTATCTTATTTGTTCTTTTCTTCTCATTTCTACCACACAAGGAACTGAGATTTATCATATACGTCTTCCCATTGTTAAATGTTAGTGCAGCAGCTGCTTGTCACAGAATGTAAGTATTCTCTATATCATACACGTTTATGATCATTGTAGAATATATTGATCTTACTTTGTATTGTACGAAATCAGATGGGAAAATAGAGCAAAGACATCATGGAACAGCTTCTTGGCTTTGGCCGTTCTAGGACATCTCGCTTTAAATGCGATATTTTCCATGTTTCTTCTCTGCGTGGCCGGCTCAAACTATCCTGGTGGCTTAGCCATCACCAGACTACATAGACTCGAAAAGGATGCCCCCCAGCCCGTCTATGTTCACATTGATGTATTAACAGCGCAAACGGGAGTGTCCAGATTTACACAAACCAACCGATCTTGGACGTAAGTCATTTATTTATTTGACAGAATAAAATTCTAGCTAGACCAAATATTTTGGCTTATCGATCAATAGTAATTATTTGTAATATAGCTAATGTACAATCTTGTGCACTATTCTTAGATGAATGAATTACGTTTCAGCTATTCCAAGCAAGAGAATTTAACTATCGATGATCCAGAAATGTTGAAATTTACACATTTACTGATGGAGGCAAAGAGCAAATACTCACCAAACATAAAACCATATCTCAAGACACATGATATTTTGGATTCCGTTGATGGTTTCTCTCATATTGCATTAAATTATAATATGATACCGCCCATCAGAATAAAAACAAAGCCAACCATATTTATTATGAAGAGAAAACCGAATATCGAATATGATGCCAAAAAGGTCATAGCCAAAAGGAATTTGGATGAACCAGTTCAGATTGATAACAATGAAAATTTAAACAATAATATAATGATGGATGAAAGTTTAGAGTATATGGAACCGATATTTGACGATATTGTAGAATCGTTAGAAGCATTTGGTAAGCCATTAGAAAGTACACAAGAAGATATATCAGTAACTGAGTCCATACCTGATACGGTAATAGATATTGATAGAGAAAAAGAAATGAATAATTTGTCCATAGAGGTGGATATTGACGAGTCTTCAAATATACCTATAAATGATAAAGATTTTAGTAACGTCCCAGAACCGTCATTGGAAATAAGCAAGGAGCAAATAAATTCTATTAAAATGGATGAAAACGACAACGATGGAAGATCTAAAGAGTTGAAAATCGAAGAAACTCAAGACATAGAATCAGATTTGGAGGATACGACAAGAGTTCACAGTGCCCAAGCAGAGATTGATCATGAAGTGGATAAGCAAGAAACTGTCAGTGTTAAAGAGGCAGTAAAGAAATTGATTCAAGAAAAAATGGAGGAAGTCAAGTCAAAAAAGAATTTAATGAATGACACGGAAGATAACTTGATAGTTGGCAAACATGACGTAAAGTTAAAAAAGAAAGTTACAACAGAAAAAGTTGATGTATCGAAACCAACAAAAGCAGGACTTAATAAAGATTCTAAAGATTCTCTAACGGAGAGACATAAGCGTAGTAAACAAAGAGTGTTACACGTTAAAGATAGCATAAGAAATATTATTAATCAATTTAAGGAATTCGAAAAAGATTTAGCGTCAGAAGATCCTGAAAATTTGAGGAGGTGGTCGGATGATGAATTCAGCGATTACTCCGCAGAAATTGAAGAGGTAGGAGCGGTCTCTTTGGAGGAGAATATAAACGAAATGGATAGATTTATTGTAGAGACTCAAGATCCAAATATCTTGAAAGATGCCAAAGAAAATCTCAAAGAGATTATAGATCAATTTAAGGAATTGAAAAATGAATTGACATCGGAAGAGGATGATCAATTTGACAAGATATCTGCTGATTACATGAATAGACCCATATCGGAGACTTTAATGCTATTTAGTGAAGCACTGAAGGATTTAGTTCAAAAAAGAAAAATAAAAGCCACTAAATTAACCTTAGAAATTAGCGATAAAGTCGATAACAACGATGTATTGCCATCGGAAAATGTTAAAGTTGTATCACAGTTGCCAAAAAAGACAAAGTTGAAGCAAGATAGTGTTAAAGGAAAAAAGTCTTCGAAAGTAGAAAAAGTTAAATCAAAACCTCTTCATGATACGATTGTACCAGATAGTTTAACAGTAAATATAGTAGAATCTTCCAGGAAAGTTGATCCTGGTGATATTCGTGTTTCATTCATTGAAAATGAATTTCAAAATTCTCAAGAGTTTAGTAGTAACATTATAAATGATGTTGTAGTAGGGGATAGAGTTTCTAATGAAAATTTTGAAAAGTCACAAGGAAGTGGCAAAGGTAGTGTGAATGTTTGAGTGTTTTTAGCAGTAATGGACTGTTTTTTAAATCAAACACGTCAACATATTACATAATAGTTACATTGTAAATATGTTTCTCTCTGTGATACCAACAAAATTGTATCTCTTGCTTGTTGCTTGCTCGGTACCAACATGGAAGGTGATAGGCATTATTTTTTCTTTCTTTTTTTTTCACAAGAGGAGTACATGATATTACGCTTATCGGACATTGCATTTCTAAACATATATGCGTTTAATTATATGAATCACATTAATTTAGCATTGTTATTTTATATCACGTTACATCACAACTCTAAAATTCAGATACCGAAGATGACGAGTAATTATTATTTTCATTAGAGCTTTTTATATGCATTTCATTGTTGGATTGAACTAACAAGTTCTTGATACTAATTTCCATTCCGACAGAAATCTTTGTATTTCCCATAATCATATAACTTAAAATATTATTCAGCATATAATTCCTGTCTGAAGGAAAATACACTAAAAAAACAGTCCTTTTTTCAATGTTGGTACTTGCCAGGCTAACTTAAAAGTGCCTTAAAAAATTATCTTCCTAAATCCTGTATATTGTATTGCGTAAGATATATACGAAATATGTATCATTGTTTTACAAAAAGTAAAGACATTTATGGTTTTCATATTCGTCCATTAATTTCATAACGTTTAAGCAAAATCATGCAGCTTCAAAGATTATAAGTTTTATTCATCCAACATTTAGGTGATTACACAATTACTTCGTGTAACATTAGTTATATTGAATTGTAAATAATGGAATTTATTTTAATTGGTTGTCAAACTGTAGAGGAACCGAAGTGAACTACCGAGGCCATATATCGTGAGTGCCACCGTTAAATTCAGTAGAAATTTATCGAACGTACCTCCTTTCAGATAAACAGGTAATCCATCGTCACACTGTAACGATTGATAACTTTTTCTTTTGCATTGGTTGATCGATATTATAATATCTATTAACGGCAAAAAAATTTATGTACCTGCATTGCCGCCTGTTTAGCTTTAAAGGCCTTGAATTTTGGCGAATAATTAGACCATTCTGTAGACATAACTCTTTTTGATATGGTGGGCACGCATCGTGAATTGTATGGCTGCACCTGTAAATTTACAACTTCATGAAGTAAAACTTATAAACACGGCAATTATTAGTATAAAAAGTACACGATAGGATGTACTGTACTTTTAAAATATTTGTTAGCGTCAACATTTTCCGTAGTAACATCTCTTTATGATAAGAATACATTATAAAAAGAGATGTGTTACAATTTGAAGTAGTTACAGAATTGAATGCCAGTTGCTGATAGTCATATCAATATTATTTATAAAGGAGTAATTCTTTTCTTTAACAATCGCATATCAGCAATATCATTATGAACTATTATCATTATGATAATTAATTGAACCGCATTTATTGACTTAACTCAGGGTGTTCGAGTCGCAATTTTTCGTAGTAAAATCTCTCTATGATAAGAATATATTATAAAAAGAGATGTGTTACAATTTGAAGTATTTACAGAATTGAATTCCAGTTGCTGATAGTCATATCAATATTATTTATAAAGAAGTAATTCTTTTGTTTAACAATCGCATATTAGCAATATCATTATGATAATTAATTGACCCGCATTTATTGACTTATTTCAGGGTGTTCAAGTCGTAATATTTCTTAAAGTAGCTGCTTTACTTTCGGTTACTTACTAACAATTACAATAAAACTACCTAAACGATAATAAGAATTGAAAGAAGATGAAATAGATTCAAGTGTTACTAATCTCTCGGCATGAAAAATACCGTAGAAATAATATGGCGCGTAAGTTTCACAATGTTGCCGACACTGACGGGTAGTTTACCTCGTCGACTAGCGAAAAGGCGCATGCGTACTCGCGTCGCGACGCTACAGTCGTAAACAACATTTTTTCAATCCCGAATCGTCACGAGTTTACGTATACAAGGTAAACCGTCTGTCTCAGTGTTCGCAATATTATTTTTTTGTTTCCTCGCGCAATTCCCCGAAGAAAATGAGGTCAAACTTATGCTATTCCGCTACGTAATTCGTGGGCTTGGTCGAGTTTGGCATGAGGTGACGTCACACCGATCGTTCTGGAAGGAACGCTGCAGAACAATAATGGCGGGTACGTATTTATGTCTAGGATAGAAGGCAATAATTTCTTAATTATTTTTGCCAAGGAACATCGTATGACGGTCACTGACCGTTCAATATTTTTTTTCAGACTTATACGGCAAGTATAATTGCACCTATTGCCAAGAAGACATTACGGGTTTACGCGTGAAATGCGTAGAATGCACAGAGTTCGATCTGTGCCTGCAGGTGAGTCGAGTGAACGCCCGACGTCTCCGTTTGTCTCTTTCATTCCCACCATAGCAGCCACGCAGCTTCCTTTCTGGCTGCAAAGTGCCCAGCATTCCGTCTGCTTCCTGCTCGCATCCCTGCCTGTTCCTACGTCACGTGGTACCTCCCACTTCCTCTTTATCTATTACAGAGATTTTGCGTGGTGAGCAACTTCATGGCTCTTGTACTGCTCTGTCCTCATCTTTTACTCTAATACGTACATAAGTGGTTCCCGTGTTTCATCTTAATCTAGTTGGGATGTGTCAAAGAGATGAGGGAATGAATTCTGTTTTTTTTTCCATACATGCTCTATATTTGCCCATAGACAATTGTCATGAAGATGTGATCAATCATAGAAGTTTTATTATTATGATTTGAAATACAAGGTGGTTAATCATGAGGCGATTAAAATGTTTCATATAATATAGACAGTTATGTACTATTAGTTTGATGTTTGTTAGAATCTGCTGAGACAATCCTTTCTTTTATTTTTCTTATAGTGTTTCTCAGCCGGTGCTGAAATTGGACAACATAAAAATGACCACTCTTATCAATTCATGGTGAGTATTGGACGAATTAAAAATTTATATAACTTGGTATTGATGAGCTAGTAATATTTTTTATTAATCGTGACTATAGGACTCTGGTACGATTAGTATCTTCAATGGTAGAGGTAATTGGACAGCTAGAGAACATCTCAGGCTCCTTGATGCTATCGAACAATTTGGGTTTGGCAACTGGGAGGATATTAGTAAACACATTGAGACACGGACTCCTGAGGGTACTTACAATTGATTTTCATGCATTAAACAATTTAGTTCGTACAACTCAATTAATATCTATGAAATTTAATTACAGAGGCTAAGGAAGAATATATTGCAAGGTATCTCGATGGAAATATTGGTAAACATACGTGGCCTCCCACAGAAAGCTATAAACCAAATCTCACTGATCAGACTAGCTCAGATTATGGGCCGTTATCCCCTGACTTAACGTCTCGATTGCCACCACTGGATATTACACCAGAAGAAGCAGCTCAATTGGGTTACATGCCACAGCGAGATGATTTTGAGAGAGTATGTTAAATATGTTGCAGATATCTGGATTTTCTCGTTGAGGGTTTGATAAAATACAGAATTATCTAATACTTTTTTCCAGGACTATAATCATGAAGCTGAATCCCTTGTATCCTCACTGTTCTTAAACCCAGCTGAGGATGATGATCTTGATATCGCCTTAAAACTTGCACAAGTTGATATGTATACCAACAATTTACGAGAGAGAGCAAGAAGAAAACGTGTCGTACGAGATTATCAGCTTGTGTCGTCATTTTTTGCGTCTTCTAGAAAAGATAGGGTAGTCAAGAAAAAACATACAAAAGAGGAAAAGTATGTGAATTGAATATCTTAATTCAATTTTGTATGTTAACTATTACTCGACAAAATTTAAAGAGTTTCTCCCTTATAAATTCAGGGAATTTAGGGAAAGGATGCGTGTATTTGCTCAGTTTTATACGGCACAGGAATATGAACAGTTCCTAACTAATCTCGAAAGGGAACGAGAACTTCGATTACGATTATCGGAGCTCTACCGATACCGGGACAATGGCATTACCAGACACGAGGAATGTGCCCATTTCGAGCAAGTAATCGCGCAAACCCAGGGCTCCACTGATGCTGCGGATCATTGGACGGAAAAGAAATCTGTAAGTATTTTTGTTTTCCTTTACATGATCTGACGCTCGTGGGAACACTGGCTCCATAAATCACATTATATTATGAAATCATAATTGGTGATAGAATGATTGTATATCACTTTTCTTTTACATTAAATTCTCTAAAGTGTGCGAGTGTCCCTAAAGTGAAAGATTTACATCATTGGGTCTAAAATTATATTATCTGATGTCTCTTTGAAGAAAACAGTACTATTCAAATTTTAGGCCCATCGTTCATTATGTATTATTCAAGCATATGTTATTTATAAGTGCAATTTCTGCAGAAATTCAATGTATATAACGCTGCATACTCCATCATATTTTATTCTGTGAAAAAGTACTTCTTGCAAGTCAGAAATGCATGTTTTAGAAATTCGATGAAATTTTCAAGTCTTTTAGATGTATTTAATGAGTTTTGTTAGCGAAAAGATGAAAATATAGTGACCAGACTATGCAATAAGTACTACATAATGGTTTGTGTGTTTATCATTGTGAGTAATAATCGGAACGGATAAGACAGAAATCGCACTATATAAATTTCTACATTCAATTGTTCACTTAACACTGGCACCCTGTACTCAATCGTTCTATGTTAAAACTATGACAATATACTATTTGATATTCTATATGATTCGGGCAACAAATATATTACAAATCACCATCACACCGCTTTATACTTCAGGATCCATTTAACTTTTTTTGAATTTGGCTAATAAGCTAATATTTATACATTTAAAATTATGCAACAACCACTTTTGAACGACAAGTATTGAAGATTAATTGTTCGATACTTGACATTGTCTCAATAACATTTCCAATGGTATTGATCAATGTCGATAACCAAATTCAATCAGTTCTTAGTTTATACCGAATACAATTAGCTTCTGCTTACTGTTCACTAATTCCATTATTTGTGGTGCGTGTTGCCAGGCATTTGTGAACAGATTGTATCAGTTTGCATTTCACTTAGGGCAGCAGTGGGTCGTCCACACCAATACACCGCCCAACCTCAAAAAAAAGGTACGTTTCCATTTCTAATGCTTCCTCCCAATTGAATAAAATATTAACATTACATTCCTTTAGCACTGTGCGTGTGAAAAAGTTAGTCTCTTTATAATTATTTGTGCATCCTTCAACCTTCCTTCTTCGAAACATCAGCGAGCAGTAATTTATAATTTTCTGATTACTTCTAAGATTAATAGCAACGTAGTCTTACACGTAACATTTATTTGTTCAAAGACACATGTCCGAGCGTTATATTAATCTTTCTTTCTGGTCACTTCTAGAGATAGCCATAATCATTCTTCTTTTCTTCTCTTTCATTAGACCGGGGAGCAATACCTACTGCGCACTGCCAACGTGTTGTATCAGTGATATTTAAGGGAATGGTTGACACAAATATAACGAAGCGTTATATATATTCTTCTGCTGCACGAGACGTAGACCTTAAAATATATCGACCGATTATACCGCCGAAGTCTAAGAACTATCAGTCGTTAGGGGACTGACAGTTTTTACACGAAGTAGCTTTAAGTAGGACAAACAAATATTGTAAAGAGTTTATCACACCAAGCCGCTACAAACAGAGATCGATGCAAGATTGGAAGTTACCTATCGTCGTAGGGGTAGCAACAGCGTAGAAATGTTTCGATGTGGTAATCTTTGGATTACAGAGACGAAGAAAAAAGTTACTCTTTCACCGAGCGAAGGTCCAGTGTAAGGGGAGACTCGGGCAGCAGCAGTTCCACAGTCAGTCAAATCAGTCACAATCGGACGATGACTCCAGCCAATCCGTGGGCGGAGCCGGATAGCAATTCGAATACTTCACATCAAAACACTACCAACTCCAACAATCCAGTTACTACAACTTTAAGATCCTCTTCGATGGGATTGGGAGAACCAGAGGAGAGAGACATAGAGATGGAAGCTGCTGTTCATCTGCTCACCAAACAAGAAAAGTCCTTATGTCTTCAGCTCGACCTCAAACCAACACAGTATTTGACGCAGAAGACTCTGCTGCTACAGGTAATCATATATCAAATGACAGAACATCGTCAATATTTAATATAATAAAGTATATCTGACGGATCAACGATATATTAGAAATGTTATTTTCACAGGAATACTTAAATGGGAACAGAAGATCAGGTGTAGTGCCACAGTCTGAACCAGAGAGTAAGATCCTCCATTACTTGGTATCCAATGGATGGATTGCGGCTAACTAATTAAAATCATTAACCATATTTCACCTCTAAGTCATCCCTTGTTGATTTAAGCTAAGTTCTAGGGATAATTAAATATGAAATTGAATTAATCGTCGTATGGTACAGATGGAAAGGTCGCGACTTAATAGCTGATGCTGATGGTTTAACTGCTTCCATTTTGGAACCTTATATCAGCTAATTATGAGAAAGCATGATCTTTCCTCCCTATCACATTATTACCGTACACACATGCGATAAATTTAAGAAACCCGACGCATTCATTTTGCACTGCGTTGACAATTCCCTAATTCAAATTGCTCGATTGCGAGTAAACACGTGTTTATGATACTAGCTTCCCATCAACCCCTCCTTAAGTGTATCATTTGACACTGCCCCAACAATATTTTAATATATTGCTCAATATAATCTTCCATTAAGTTATTTTCTCGTATAGTTTATTTATTGTACGTTTTTTCTGTCTGCTCGAAACATCGTTTGTTACCATTTTTAAAGATAAGGAAACAACGAAGCTCTAGAAAAACTGTATTCACTCTGTAATAACTCGCATTGCCTGCTGATGCTACTGATATAATCAAGGCTTAGACCTTCGTAAAGTCTCCGTGAAAAAATAATGAAAGAACAAAAAAAGAAACAATTGTTTTCTATTAACAGGAAAAAAAAAGAATTACATTTTTCTTTATTCTGATTCATATTTAGATACAATTAGCACGTTGAGAATAATTTAATCCCTATTTGACGATGAAAAAGTTGAAAAGTATATCACAAAGTTTCGCAGTGAGACTATAATGTGTCAAATAATCAGTCTCTAACATTCAACCGAGGGTCGTTAGTCTATGATTATTAATAATATTATCCATACTCAAAAGGTATGGTTTTGTAAAAGCATTCAATGGGGTACTCTTATTTTGGTATATTGTAAAGCAAAAAAAGAGGAAAAGAAAGAAAAAAGGTTCGTGTATAACCTCTGGAACCTAATCTCGCTCTTTAAGAAATAAGTATAACACAATTGCTGGAAAATCAGATATAAGTCTGTACGAACGATTAATCGTTCATAATCGGCAATGGGGTATGATTAATGTTACAGCGATCAGAGAGTACAGCATCGCTTAATTAATTAAGTTTTGTCGAGGTCTATTTCCTTATTGCTAAAGAATGGTGCAAATATGACAGAAGAGACGCTAAGAAGGTTGGTCTCGCTTCGCCGTAACACGTCATTTAGACAATTTAAATTGTTGCCGCTCTATAGCATCTGTGTGTGTATATATATGCACATGTATCATATATGCATACATATATATATACGAGAATAGTACCTTATTCTTACAATTAGTCACAATTAATAACGAGATAGACTTGTAAAGCACAAGAGGGGAAAAAAAATTACGCACCATTCTCTGACATTGAGAGGCGTGCATGTATAGTGTAATTACATTATGGTGTTCAATACCTTACAAAATGTTATTGTAAGAAAGGTTAAAACGAAAAAGGAAAAAAAAAAGATACGTCACTCTTTCAAAAATATATTCTCTCACCTCGAATTTACTTGGAATTAAATCGTATAAGTATGTCGTTGATGACTAAGACGTATGAAATTATTTCTCATTTAACTAATTGATAGAAATCTTTTTTTTCCATGTATCGATCTATGCACTCACTTTTGTTCTGGGATGTCATAATAAGTCCAAGTTAAAGGGTTCTTTACAGTGCAATACAATGTATAATATTGGCGGAGAGGCGTACGTTTTTCCAATGCTAAAATCACGACTCCCAGATGAACCTGTAGTATTTCCCATTGTAATTCATGTCATCGTGAATTATTTTAATGACGTAGCAACATAATAGGCAGCGCCCTCTACGCGTAGCTCGCTGGAGGCATTACTGTTTATATTTTTCCACTGTATCTATCGAAAACGTACGTAGTACGTACGCAAGTACGAAGTAAAATTGATAATTGCAAGTGACAAATTAATTTCACTCGAAGACGAAAATGAAAGGGAGAAAACACACAAAACACAGACACACGCTTATTAAGTATTTAAATATAAGCTAGGTAGACGAAGGAAACTAGGATCTGCGATTATATCGCGGATAATGAGAATAAAGAAAGGGGTCTATGTATGTATATAAGGTGAATCGATGAAAAATTTGTTAAATCGAAACTAGGTACGTCGTGTACTTGAGGCTTTTGGTGTGGTACCTTCGTTTCAAGTGTGAAAGGTGTACACCAAGAGATGTGAGTTGTTGCTAATGTTTTTAGTGGCTAAACGATATTACAATGATGAAGACAAATAATGAAAGGATCATTTCGTTTTAATGTCATTTTTTTTTTTTAAGAAATTTTCACAAGAACTGAGAGTTGTAACCATGCGAGTAGTAGGAGTTTATCGACGAAATGTTCATTAAAGCATTATCTGCTCTAGAAGGTGATTAAATATGCTTTTTTTTTTTTTGTAATCCATCATTGCATTCTTTTGATGGTTTTTGATATTGTACTCGAAATCATGAAGCTCTGTACGAATAAACAATTGTTTAGTTCGAACGTTGAATTTTTAATTTAAAAGAGTTCTCGTGCAATCGATTGTACAATTTTATTTAACTTTCTACTCAAATCACATAACAGTTAAGGATACAGAATATTTAGAAGCATGTGTACCTAATAAATTTTCGTTAGTTGGCAATTATTGTTTTATTGCGTCATAACTATTAAGTATGGCATTTAGTACGGCGGTGAAAAAAAAAAGAAGAAAACTACAGATTTTGGCTCACCGTTGAAAAGTTACACTGATATTCCTGATAAAGTGCAAAGTAGCAACCGGTAGCAAATGCGTCAATTAGATCTTTAGTTAAATATAATTTTCAAAAAGACTATCATAGAGTTACGTGAGCGTGAGGTGCGGTACTTTGGACTGGAAAATATTGGTTACTGAAAAATAGAATGTATCAGAATAAGTTGCGGTGCAACGAATCATACGCTGTCTACGAGATAACATGTCTTAACTAATTTCAAATATTAAATAACGATTAGGATTTTAAAAAAGAAAAACGGAGGTACGAGAAATCGCACTACGTTGGCTTTTATCGTCCATTCGCACTCGTAGACTCTCTTGTCTTATAAAACTATAATTGAATAATTTAAGTAACACACGACTACACGATTGTTACAAGAGCTGGTAATATCGCAGTTATTTATTTATTTATGACAGTCAAAGGCCTATTAACAAATATTTGTGCTCGTACTCAGCGAATCCTCGTACACTCTTATCTTGAATTTATTGTTCTCCCGCGGAAAAATTATTCGGTCTTTCATATATCTCTGCGATTAAGAAAAATGAAATAAATGCGTACGAAATAAACACCGTTCAATTGTATATCTCGAGTGTATAGTTTTCCTCAGGTTCCATAACCTATACTTGATCCTAAGTAATTCGTTATGCGTTTATATAAACTGCTTGTACGTCATTCAAAATCAAGGTAAAAAATTGTTGGACTCTCCAAAATGTTTTATTTGTCCAGTGGCAGAATCGAAGGACAGCCTGTGTCAGTCAGAAGACAGGTTATTCTCATCATACGAATTGTATTTAATTACTATCTAAAAAAAATAAAATAACACGCCAGGATTGTCATCCTCACGTGGTATACCTTTCGTCAGATTTCTTTAAGATCAAAGTCCTCGTGTACAGCAATATCCTTTTTTCTTTCTTAGTAATTCTACCTCGAGTAATCCTTATACCGACAGCGATCTGACTTTTTTGTCTATCTCATTCAGTATTCTTTTTCGCGTCAACATTTCAACGGCCATTCGCGTCACTCTGGAAAAAAATAACGTTAGATGACTCATAGGAACTTTACATACAGGCGAGGTCGATAGGGGAAGCAAAAATTTCCAAGATTAACATCTTTTTTATGGATTATTTTAAATTGTGGTCTGAATAAGAAAAAAAATCCGTATTTCAACTAAGGTTATATTTAGAATTTAATCGTTGGACATGTGTATCCATGAATTTAGATTGTAACTGCATGACAATTTTTTTTCAGGTTATGCCGTGTTGGTCGATTACTGGGGGCAGATCATAATTCTTCATAGAGAACGTGATATTATTGTCTAGTGATGTGAACGCATTCGTAAACAGGTACAAAAAATTATTAATTGTATAATTAATTGACATTGACCTACGAACGCGTTCACGCTAATTATTCTGTCGCATATCTTATGTGTTATTATGAATTACATCGTCTTCTTGGTAATGAGAAAGGATGATATACATACACACACATATATATATATATATATATATATATAACATGTTGCAGGTTTTCAAACCTGTTAACGTGTGGTCAAGGCAATGTACGCAAGTCAAGAAATATACGTAGATTATTCAGAGATGATGGAATCTTGCAGTTTCGAGTGAGTGACGTTGTTGAGGGCAATGACGAGCTTTTGTGCATACAAGCTGTCTTGAATGATACAGCATTCATATGGAGAAAGTTTTTGTAGATCTGACATTATAGGTCCATTGTCTGTGATAAATGGGATTGATTGTTCTAAAACATAGGAATTAAATGACGTCAGGTTGGAGCGTCGCTTAAGTTGACTTACTCAGTACAGATTTTATACCTATTTGAAGTTCTTAGAAGATATTCAAAGAATGGCGTAGGGCGTTGTTAGATGTTTTTATCGTTGATAATTATTATGAACCTTTCGCATCTCGACGGCAACTATATGTGCCTGAGGTAAACATGTTTTCGATCAGCTTGGATTTTTCTCTGTATCAGATACTTTACTAATCCTTGAACTTGTCGGTTGCCAAGAGTAAAGAATAATTTAGAGTTCCACGAACGCCATTTTTGTTTTCTTTTGCTTTAGGTCTCATTAATATCAATAGTTGGTACTTGATCTTCACGGATCAAGTATTATATCATTCTGTGCATATATTTTTTTTTATTCTTCCTGGTTCATTTACAGGTTTTTAGTACTGTAGCGTGTGATACCGGTTTTCGTGGTATTGAATTATGTTTTAGGAAATATTTATTCGTTAAATATCTTGCCCGTCTTGCATCGTGGGATTGATACAAAAGTGAAATTTTAAGCCGATTACCTTGTAGCTACTCTTATTTGCATTAAGAAAACTGATTAAATGTACAAGAATGAAACTGAAGGAGAAGGCAATGATCCAAAGAATATTGACTGATTCATAAATGGAAAATATTAACAAAAGAGCATTAAGCCCAGGTTAACAGTATCGTGGAAGTGCAGTTCAACCCTGGCAAAACTACCTCACCGTATGAAGAACAATCTCTGCACGTCGTCAGACGCCGGGCAGGACGAATTCACGTTGGTAAAGCGACTGAATCTTTTTGTGTAGTCGGTTTCAGCGAACAAAGCTGAAGGTGGGAGTCTTCTAGGGATTTACCCGAGGAATCGCTAAGATTCCCACTTCGTCTACCCTGTCCCCTCCTATGGAGAGCATTTTGCGTAATTCGATGCTGCACCGATGATGTATATAAGCTCGCCTGGCAGACCGTGACAACGCACTTGCACCTGATTACTGCAAATACTCAGGTAAGCTAGTCCAAGTATCTATTTCGTGATTAAGGATTATCGTATGAATACAGTTGTATGCAGCATCACTGGTAGACTGAAAATAAAGTGTCATATATACATCCTACTCTTTTGATTAAACATTATATCATTAACTGATAAACATTAGACTTTATACAATATCTCAATATCGATTTGTTTCTGTCTAATGTCTCTTGTATAGTGTATAGTAATATTTGTAATGTTATAATTTTCTTGCAGAAAATGAAAATCACCCTGGTTTGTCTTATCGGCTTTGCAGCTGTAGTAGCTGTCTCGGCTGCTCCCCAATATACTACGAAGTATGATAATATTGATCTGAAACAAATTCTTGAGAGTGATCGACTCTTGAATAATTATTTCAATTGTCTGGTCAACAAAGGACCCTGCACTGCTGACGGTCAAGAACTCAAAAGTACGTATTTGCAGAGTATTGTCGACTTTGAGTTGGTTTAAATCTGATTTTATATTCGTTTTGTATTTTGTTTTTCTCTATAGAAGCTCTTCCTGATGCCATCGAGACCGGATGCAAGAGTTGCAACGATAAACAGAAGAAAGGCTCGGATGAGGTCATAAGGCACATCTACAAACACAAACCTGAAATGTGGAAAGTTCTCACCGAAATGTACGACCCTGAACGCATTTACATTAAGAAATACGAAACTGAGGCCAAGGATCTTGGCATTGCTGTTTAAACTTCCAGGATAACACTGGCGATTAATTTGATGGTACCTATGTGAAATTGCGTTTCCTTGTTTTAGATTTTTTTTTCATTTGCGCGTTATTAGATCGCTTGGACAATGTTATCTAAAATTGAATAAAATTATATTCAGTATATTCGTTTGTTATGATTTACCAAATATGTCATCCGTTATGAAAAAATCTGTCATGATTAACACGATCAATTCACAGTGATGCAATAGAAAAAAATGACTATCGGAAGAAAAAGCAATATAAAAAAAATGAAGACGAAATTATAATTTGAATCACAGTCCGCTATCACCTTTAAATTACGGAAATTCTAATTATAGTATTTAATTAGTTTTGATAATAAAATATATAAAGTATGCCGGGTTTGGAAAATATGAATCGGGGTGGCAGAATCGCTCAGCATCTTCAGCTAAAATTCTTAAGGTCCTTCGCCAAGTCGTGTCCTAGGTTATATGGACTGTGCTACGATCCTATAGGGACACATAAGAAAGCACGGGCTGTAATAGGATTCTTCTTAGGATTTTTCTTGGGTGTTATTTTTTATGAGGTCATCATATCCGATCTCCAGTTTGATAGGTACACCAGCCTAGCTCTTGGCGCTGTGTTAATAGTGATATTATCCATCGGATGTGCAGCCTCGATTCAGGTTAATTATGTCCACTTAGCGAGACTTCCTGCGTATAGAATACAAGTTGTCCAAGGACCATCTAATGGGTTTCGACGTGACAGGTGAGATGTGTCTGCCTTTTGACGATTCCAGCGTTCTGTGGCCGCGCGGGTCGTAGCGTGCTTAAGGCCCTGGTCCTGGGTTACGTCATCGCTGGACCAATATTCAATCTGACGTATAACGGCAAGGAAGTCGTGCGAACTTTTGCCTGTACCACGCAGCTTACCCACAACCTGACGAAAACACGGTTCGACTTGATGTTCAAACCCTTCCAAGAAGTTCGTTTTACGCTTCAGAATCCTGATTTCGAATTAATCTTGATGAAAATATGGGTGTACGTTTCGCCAGGCTATTTTTGGTATAAGAACCGACGCCAACGAGGTGAAGGACACTTTATCCTCGGTGAAGGATCTGTCCAGTCCCATCGTTGAAGAAATTGAAGGTGAGGAAGAGATGAGGCGAATCAACGAGGAGAATGATTACTTGGATGTGCTTCAGGATGACACTAAAAGAAGTGAAGAGATTAAAGATAAAGAGGAGAAGGCCAAATCTGAGGCTAAGTCTGAAGGAGATATTTATGAAGCTCAATACAGGGCGAAAATTGAGGCACGCTGCGAGGAACAGATGAGCAGAGGATCGGAAAGATGCAGGTAAGATCTTATAGGGCTGATGTTCATGCTCATATTTGGGTTAAGAAGATCAAAGTTTACCTATTTGACTCAGGGACATGTTTGGTGAAGGCTACGATAAGTGTTATGACACTGTGACATGGATAGCAGGATGGCTGCTCTGCTGGCCGATGAAGTTGACGTTCATCTGCAACATAGTTCAAGCTTTAGGTGGTTCCAGTATCTGTGATCCTGATGGAAAGATTGATACTGGCATTGGAGAGGGCTATGCAAAACTAAAAAGTTCGTTACCATAATTCATCGTAATCCATTGGAAAAACATTCCACTCCCTTCTCCAGATTCGAAGAACAAACTGAGCGCCAGTCTGAAAGATGCGAAACTTCAGTTCAAAGTGAAAATACCACCAAGCATCGTAGATGTCCGTGAAGCTGGTGACACAGCCAAAGCTGTACTACATGATTTTAACGTAAGAAAACAGCTCTTCGACACGGTAATGACAATCATCAAAAGGTGTCTTGCCTTTGTGTTCCTGAAAATCATCATAACCGCTCAAACTTACCACGATAAGTATCTGACGGACATTGAATTTGACAATATCTACGTAACGTCATACTTCCGGAGGATAGATGCACGACGAAAAGCACGTGGAAGCCTAACGCTCTTGCCGATGAAGAAGATCGAGAGGGCTAAATTCGTCGATCCTTACGGATTGAAGCCAAGTAAAGTCGAGCGAGCGAATCTGATTGGCCAGACGGGGAAGTTGATCCTGGAGATGGTCACGGCTACGACCTTCGTCCTCCTGGACAGACTGTTCTACGAGACTCTGGATCTCGTCAGGCGTCATGCTCACATCGAGTACATGCAAGCAGGCCGTCACGACATGACCCTGGATGTCCGCGGGACTGGAATGATTGCAACCATGATAAGAAGCGTCATCAAAGGATTCAACGTAAAGAAAAGGATAAAGACAGTCGTCTCGAATGAGGCATGTCTGCCAAGACCCAACGAGCTGTCCAACTACGTCCTGGCAAAGATTTACGGTACTTACCTTGGGATATGGATCATGCTGCTTCTGGCTGCTTATACCCAACGTCTACGACGTTTAATATGCTCGTTCTTCTACCGGAAGAGAGAGAAGCGACGGGTCCTCTACCTTTATAACGAGACTCTCAGACGTAGACTAGGATATTTTCGCTTCATGAAGGGCAAGGTCAGAGCCCTTGTTAGAGCACGGCTTCTAGAACGCGACATGGACCCCTGGGTAGCACTAAGACTACGTTACCCGAAGTTCTGTGGCTGGCTAAGCTTCTTCTCCTGCGCAAGACAAAAGTGCCTCATCTGCGCTGAGCCCGAGACTAGAAAGGGTCCAAAGTTTCGTAGATGCACAACACCAGGTTGTAACTTTGTTCACTGTCCGGAATGCTGGAGAGACGTTGGTAGAATTTGCTTCGCCTGCGCCAAGCTTCCCGATACTGATTCCGAAGATTATGATACTCAAGGCGAATTTTAAGATTCTCATCGAGTATAGGTTCCCGTGTCCTTCAGGATTTCCTGTGCTCCACCATGTCCATATTACGATATTCTGCGTGACTTCACTTGGGCATACTGCAAGAACTCCTGCAATTGCCAAGAACAATTTTCATTAGTATTATCGTAACGACCAATTTTATCATTCTCATAGATTTCTCTTACTAATGATCTACTGTAGGATTTATAAGAGACAAAGGACTGCAGACCTGATTCAGTATCTCAGTTCCGCAACATGAAGACCTTTATCGTCTTTTTTGCTATTTTCGGTGTTCTCCTTGCCGAGGAGAATAAAAAGTACACCACGAAGTACGACAACATAGACGTTGATGTTGTCCTTAAGACCGAGAGATTGCTCAATAATTACATAGGATGTCTCTTGAATGAAAATCCTTGTACTCCTGACGCAGCTGAATTAAAAAGTGAGTCAGATTAATAAAAGTAGAGTAATAAAGCCATCAAAGGTCTTGTAGTCACCATACGACTGTTGTTTCCATTCCCAAGAGCACGTGACTCTACAAAAAATAACTATATAAAAATAGAAGCCGTAGGGACCAAAATCTTCAATTACACTGGAATGTGGATTAATTAAGAAGCGTTAGATTTAATCAGGATGAGTTCAGGCTCATCATCTTTGAAACTGCATCTCTTCTTGTTCTCTGGCATCTCTGACAGGTTTATTACTCCAAGTAGACATTGCACGGTCTATGGTATACCTACATATGTTCATGGTAGTTTGTCAAGTTGACGTGCCCCGTCAGGGTCGGCTAGATTTTTATAAATCTGTATGATTTTCTTGAGGACATGGCTGTATGTTAATTCCAATGCGTCATTTTATCAGTTTATACAGATCGTATATACACAGCGATCGCTGGTGCAATTAAATCAACCTCCTTTTTATTCATAATGAGAATTGTGTTTACATTCAGGCTCTCAGTGCTCATTCGAGTAAGAAACTCGAGTCGACGGCGACCTAAAGCCTTTGATGAATAATGCCAATTATCCCTTTCAACGTTTTCTCATCCTTACCTGGATAAACTTTATGAAGTAACGTGAGAATTGCCTTTGGTTGTTTCAGAAAATTTACCAGATGCTTTGGCCACGGATTGTACAGCGTGTAGCGAGGCTCAGAAAGTGGCTTCTGACAAGTTTTCTCAGTATATGATTGAAGAGAGACCGGATGATTGGAACCGATTAGAGAACAAGTACGATCCTAGCGGAGCATACAAGACTCGTTATCTTGAGGAAAAATCTAAAAAATCAAAGAAGCCAAATTAAATAACCTTCGTTTCAATTTCCATACAATATTATTCCAGGATCTACTATATATTCCACGATAATTATTTTCTATCTTTGAGTAAGGTTTACGTACATGAGACTTAAAACTCTTGCACCTATATATGCGATGTTTTATTACAAAACAATGATCAACTTCTAATACGAAAGATTCTTATTATCTGTTTCACCTAAGAATAATCCCAGGGACAAGGTACACAGAGTATCCAGATATTATGTAGTTATTGTAATACGAGTTCAATAATAACCCCTGTTGCGCAATTATTAACGTTGTTTGTGATTCATAACCTAGAACGCTTATTATATTGTCTGTAAATGGAAATATACCGTATGATATATCTATACTATCCTATAGTATAGGATAAAAAATAATATACTTGTGCGTAGGTTTATCAATAAATGTATCATTCAAGTCGATGTATAAATGCGTATATAAAATAAAAGAAATTAAGACAAAGTATAGAAGTAGCATATTTACATATGTATATGACTTTGCCTTTGCGTCGACGTCATGGAAAATAATAATATCGACTAATGACTTATCGTATTTCTACGTAATTATATATAGAATTTTGCGCAAACCTTTTTTACAATGTTCTACAAGAATATCATATCATGTTTATAAGAACCACTCACTTCGATAGGAACACCGCAAACCAGCTTTTAAAAATGACGGTAATTAGTATTAAGTGCAAAGTGGTATTGCATTAAGTCGGCATCTTCATGAGAATTGCGTCGTACTGATATAATAATCCGAATAATTAACATCGATAAATATAATGGTACTAAGATCGTTACTTCTGTCAAATGTATAGCTTATCGTTCCATGATATCTGTATGAGCAGTCGAGTATATCCCATCTGTCTGTACCTTCATCCAAACTCCAGTGTGTTGAATGAGTGGCGTCCGATCGGATAGGTCGGTAAGTTTTTTTCCTTAAATAAAATAAAACTTATTGCTACGATTACAACTTTAATGAGAATCTTTATTATTGTAAATGAGTTTTATGGCGGAGTCGATTACGGAAATGTTAAATAATTGTGTTAACGGATTGGATTAAGTCGATATAATCAATTTGACAATGTTACTTTCAAGTTGTAAGATTCTGTTTTACCGATAGTTACCGTAAGGATACCTACATTAGCTATAGCCTGCAAAACTTGTGGTTACGTTATGATACATGGTTGCATTTGGAGGATATAAATAGATGAGGGGACTCCTCGCTATTAGAAATCAAAATTGCAAAATTCAAGTAGATTTAAATATTGAAGAATTTTTAATCGAACGCAGTACGTGAGAAAAAAGGATGGAAGGATCTTAGAATCTATTTTGAATCTAAATGTAATTAATATTGATGTCACTGGCTTTTATATGTAATATAAAGATAAATTATAAATATGCAAAAGATCACGAGAGGCCAGCAAAGAATATGGACGCTACGAAAGTGGTGCGACAATACAGTGAAGCATTTAATACCGTGACTATCGTAGCAGATAAGATTAGCCTGAATATAAATGTAGTTAATTAAGAAATATAATATTAGTCTATATGATAAATATTATTCCCGTTATGGCACGAGCATCAATTTTGTTTGTCTGTGTAACTTTTTCTGCACTCTCAGTGAATTCCCGTTACTTATAAATCTTAGACTAAATAAGTAATTTTCTGTTGGGTAAGCGATTCCCGCGGAAACGGAGTATAGCGTCTGGAGATTATAATGGTTTAAGATTACTCGAAGTAACTCTCGTTAGAAGTTTGAAGCAAGGTAACGGCACGTGGGTGGCCACCGTTTAGATATCCACGGGGTTCCCAGAACCCTATGACACGAGAAAAAAGAAGGTCCAATAGGTAGTACATAGGTACACGTGAGTGGCTATGAAAAGGCGTACATCTGAATCATAGCAAGAGAGGGGCCAGGCCAAAGTGACCATAAACAAAACTATTTCTTTGTTCGGAGCATCACAGATCACTGTATACCCAAGTGCAGCAGTTCCCGTTGGTGGCTTCGTTAGGGAGGCTGAAATTAATAATTCACATGAAGAACGTCACGGTGGCGTGCCTGTAGCCACATAAATTTCGAAGGGCTGGACAACGGGTGGGTTATACGTGCGATAAATTAAAAAATCTAATGGTACCCGACATGAGCCACATCAGCTACCAGGAAGCGTAGCCAGGCAGCGAAGCGAAAAGAAGCTCGACAGGAATCCCATGTTTATTGCATTTGCCGTGGTCGAACGCTTCAGTCCTCCAAGATGTGTCAGAGCTGATGAAGTCGCGATGGCGAGCCCTGAAATAGGAAATTTTTTATAATGTAAATAATAATCAGTCCAATGGCTTATGGTGTGTTCAGTCTCTACAGAAGCTAATTTCAAATAAAAGCATTCTTGTCGGTCTTTAGGCTTGGCATTAAAAGGTGGAGGGTCGAACGTTAAAAGCCAAAGACAGGTAGCCCTTCTGAAATGGGCGTATCTACATCAAGCTATCTATACGTGGCATATAGGCACGTAGGTACATAGTTACATAGCTACAAGCCAGGGTTATCGTGGTTATTAAGGAAACGAAGAAACGAACTGACGCGTTGGGTGGTCCGCTCTCTGTTTATGGGGCACTGCATCTGCCGGGCTGTATAACCCGTGGACGTGTTGTGTGGTCTTACCTTACGTCTGACTTTACATTTGATTCACTACTTGCTAATAGTGGTTACATTAGCATTAGGCAGCTTGCGCGTTAAAAGCGCAACCGAGAGACTGACAATGAAAAGGAAATACCAGAGGTAAACACAGACCGGATATCCAGACTGTTTAGCACCAGCATACCTTTGTGTGCTCAATAATTTTCAAGTAATAATAATTATCCCACGATGAAAGGAAGAAGTATGGTAGATAATCAAGAAGGATATCCATACTGTCGAAACACGCGCCAGTTACTCGTTCCTATTCAATTTTACCGCATTCAATGATAACCGGAATCCGTAGCCAGTGTGTAGTCATTGAATTCTTCGAGTCCTAGTGAGAGTAAAAAATAAAAGAGAATGAGAAAAAGAAGTAAAGTTTGAAAAAAAGGGAGAATCAAGGTGGTAGAGATAGTAGAGTAAGGAAGGGAATAGAAATGAGAAAAAGAAGGATTAAACGTACCGTGACTGTCTGCCACGGGCTTGAAGGTGAAAAATACTTGTGCGCCCGTGCATGCCGTACTTTATCGAGTCTCCATTGATCGATCGAGCGATCCGGGAGGCTCGGATAAGATGCTGTCGTTGTCGTCGTACCACGGGAGGACCACACGCGTCGAGTCGCGTCAGCCTCGCCTTCTCTTCCTTCTTCTACCCTTCGAACCAGAGCTGGAAACGTGGAACGGCGCATTACTTTATACAGTGTAGTTCCTACGTTGGGAATCATGGCCGGAGACAGACTCACGGGTGGAGGACTGTGCGCGAGGAGGATGAAATACCCACGGGTACCGGGGCCACCCACGTCGAGGGCGCAAAGGAGATATTTAGCGGAAGGCAAATCTCTGCTGGACCACCCACGTTGACCGGCCTCATCTAACAGCCTGCGCTCCTGCTCCTGGCTACTTATTTCATAGTCTCCTTCTGCTCCTCTCTCTTCGGGACTCCTGCCAGGGACGCCTGCGTGTACCTACGTGTATACGGGTACTGGCTGCTACCCCACCGATTAGCCAATTCCTATTCTTCGAGTTAGCCCCAAACTATCTCGTTCTACCTTGTCCAGTTTCTGCTCCTTGAGGCCCTTTCTTGTCTTCTTCTTATTCATCTGCTTCCTCGTCTTCCTCCTCTTCTTCTTCTTGATCCTCCTCTAACCAGGAGAACGTTAACGCTAACTGCCCAGCGGATACTTAGTGGAGTCAACGGCGTGTAAACGGTTCACGGTGCATGAATTCGGGCAGCGATAACCGCCGGAGACGAACTCTACTTCACTTTGAAGCTATCTACGTGACAGAGAATTCTGAGGATAGAAGCGCAGCATCCAATCCGATCGTTCCCCCAATGACTTTCCTTTGGATCTTTTATGTTTAATGTAATAACGTGCATCCAGTGCCCTGGGCGACGGGGCAGTTGCGTGTGGCATCATTACCTCCGACGAATAACATGTTACAGGTGCACGTGGGTTACTTTGTGAGCGAAGTAAATTAATAATTGGAACGTTTTGACCAGACGGATGGATCGACTGGACTCTTGGGAAGATAGACAGACTGACACCGGACACGCCTATCCGTGTATCGAGATTCTTCAATTCAGATGAAACTCTTCCATACGTACATCAATTCCAGTATCAATTGGATGTACCGTCATAACTTTGCAGCATCTCGGAATCTAAATAAATGAAAAATACTCCGTTAATTGTAATAAAGTATTTCTTAAGCAATAAACTGACTAAATCACTATCTAATGAATATTAAGAATATCCATAAACTAAATGTTTCATGGAATCATCATAAAAAATTATTTTTCTCGCTTTTGCAATTAATTAACATAATCCCATCACCTTTATAACTCCAGCAGACCTAGACTCGTTTTGAAAGTCTGCGCAACACGTTCTGCCCGAACGAGTACAACGATCTCCTATATCTCAAGATTATACTGTCGCCAGTTTAGGCGCTTTCGTATGTTAAACACTATCAGTCGTTTAGATAATCACATCTCAGTGTATACGTCTCTGCATACACACTTCTCTGATACAGTAATATACAGATACTCGAATATCCACTATAGCATTAACGTATATATCTATAGTTATATGTCTACCTATGTGTCTGCACGAGAACTCGCAGCTTGCAGGTTCGATTGGACCACCCAACTAGTCACCGCGGAAGTTGGTCAGTGCTGGGGCATTCACGCATACCTTTCGTACACCATTACGTATACTTATACGCATAATGTAGAGATATCAGTATCCCACAGCCGATATACAAAGTCTAAGATCCGGTATCCAAATATTTTTTGAAAGACGTATCAGTCATACGTATTTCTAGGTCGCAGCAGAAGTAGAGCAGTCGTCGTATGAGCGACTTCCGATTTTTATAATGCTCTTACATGCTATCAAAGTACACGACCTTGGCTCTTGATGATCAATGAGTTCAAGCACTACGTGTCCATGTGCATCTGAACCTAGAAAAAAACATTTTCTGTTAAACCAAAGGAAATTTAGTCGCGCGACAGCGGCTTAAGGATAAAAGGTAACATAATATCACGTAAGGTAAACTGTGAAGTGGAGACGGCCCCTTAGTAGCGCAACGCGTTGGGTGGTCTCGGCTTCACTGTGGGTGGTCACTTACTAACACCATTTTGATATTAAACAGTTCCCTATACACTGTGTATATCGTATACAATGTGTGCAGCCTACACCGACACTTTCCATGGTGATATATCATTTCGATTTACACAATAGAGCACTTTTCTTTAGAACCGTACTCCAATCTCTGCCGATTGGTACCCACCAGACATGGCTTTATTCTATCTTTTCCTGAAGGATCCTAATGAGACCATGAAGTAGCGCTGAGTCCTTTCCTGTTGAATTGAACCTGAAATAAAATAATATGTATATTAGGTTAGGTTAGGCATAGTTAAAGTTAACATATGCATATGTGACACTTGTAGGCTTTTGGCTATGGTTCGTGTTTTAATGAAATTAACGATATGACTTTGAACATACCGGGGATGTTTGAGTAATTATTTTGCGTAATTTGGTTAGTTTATTAGGGATGTATTTTATGGTAGCTGAGGAACGGATCTCCTTTGGATTATTTTATGGTGCACTTTGTTAACTACTTAGGATGGAGGAAACATGGGTAATATAATGGACTGGATGGTAGCAGGAGGTCTGATTTAATGGTGATTTTGCTCGCTCGTAATTTCCTTGGTTAAGTTTCCAGTTTACTGAGAGTTGGGCAAAGACCAGAGGATTGTCGCTTTTGACAGTATTATCTGTCACGGGAGTTGAGGTACCAGTTCTGGACAATGGATGAGGAAATAAGGCAGACAGGTACCAAGTTCGGGGCGGGTTAAGACACGGTTGCGGACTCGAATTCTGCTAAGTCAATTCAAAGGCGGACAGTCGAGGCGTCAGATACTTGGGTGGTCCCGTCCTACGCAAACAAAATAGCCAAGAGGAACAGGTAGTTGAAGAAAATTTACTGACTTTCTGAATTTTGAAAAGGACGCTCACGGACAAAGGTGACTTCTTCTCTCTATTTATACCGGATGGATAGATACGTATGTACGTCCGACCACAAGCTGTTAAGCGTCTTTCTGTGTGACATCTTGAGAACGTTTACTTTCCAACATTCTAGCTCTTGAGGACGTTACAGATTTGAGTAACTTATTCACGCGCTCCATAGAAATTCCTGAAAAATTAGTATGAAGAGTATGATAAATATGAAAAAGCAAAAAAAGGATTTCACGATTGGATATAATACTTAGACGTGGTAAAGATGATACTTTTCATATACAAATGCACTGACAGCCATCTTCTTTTTTCTTTCTATTGGGTATTTCCTCGTCACGGTGTAATTCCTTTACAATGAGTCGTTGTTGGGGTGAGACATTTTTCAAAATGGGCGGAAGCAAAGAAGCAGCGTGCCGGCTCGTTATGATCCTTGACAGGAAATCGGAAATGCGTATAAAGTTGTCCCTCTTTCCTTTGAGCTGTCAGGGCCGACAAAGGCGGAATTTTTCTGGAAAATTTTCAAAATTATTTTATGGCTTTGGGCGTGCGGAGAAAAAAAATTGAGTTTCTTTAAGAGACCGTCACTAGATTGGAATCAGCAATGACTTGAATTTTTTTCCTCTCCACGGAAACCACAATTCCATGAAAATGGAATTATCTGTTTCACTGAGTTTCGTGCATCAGCGATTTCAATGAATTCTTTTAAGAGACTTCATAATAAAAGAATAATGTTGGCCGATTGTTGTGGTATTTCGATATAAAGAAATGACTATTCGGAATACGAAGGAACACAATGATAATGAGATGACGAACGATCGTCGAATTGCGGTTGTGCTGTACGTGAGTAAATATGAGACGCTGGTTCGTGTCCTAAATCGGGTCTGCGAAAGAATTATGATTCCGATTTGGAGAAACCTATCGGGCAGCCATTACTGGCTGACCATATTGCTTTTCATTATAGCTTGGACCACCGGCGTCGCCGCAATTAGTAAGTTGGATCTCTTACGTGAGCCGGCAGAGCGTTGAGACTGTTTTAGAATTAATGATCTATAGAAATGCCGCCATAACGACCAACCGTATTAAAAACAATCTAACCGATAATTATAGATGTAAGTATCTAGAAGAGCGCAGATCCAGGTAAGTGCAATTTGTACTTTTACTACGCGAGACATTCTAAAGGTACTAGAGAAAATAGCATAAGATGCGCGTGCATCGACTAAACGCAATAAGAACGCGAAAGGATTCTACAAAAAGTAAAAACAATTGATAGAGAAGTATCATATGGCTCGCGATTAACGTAGACGGTTAACCTGATTTTTCCACATATTTTGGTCAGTCTATCATCGCTTAATACAATAGTCAAACTAACGAAGCCTGATACTAAAACATTTCATTGATAATAAGAATTATTGTCACTCATAATATAGACAGTGAAAGAGGCGCAAATTAAAGGTCCATATCGGAAGGGTTGAGCGATGCAGAAGTCGGATAAAAAATCTGCCGAGTCAACGAAAATAATGGCACTTAGTTAGCGGCTCTGCGAGAGGAAAAGAAAGAAGAGCGGAAGTCGATGGTCGGATCGTTCTTATTTCGCGTAGCAGCCGCAGGATCGGTAGACATGAGTGGTGACGCTCTTCGAGATATGCTGGATCAAATCGTAGATCAAATATCATGGCAGACTTCCAGTAGCAGTCCCAGATATAGATAAGTATAAAATGATCTTAAGCACAGTCACTGCGAATAACGACTGGTCTTGTTATAGCCAAGATAGGTCAGTCGTGTAAAGGCAGACTTTGCATTAGTCATCCATCTATGGCAGGACCTTAACGATCTGGTGGAAGATACAGAACTTCATGGTAGAACTATATTATCATGAACACTGTGTATCAGAGTGCAAAATATGTATTTTGAAAAAAAAAGTACGAACCCCATAAGCAAACTTATTAAACTTCATTCTCGATGAGTATACCATGGTTGAATCGTTGTCTTGATCGTTGCAGATATTAAAAATCGAAAATTGTGCGTGCCATCTTGTCCAGTTGAGTTTTGAATCGATGATATCTACGAAATGGAACAAACAGGGAGTCGGACAGATGGACGGATGGAATTATCCCGCATACCGTGTTTATTATTTTGTAAGTGGGTGGTCCGGCAGAGAAGTCCGGGTTGGCTCAGTGGCTGATAATATCTCGTGTCCTGCACGCACCGGTGAACGTAACTCGAGGTAACGCACTGCGTCCTCTTGCGTAAGAAAGTAGTCTCCATCCTGGGGAATTACACATGCTCGCTTAGCTGCGTACACGCAAGTGCGTACACCGCACGTTGCGATGCAGTCTTATCCTCGTGAACGTGGGTAGCATTTCCAACCCGTGTGGGCAGACTACAAAAAATACGACGGTACATACCTATCTACCCACCAAGCACCATTCTTCTATCTTCCGTTATAACCTGGACAAACTCACGTCGAACTTGTCTATCCATGTACGATCACTTTGGGGTGCAATTGCATGTTCTTTTTCCACTTACCAATTACATAACGGTTATTCTCCTTCGGTATTTCCTTATAGATGAATTCCTGATGTATGTAAACAACTTTCAAAAGGCACATTTTTGTTCGACAGAAGCGAGCACGGAGTAACGGCATAGGGAAGATTCAGGATACAACGGTATGAGAGTATTGTCTATTACGTAGGGTTATGTAATTCACATTTAAATATACAGTCGATAGCATTGCATGAAGAAGGTTTTCTTTTAAACTGTGCAAAAGGACAAGATCTGAGATTGACTTACCAAAAGTAAGGTTAGGTTATGGCAGCCGGTAAGGAAAGCATGGGAAGCATGGGATTTCTTTGGTACGTCAGGAAGAACGGTTTCGTATCACGACAGTACTCTTCAGCAGAGTGGCTCTGACCTTGCCACCTCCACGTCCTTTGACTTTCTCTGAAAATACTCTCAGTCGTGATTCACCGTTGGTAAGTAAGCAGTAAGCACGCGTTACACGAGTTGAATGGCGCCCGACTGTAGGCAACCGCAATGCACGCTGGGTATATTGGATTGAGTGACTTACAGGCGTAACTCTCATTGAATCAGCCACTCTCTTCCTACCCTCACTCATTAAGTAGATACAGAGTCGGCAAAGATCAAAGCTCGTCTCGACACGCTCGCTTAATACCGGGTGGCGAGTTAAAAATGTCGTAAAAATTAAGAGTCGCATCAAGACGCTCCTTATCCATCGGGATGAGGGAGAGGCCAGTATCCTGATTGCCATCGTGCCGACCAAGAGGGGCTGAGATCTGAGTAAATATAAAGTGAGTGAAATCTATGATATATTGTGTTTTAAAAATTCTTTAGTAAAATATGAGGTTTCGTGAAAGCTATGGACTTTGTGTAACGGTTTATTGGAATATATGATTGGCTGCTTTTGCTACGGAAGAATTTTTTTAATTTATCTACAGTCGTATCCTCAGGCAGACGCTTTCTCACCGTTACTCCTGGCTCTATTGCACCAACCGTCTCATAATGCGTGAACGCGTTCTGCTTATATCATGTAGATGAAAGAGATTTTTTAGATCAGTGATTATCAACGAGAAAACTCTACCCGTAATTTTTATTTTATACATCAAATCCATTACTATGATAATAAGTTTGCCTGGGTGGAATTATGGGATATTTCTTTTTTATAAGTCCGATACTCCCACGCGACTTGAGTAACGTTTGCATCGAGTAATACAAACACGGACGGCGGCGTTTCTTTTGTACGGTTCAACACAGGAAGTCCGTTCCTTGGTGGCTTTAAATTAGGTATTCCAGTCTGGAAGAGTTTTCTGTACTTGACGCCTTAACCAACTGTTGACCATTCCATGTGAGTTGTATACAATTTCGAGGTTAAATTCTTTCCAACGATTCCCTTGATATTTTGTTCTTCGTAGTTACGCTGTATTTCACGCAAGACATTTTGGAATATTCCGAAGGAAAAAACAGATGGACTATACTTCTTTTTGCTTTCTTCTCAACAATTTCACGTGTGAAATGGTTCGTCATTGGCTGAGGGTGTCGGACGAGGCATCGCTGTGGGTGGTCTCGTGTTTGTACATTACCTCCTTCACTCCTCACACTCTCTACTTCTCTTCCATCTCATCAGGTCTGTTTTTTTTATTTTCTTTTTCTTCTTCTGTTCGGGACACATACACCAAGAACGGCTTTTTCAATCGGACTTACTTCCACACTCTGACAAATGCACAAACGCCTAATGAAGTCGCATCGTTATGTAGATATTATGGGGACAGGTTAATAAGTTAATCGTTCTTGGTAGCGTTTATTCGAGTCTTAACGAACGCATTCTGGACAGTTGTTGGCTCCTTAAATGTATCACGCGAACGAGCGATTAAGAAAGGATTTGTTGAGTTCAAATAAAATTTTGTACCTAGCCTGATGTTACGTCTACGAATAATTCATTGCAGCGCCACGAACTTGCTCCAGGGAAAAGTTGAAGCGGCGCCGGGGATTAACGTATCATCGCAAATCCATCAAGACAGTCGTGCACAAGGGTCCTACGATTCCAAGAGAAAATGACTTCCCGGGATGAGAATTCCCTTCTAAGAAATTTATGCAAAATTTCTATTTTCATCGATTCTGTATACCGATTCTCCATCAGCTCCTCTTCGGCCGTTGCATGTATTGACATTTGTTATTTTTCTACCAACGCGAAACCTTCAATTTTCAACGTGTTTACTCCATTCTTGCATCAGAGATCTGGTACTTAGCGTGTAGCTCTCGTCGACGGTGTGCTGAGCAGTGTCAGCGTGTGAAGGGTAGACTACGGAGTAGCATCTGTGAATCGTGCGTGTCTCGTCAGAATGACTTTGTGTGGGTAATGTTTTTGCTCGAGGGGAAATGGTACCGCGTGTGTGGTCCCGGTGCTAAGACCTCTTACCTCTCTGCGGCGGAGTCGGCGTATCCTAGCAACCTAGGACGCCAGAGAAGTCCAGCCAATCACAGACAGGTTCGCGTGAGTTCGGCCGTTCTCGACTATATTCGGTTCTGACGTCAGCGGTACTGGCACACATGTACTTTGGGACATTATGGGCCCCTGAGAATGATCGCGGTTCCTTGAAATAAAAAAATTTTCATTGACACGTCATATTGCTCAGTTTACATTAATTTTTTTACGCAGAATTTAGTGGCATTGTAAAATCAATTTATTCTTGTATTCTATCTGCTATTGAATACAAGCGCTACTGTTTTCTGAACTACGACATTTATGTTTCTGGAGTAAAAGATTTTATTTAACTAAAGTGTCATCTTTTGTTTCAGATAACAGTAATCGTATTTTCCTTTGAGACATCATTGACAAGGTTAGATGCGAATCCTGGTATTTATTTTGGCCTTAGAAGAGATTGGAGACGTGAACCAATTCAGGGCCCAAAACATACCGATCACGCGTTACGCTCCTGGATATTTGTGCAGCTCTGATCCGAAAGAGGGGAGCCATCCACTATGGCCGCCACAGAAGGCAGGCTACGAAAGAAATGTGGCACCGCTTTTCCCTTAGTACGGACTTAGACTGCTCTAAGTGCCGGTCGCACATATTGGTGTCCGACAACGTTTTCCCTCGTGTGACAGAAAGACAGACAGTTTCTCGTAGAAGCTCCCAAGTAAAAGCCAGTGTTGGCAATCGTGTCTACGTCGATATTATACTACAGGCTCTCACGGTGATCAGACGTAGTGTAACCGAATGCCCAGACTGTCGTGCTGTTACAAATCTGGAACAGTCCCGAGTGATTTTCCAAGCACTTCTAGAGACACCGGAGCTAGTGTCAGCTGCCTTATACATCCTAAGAAGTCTTACTGTTTAACACCTGTGACACTAGCCACGAGGAGCACTGTCTCGGCACTCGCGACTCCCACCAGCTTCGCCAATAACAGTGGATCGTTCAAATAAGTTTTCCCGCTAGATCGACCTGCGATTTATTCAAGATCGATATACCGCGTCTATAGCAGAGACCGTGAATAATAAGGATCGACAAACGAATCTTCAAGCTGCTATTACCATTGTATTAAACCTGATGAATGTCACGTACGCGTAGAATCGTTTAAACTGGTTTAGCTCAACGTGAAATCTTGGACACGCGCGGCAGATGTGCCTTTTTTGAAAGCCGACTGGTGCGCGTCTCCTGAAAGATACTTACTGTATTATCGCATCCAGGAGTTCAGGACGTTACGTACCCCACGTTGAGATACAGTGCTGTGAGTGGTGATAGAGATCTGATTACAAGAAAGCACATGAGTCGATCTGCCGATAGAAAAAGTGAGAGTGATTGTCTGTCCGTTTCTCTGATGTATTCAACCGATTGCCCATACGTCGTGTGAAAGATCATGGCTAGAATTCGGTGAGTGCGGGTTCTGGAAAGTCGAGTGAAAATTAAAAATAGTTCTACCGCGTGTCGTGTCGGGGGCAGATGCATGACGGATCATGGTCGCTGCGTCCGGCCCTTCAGGGATCCTAGCGGGACGCCCTTCTGGTTCTCAGACCCAGATTTTACAAAATGGCACGAGTACGTCGAGTTGCAATGGCAAGGCTGCCATGGAAAATACAAAACAGAGGCACGAGAGTGATTTGTACGTGAGGCCAAGTTGGACGGATGCTGCCATCGCTTTGGACCAGCTTGAAAAGGTATAGAGAGCCAAATTAAAACTATAGTTGCTATCCTTGTCACCATTGACATAAGTACCGGGACATTCACCTTCAATTTGCATTACCTGTACGCTCATTTGAATCGCCCGCTCTTTTTTCTTTCGTTCAGGTAAACGCAAAAATATCTTCTCTGCAGATTCTCAAGCATTGCCATCTCCACTGGTACGTCAATACTTCCTGATTCTCAAGAAAAGTCTTAAAATATTCATCCTCCTCGTACCTTGGATCTAGAAGAGTGGAATAGTCTTTCTTTTTCGCGAGACCCAAAAGAATGCTTCATCTTCTAGAAGGCATGCCTCTTTGGAAGGTGTTCCGTGCTCCATAGTTGCCTCTCCTACAACGACCCTGGTAGACTTTCACAGACGCGGGTGGTCCAAATCGTGTTTTCAAACGCAACCCAGTACATCAACAGTCGGACTATCGACCGGATCGAAACAAGAAACAACTTCCTGCTCGGTAGCCAGACTATTTTTCTTAAGACTAAAGTAACACTCGCCCAATGCGCAAGCATAGTACCTTCAAGGTCTTATAGTAAATGTGCGTAGCACGTGATGACGATTATTGTTGATATCACCTTTCGAAGACCCCAAGTCTTCAGCGACCTCCGCAAGAGGAGAGGAATGTTCTCGGAACGGGAAATAGGTGGCTCCGTTCCATATTACCGCGAGAAGAAAACCAGTTCCACCTTGAGCCATACAGTTTCCGTGGTCTCCAGCTGACTTTCGAAAACCATCCGAAACTAATTCTACACTGAATTCGGACTGGTTCCAGGTAATACTCAGTCAGAATAAATTTGCGCGGCAATTTTTTACCTGTACAATTCCTTCTAACATCCAATAATTTATTCTCAGGCTGTTTTGTTTGATGTTACGCCGATGATCCTCCTAGTCGTCCCAGGAACTTCCAACTTTTCTCCAACTGCTGTTTACACGATTGCGCAATTTAATAATGCCCGGTTGAACAAGAATGAATTCCTTCGACGGGAGGAGGGTCCATGCTCTACTTTTCTCGAAAGTGCCTCCATAGTAGCGCTTTCGTGCGAGATGAGTCAGTGACTCATGGCCAGTAGCCTCAGCCTTGTACTCTGCTGTACCATCATTCCACCTCAGCACTGAACGTTGGCAATGTGCATTCCCCGTAAAGAGATGGCTCTAGGATAGTCATACATAAAGATAGCAGAATATCGATTCCGAAGCATCGACTAGACAGTCATTGTAAATACTCGAGAAAGTATTACCAAAAATTATTATATATACAAGGGAGGTTCCGTAATGTATATAGAAGTCAGTACCACGCTTTGAGTCCTGTAGGCACTTGCATTCCTCGTCTCGTTGGAATGTGAAGTAAATTGATATCAACGTGGCTGAATAAGTCATCCGGGTGCGTGTGCTCCTAGGGTACGGTCTTATACTTGAATTTATGTGAGCCCATTCGGGAAATCGTGTTTCAGAGTAACGGAATACACGCAGCTGGTTCATTATATACGTATATATAGATTTACCTACATAACTGGAATATACCTATACGTATAACACACGGTACAAGTATCGCGAGGCGCCTTACTTCACAGAGAGCGAGAATGTCCCGAAGCCAGGATATTTTTCTCGATGAGGATGGCTATAATATTTCATAATCATGTCTTAATTTCTGGCAGCTGAACCCGCGTGCACAATGCTGGCATTCACGCACGTTGCGTTCCCGACGTGCGTGTAGACTGAGATTAAAGGGCGCCGACATCGTGTGAGGCTTCCATACTAACATTATAATACGGACGGTGCTCTTGGCCAAGGGCTGAGGGGGAAACTACGAAGGGGGGGCAGGGGTTACTCACAATGCCCGGAATTCATCGATCTACGAGCTGTCTTACCCGAGTAAAATCGTAGTGATCCTTCAATCTCGTTTTCTGTCTATTTGACTCTGGATAAAATCAGTGTAAGATCCACAAAATGCCTATTGACTTTTTTTCTCTTACCAAGGAAAGTCTGTAACAGAGTTACGTCGATGGGTGTCTTCGGTGCAAAAGGTAGCGCACGGGTATCGAGCGTGAAAAATTGGAAAGTATTTCGATATAATGGGAGTTCTAAGTAGCCGAGGAAATTTGCGGGAAACGTCGACTGGCCAAATCTATAAGTTAGCAGGGAGGTAGCCGAAAGGGGCCTCGGGGTTAGGAAATTGGGGCCCCTTTGATCTCTGCCAGGGATACACGCCCCCTGCCATTGCCTGAATGTCTTCAATCTTCATTCTTACCGGGCCCCATACCTGCCGGCGTATACCTAACTTAAGACCCTGCAGACCCACCAACCGCTGCGGGCCCCCGGGGCCCCAAGCTACGTCTCAATCTCCCTTTGACGTTGATAGCTTCATCCTTCAGTCGAAAATCGAGCGCCCGAATTTTCGTTTCATGATACCGAATTACCTAACCTCAATTATCCTGCATTAGCTCCTGCTATCCATTTAAGACTACGGTACTTGGTTGTTACACACAGAATCAATAATCTAATAGCGTTAGATGGATGTGCGGTTAAAATTTGAATGACGAAAAAAGAATTGTTATTAAAATTCTTCCTTTTGCGACTCCTCGCAAACTTAGCTCTATTCGCGGCGCAGTGCTATTGATAATTCAATGAACGTTCGATGACGAGGAGGTAGATAAGAGTAATTTAAATCTTCTTGTATAATAGTTTTGTGATGCGTGTAACGTCTAGACAACTCCGAGATAGGCATCGGGGAGCCACCCACTGAAATCCCACGTACAATTGTACTCTCTAGGCAGAGATACATTTCAATTCCATCTAGAAGGTGTTCGGTGAACTTTAGAATTCCTTACGTCACTTAACCTATAGACTGTACAGGTATATATAGTTACGTTTGTTCCTACGATATGCATACGAACTGACAGCTGAGTAGAGACTAGAAATGGGATATATGATCTTGCGATTTTTAATCGATAAAATCTCTCTCTCTCTCTCTCTCTCTCTCTCTCTCTCTCTGTTCAAGCGTATATTGTGACACAACGTCGTGGCTGGCGACAGTTTAAATCCAGGAAGAAGAAGACCCCGTTTCTCGTAAGTGCTCGCGGGCCTGTATGGGTTTTCTCGTTGGTGGGCAGTATCTACATATTACAACCTCGTGACTGGGACCACCACCGTTGACATAAGATCCTGTTATGCTGTCTGCTATCTACTCGCAGCCCGAGTCGCACCATAAAAAACATTAAAAATACAAATAACATAAATTCGTTAGCATCCTTCCACCCGATGGGGAAGGGGGGGAGGAGGAGGCACCGTTGGCCATTCTCCCGCACGAGCAAATCGAGCTCGAGAGAGCGAAATAACGAGGCGTGCCAAGGATGTAGAAGCTACCGCGTCGAGTCCCCAATCACGACCTTCCTCCTCCGTGAGGAAGAACCAGAGCATTTCTCAAAGAGAGAGAGAGAGAGTAAATGACATTTTCTGTTGTTTCTCGTGTTCCCTTATCTGGATCCTCCATTGACGATGTCATTTAGCGCAAAGGTGTTGGCGACGACCGACAAAAATAAAAGGAAGATCTGACATATATGGAGTATAGAGTTTCGACTTTGGGTTCCAGGCCGAGGAATGCGCTCTCATGGGACTTATATGGGACTCACCTGGAATCCAATCGTTTCCCTGGCTCGAAAAGGATCTTTCTGTCGCTCTGTCGGCGAACAAAAATTTTGCGCTCTTCCAGGTCATCCGAGTATATCCCTCCTTCGAAGCCATGTGGCTGACGTGAATTCGGTATATGTATAAGGTTACCCGAGCTACCTCCGGAACGGTACGCAAACATAATTGACTGGAAAACCATGCTATCCGATATTCAGCTACTGGCCCAAGATACGTGAACGTAATCCATATTTTCATCTATTCGGCAGAGTATAACTGTACTTTTTTGTTGTTGTTTGAGATAGTGGCTTCTCTCCCTGGGCGCTTGGTTCTCTCTCTCTCTCTCTCTCTCTCTCTCTCTCTCTCTCTCTCTCTCTCTCTCTCTCTCTCTTTCCTTCTTTCACTCTGTCCCTTTCTCTGATTCTCCTCTCCTGACCAGAAGAGATAGGTATTGTTGCGGGTGGTCCACCGAGCACATTGTCAGGGTGACCACCAGGTAGTGCGCAACGTTGCCGTTTGCAATGTTGCGGCCCTCGTTTATGCGCGATCGCCCGGTACTAACTTCGTTCTAAAAGTTTAGCCGTGGTCGCGGCTGCCATTTATCATCGTCAAGCCCACACGGCCAATTTAAAGTACCCGCTGCTGCCGTGCCGCGTTCACGTGTATAACGGGTGACCCTGGTGAAACCTGAGGATACCTCAGGCAAAGTATTATCACGTTATTGCTACGAGTCAGAAGAGAGAGATGGATGAAAGAAGGGTTACTTATACTCCGAAACCCTTCCATGTTCCAGGGCAAGGCGGAGGGTCAAAGATCAGCGGTATGGATCAGGGCGCGACTGCAGGATCAGTTGAGTCAGCTGGGATACTTTTTGCAAAGGCACGCAGGGAAGGTCTTGTTCGTCGCGATCTTGGCACTAGCCACTTTCTGCGTGGCGCTTAAGTCGGCCCAGGTCCACAGCAAGGTCGAGCAACTATGGGTCCAGGGTAAGTTCCATTGGAGTAGTACGGAATCGACGTCCCTCCAGTCTTGAAGTCGACTTCCGGTTCTCATAACTGTGTACCATCGAATCTGTCTTGTTGATTCTCTTCCTTACCGACTGCCTCATCCGATACCTCGGTGGGGGGGAACCCATTGAAATGAGTCTGAGCCAGGTATACACGCAAGGTACTTCGCTATACTGGTTTCCGGCCAGCTTCGATCTTCCCTGCACGAGCTCTCCAGCGACTGTCCCTAATGGCGCCTGTCACTCAACGGAACAGAACGAACTAGACTTCTGTGTGTCTTGTGATGTATTCCTGTACCTTGTGGAGAACGGAGAAAGAAAGAAAGAAAGAAAAAAAGAAAATGTCAAAAAGAATATCGCGAGCAGAATCCCCGCCCCCAGTACATTAGTTGCTCGCTGGGTGGCCTCTATATTTATCCGTAGGCTCGAATGTTAATTCAAACGCTCCTGCAACCTACACCGTACGCATGGCGCACTTAGGTAAAGTCCGTCCAGGAAATGGAGCCACCGGTACTCTGGTGAAATAGCGCCGACTCCAAGGCACGAGCACCGTCTGGAAAGAGATACGATCCCAGTGAGTTACCTTAAATCTTCGAGTCATCAACGCGAACAACTGTAATTCGTTTAATTTACGTATTACCCGTGGCAACGTCTACTTACCATCTGACAAACTTTTTCCTTTCCTTTATCCAAGTCAGCGCCGTCCCACGACCACAGTCGGTCAGCCGCGCCAGACGATATCGATCAGGATCCGAGATGGACGTGTCGAGATCAGTACCGGATATCCGTGAGGTGACTGCGCGCGAGATGCGGGCGCACTGTGCCTCGATAACGCACGATGCAGAACCCGGTCAGACTGTTCGGTAAATGGTTAACCGGGGAGGACAGAGCAACCTCATCCTGCAGCACCTGACCGGTAGAGACAAATTTAGTCTGTCGAATTTTACGCACCAAAGGGCTCGCTCGTGTAAATACAATCTCAATAGAAACAATACACAGGGTATACAGCTGGTGGGCAAGCGCATTAAATAGTCGACGCATGCGCAGAAGATGTTTATTCGAGCACGTTCAAATACTTTTCTCCCTTTTAGAAGTATTCACTTTTCTTATTAGCCAAGATACGAGCGGCTCGCGAAACACTGAGATGCGAATGACGCGCAGTGATATCTTTCTCTTCCTGGACGTCCGCGTACACGGCCTAAGAGAAGCATGGGCTTCGGGTACGTCTTGAGCGAGCAAGGGTATCCTCACGCTTCGTCTTGGTGAAGATGCCTGGGTACAGGGTGTTTCATAAATTCTCAGAGATTCCTAAAATACCTCGGAGACCTCGTCCCTTCTCTGCGTTAGATACGAATACTCAAGATATTCCCATCCGTGGTAATACGTTACACAGGACTAAGGATTACTTTGTGGAAATCAATCGATTAGATGACCGATGGGTTTCACGGTAGCTGATCGATCAGTTTGTCATGTCGCTTTACACGTAATACGATACACCCCTAAATTGAGTACTTATATCGTAAGCCGTTACAGGGCTTCGCAAAGTATCCACTGGTTGGCGCAATGCCTGGTCCCGATGGTCCTGCGCTTCTGTAACGGCCTGTAGAGAGACAAGGAGGGCTCCTCGGCGTTAGTGTGACCGGGCAGACAGAGGACGAAGGCACGACGGTACACGAGGGCCGACCGACTGCTTACATCTTCATTAGGCCCCCATGCCTTCGAGTGAGAGAGGAGCAGAAGAAGCAGAGATGCCGGCCCGGCGAGAAAGGGTCGCGAGGGAAGGGAGTGTCGGAGTAGGAGAGAGGTACCCAGAAGAGGAACGGAGCAAGGGAGCAAAGGAGCAAGACGCGGAGTCCTCGTAAGACCTCAACGGGGATAAGAGAGTCAGAGGATCGTCCCAAGACCCACCGGGAATCTGTTGTTGTTGCACCGTCCGATGGACGGGCGCATAAACAGAGGATCTCATCTCCTGTTTACGCTACACTGTTATTCGCAGGAGTCCACGTACGCTCTCCGAGAGTTGGCTGTCGCTCTCTTCCGGTCATGAGGTCTCTCTCTTTCTCTCTGGATACACTACAGATATAGGTACACGAGGATCCAATTAGTTAGTCATTTGTATTCCACGAATGGTCTTTCGGGGAAATTCACGAGGCTCTGATCGGGATCACTTCCGGCAACAGTTCGGTTCACTGTATAGTGTGCCGGGCAGGGATCACGTCTGCCATCTAGAGGAGCGTGCTGTACTACCGCGATCGCGTTTTAGGGAATATGCAAATTGTTGGGTTTTATATTTTAGGTGAAAATGGAGAAATTGGCTTTTCAAGAAATCGATAGTAATCGATAGTAATCGATTTGACGATTAGGACGACCTTGAATGTCGAGCGCGGTTGTTGGTGTGCGGCGACTTTGAATCGTTTACACGGGAGTTGGGTCTTTCGCGGAGGTCGATGAGTACCACTGGGATTGGATGGGGCTCGGTTCCGGTGAATGGTCGCGGTGGGTGGCCCGCTCAGCTCTCTGTGTGCGCCAGCCAGCTAGCCAGCCAACACACCAGCCAGCGGTGGGCCTGCGTGTCTCAGTGCCTGAACCAAGAGTTGGTCCGAGTCTGAACTAAGCCTGCTTGGGGCCATCACTGGGCTTCGGTGGGCCTCGCTCACAACTTCGTCAAGGAGTCCGAGATATACCGTACCTACACCTTCAATCCTCCTGTCCCGTTCATACTATCCGTCTCGTGGGCATCAACCCCGAAAAGCTATTGTTCGTTTCAAAAAATTCGACGGGACTATGTTGCTGTTCAGCCTCTCCCCCCCCCTGTGCCCTTTCCTTCTTGGACACTTGTTCCGTAGAACCCGCTGAACTAATCTCACTTCGGAGGACAGCGCTACTTGCGCCTCCTGCTTCCTTATAGGAGCCGGCGGGTGCCATTTAATTAGCAATTTGTATGGATAGAGTCAGTCAAGTCTGAGAGGTAAAGATACCCGTCGGCTGCGACGTGACGCGATCAGTGATCCCCAACGTGTTTGTCGTCTCTTCTTTTGATTTTCATCCGGTCCAGATGTCATTGGCTCTGTGGCTGCTGCGAAGCCTGATCGCGGTTATGGAATATCAATTTTAATGGATCTTTATTAACGAGGGAGCTTACGACGTTTATGAGAAAATAATCTTCTTCCGCTTTACGTAAATCAGTGAGTCCTACGTGGAAGAGAATCGCAATCCTCCCAAACGCCATTAACGTTTCACCCTAGAGCTATCGCGCCTTTTTCCCAATTCCCTTTGGGGAAAAGGGAACCCGCAGGGCACCAAAAATACCCACGACATTAACACGAACCGCAGGGCTAATAGCATATGGGAATGCTGGAACACCCTTAACGAGGAGGAAGAAGTCGGGCAGACGCACGTGGTTTTTATTTTCACACGCCGTAAAGCTGTCCGCACGTGTTTTCTCAAGGAGTGCTTTCAGTTTCACCGTCTCGGAATTCAGGAAGTGGCTGCTCAGCCCCCTTGCCGATTAGCGACCATTCCGGTATCCTATAACTGACCTCCGTCAAGCGGAAGGCCGCTGTTACGTCCACGTAACCGCCGTTAAACTCGAAGACAACGGAGGATCTTCTGCGTCTTGGTACCATGAAAGCCCCCACAGTCACCAGGGCGGGTGCCCTTTCTCTAAATTGGTATAATCGTTGGAACTTTCCCCAAGTCCCGGAGGTACGTTTCCTCGAATTCTCAAGAAGCCTTGAAGAAAGAAAAGAAGGAAAAAGGAAAAAAAAATCTCTCAGGAGACTCGAGAAGCAACGTTCGAAAATCTACAAGGGAATGATTCGTGGTAATCGTCGGACATCGACCAGGTTGCACCTGCCTCTTGGCGCTAAGGCACGGTAAAGAAAAAAAGGATTTCTCAACACACTCGTCCCCCAGGTCTTGTTGATTCTGGAGATAAGTCTCGTGTATGCCCAAGGCCAATGTCAAATTACCGTCAAATATTTGTCTTGCAAACAGTCGAGTCTCTACTGTCTCTCGGGTCCCACAGAAGCCACCGATAGATTCAGCGGGGCCCAAGACCCTTGAAAATGATGACTTCAGAAGGGAAGTCAAAGCTGTTAGGTTTGATCCCATAATAAAAATGTTTCTCACAACGTGTCTACATTCGGTACTGTAACGTAGGGCGACAGACATCACCACTTAGTGGGGTAGATCGGAAAATTGAAGTTGATTAACGGGAACTCATAGCGTAGGGGAGGGTGCGGTGACCCAGCATGGACCGAGGACCAGTGACCGAGGAGGGGGAAGAGCGTTCCCTCCTTTTTCCCTCGAATGGAAAAAAAAAGAAAACGAAAAGAAAGAGAGGACGAAGGTGCGCTGCGCGATGCTAACATAATGAAACAATGGAGCCAATGTTGGACCGCCCGGTGCTGAATGGCGAGTGGCCAAGAGCTTCCGACAGAGAGGCCGCCATTCAGGAGGCCCGTGGAGTACCAGGGATGGACAGAGTCCTGCGAGGCAATTACGGTAGCCGGGAGGGGACAGAGCGGTAACATCTCCCTCGAGAGTGACTGGGACAGAGAAATAATTACAGAGACGCCCCGTCGATAAATCAAGAGATTCACTCCACTCTCCTCCCCTCGCCGCGTATCTCCTCTCTACCATACCGCAACGGCATCCCTTGGTCGCCCTTCGGGAACCATAATATTAATTTTTCCTTATTCATCCTGCACCTTTTACATCTACTTGACTTCCTCTCTCCTGTACCGACCCCGACGTACTTTTCACTGTTATCCTGCTTCTTGCCTCGTAGGGCAGAGTCAGTGTCTTTATTACGAGGAGCTCCGCTGCCCGCATTCTACAGAGTGATTCACCCGATGCCGGCGCTAGGCTCCATCGTACCCATAGTACACATTGCGCGCAGTCAGCCTCTACGCGCCTCCGATACCCTTTTGGAAGTCGATACGATGGAGGCTCGCAGAAGAATTCCATAGTAGATTCAATAGTGACGTAATATCTACAACAAGGGATAGCACAGATCAAGTAACGGCGCAAGGACGCGTCGAAGACGATCAACTAGGAATTTTCATACTCGCGTATTAGGACACCCGTTATGAAGTGACGCTCCTCCCGGAAATGTTGTCTCGGACAAAAAATTGTTTGTCCAGAGGAGACACGGGACGAGTCCCGGGAGCGACTTCATTACGCCCTACGGATAGTCCGTGAAAGTTCTTCTTCGTCCCTGGAGCCGGGATGGACCTACGGCTGACTCCTATATCCGTAGACAGCGGTCCCTATGACCGCCCATGGGCCCCCGTACTAATTCTCATCCAAGTATCCGTGGGAGTCATGAGTAAGATCCTATGGGGAAACACAGCCAAGTTGAGAACCACTGAATCGAAGCAACACGGGTGGTCCGGAGGGCCGTGGCGGAACGTGCAATACGCCGTCGGCATTTTTGACGATGAAATCCGGCAGGATGGGGGTACCGAAACGTACGGCCCATACGCCATTTCCATAAGCCAGCAGTCTCGACGACGTATCCACGTTGATTTCGTAAAGATAATAAATTTTACGAAAATTTTTCTATCGACGCAACCCTCCTACCTAGGTCACTTAAAAATCAAGTAAATGTCACGCGTGTCTCTTTTCTACCCGTAGAAGGTGGACGTCTGCAGAGGGAGATGAAGTACGCCTCGGAAGCACTGGGCGAGGCGACCGCCTCCACGCACCAGCTCGTCATCCAAACGCCAAGACACTCCGGAGCGAATATCCTTCATCCCGCCGCGCTAAAGGAACACTTAGCGATTCTTAAGGCGGCTACGCAAGTCACCGTTCACCTGTTTGAAATGTGAGTCTCCTCTTTATATATATAAACACACGTATATCCCGCACACAACACCCCAAGGCACTAAGAGCCACGCGAATGCAGTACCCACGAAGGAGCGAACAATGGCCCGGTCAGATCGTTAAATCTTTATCGACGATTAGTCACGGGTGCGGAAAACTCTCTCGACCAATTTTCATCGGCGACAGACGCGCCCAGCTCGTTTCATAGAAACTCATCGGAACCCCTAAAAATATTCGCTTTGACATACAACCGCCTATGCGATACCAATCACAGTGGCCTATATACTAATCCCCGTATACTTTTTCATATTGTAGCTCGTGGAAGCTGAAGGACATGTGTTACGCACCGAGTATACCGAACTTCGACATGCACTACATCGACCAGGTAATTCAGAAGTCCCGGCTGTGCCGTATCTCACGCAAGAATTATTGCGAACGCTTGTATCGCTCGAGAGGACGAAAGAAAGGAAAAGGACTCAAAGCTCCCCGTCGTTCGCGCGACAAATGTACCGCGTTCTTGCTGCTCGCTGTTCTCTGTACCCGTTGGGCCTGTACATGAAATACAGGGGTTGCTCGAGATAATAGGGGCTGCCGGCGGGGAAGGGGGGCTGCTTGGGAGAATTCCCACTTTATACGGGATGATGGATGGGCTGGCATGCAGAGACTCGCCGCAAGGTGGGCAGCCACCCATATCACGTGGGCGCCTCTCTATACCTTTGCCAGACGCGAATATCGTGCTCTCGTATGTGCGCATACGAAGCGTATAAATATAGACCGGCAGTAGGCATACGCGTGGACGCACGCATACCGCGTAACCACGTTACCAAAGTATCCACGTACGGGAGACGCACGAAGGAGGACTAAGCTAAATAAGCGGCCAGGCAATTAGCCTCGTGTAATGACGGGGTGCGGCCGCGACCGTACGCCGTGTCATGTGTGGTCCAGGCTCTACCTGTCATTATACGCAAATGTGACCGAGCGCAGTAAATACCTGACCAATGGCCTCGAGGGTAAACGCTCGACGTCGGTTCCCTTATGATATGCCATTTCCGCTTTTGACGTATATCCGGTTTGAAATATATATATATGGGGGGGGGGAGAGGGAGGGGGGCTGTCGAAATGGATTTTTGTACTGGGTTTAAAATTTGTAACTTTATTTAAGGATTTTCTTTCTTTTCTTTTCCGGGGAACTCGATTACATCGCATCCCTCTCCCGTATTGTTGGGACATCTTTAAAATTCTTCCTGGAAGCAGGAAACTTAATCTACGATAATCTTCCCTTGGGGGACGCGGGTCTGTATTACTAAACGATAAAACACCGTGGAAGCCGACCTTATTCTATTTCTGAGAACGCGACGGTGGTCCCTGTGGGTTCTTTTTACTTGGACATCCCTTGATTTTAAGTGATAGATTAGGCATTTCTTGGGTTTTACTTTTCGATATGATAACAGCCCTCGGGCTCGGAGATGGGACTGCTAATGGTACATTTATATTTACTTTTGTACTGATTTATGAGCGAGCGAGTTTGAGTGTGATATTTTGGTCGTGACGGGGAACTTGTTTAGAATCGAGATGAGGATAGATACAGATTTGTATATATATATATATATTTGTTTTTTGCAGATTTTTGAAAATATCATACCCTGCGCCATTATTACACCTTTGGACTGTTTTTGGGAAGGGAGTAAACTACTGGGACCTGTTTACCCAGTTCATGTACCGTAAGTATCCTTATAAAGGCGTATTGCTAATTTTCACTTATCCAAGTAAATATATTTATTCAATTGCTCATCTCTTTCAGGGATGGAGAGATAAGTAGGACCGTACAATGGACCAGTTTAAATCCAACGGAGATGCTGGAGAGGATTAAGACACTGCAAACTGGCTTTCCCTTCAAGACCTTGGAGGATTATATGAAGAGATCAGGGATAACAAATGGCTACCAAAGTAAACCGTGTCTCGATCCGAGCGATCCGGAGTGTCCGAAAACAGCGCCGAACAAGAATACACAACAGGTATGTACCTGGAAGACAGAAATTCAAAATAAGTCACAGCAAGGTATCGGCACCTGGTTAGCATCTTCTTCGTGGACTGATCATTACCAGTACTCCAGTATAAAATTCAAAAAGCAACCCAGGTCTGCGAATGAGCATGAAAACTTTTTAACTCGTCCTTCCCCCCTACAGTTGCTTCATTGAAAATGTTGCACCTCAAATATACAATGTATAAGACATCCATGATTGGTGACCAATTCCTACAGGTAAGATATCATTCAGGAATACCAAGCGGCCACTTGAAATTCTGCGTGTGACGTACACGCGCACGTAGCGCGGCACCGAAAGCTTCAAATAATTCAATGGTCGAACCCTCACTGGACGAAATGGCCAATCAAAGCCGTAAAGCGTTGACTTTAATTAACGGCATCCGCAAGTATTCACGGCAGTGATCAAACACGCTTAGCGAGTCATAGCTCAACATGTCAATTGTCAAATCAACATGTATCCCCACGTATGTACATTAACATATGCCGCACATATGATATACCCCCTTCATTCAAATACGCTTCTAAGATATACATTTATCGGCTTGCTCAACATTGACGCCTTCCAACAGGCTCTACATTATTTATGACAATCATTTATTCTGCACGGCCTTAAAAGCTGTCAGATTTTTGGATATTTTTTTTGGTCGCCGTCCTTCAACCGATCCCCGGCCTATGTTATATAAAGATAAGAGACATACACATAGATAGGAGACATACACATAAATAGGACTTAACTGGCTGACTTAAGAAACAAAGTAATTAAAAGCTGGCAGTTAACGTTCGGCGACCGAGACGCGTCTTCAATGAAATATTCCCGTACGCTAAATCAGTAATAAATATGCGAGCTGCGTGGGTCGTACGGGGCATTAAAATAATAAAATCGAAAGATGTGCGTCATTATTGCGCTACGCCGGTGGTCGCGAGGTACACCGCCGGCATATTACGCACTTATCGTTTCGCCACCATTAACATACGTATACATATACGTGTGTATACTCTTTCATACGATTACCGCTATTCCATCGCGGTCGGAAAGCAAGAAGAAGAGGAAGGAGGACGAAGAATAAGAAGAAGAAAGACGCCGGGATAGAAGTATACATAACCTGGCAATGCGGTATAATCGCAGACTGCAAAGAGATAGTATCGGTCAAATTGATTTCACGTTATTGAAAGACTCATCGAGATCATCAACGGATAATCTATCGTTCGTATGTACAGTGAGGTCTAAGGTATCCTCGGCTAATTAGAAAGATAAGAAAGAGAGAAGCTAGATGACGCGAGACTACGAAGCTAATTTTTCTGGATTGTCCAAGGAAAAATCGAATGAACCAACCAGGCTTCATTAGGGCTCCCATACACCTGCTGCCTATAGTATATAGTTCCTGTATTATGTGTACCTATATATATATATATACCTACTGACCCAGGCACTACCTATTCTGCGGCGATGAAGTTATCAGAGCGTTTGCTCGCTGAACAGCTGCCATCTTTTTGCTAGGAGCAATCTTCCTCTGGCAATCGAGAGGGCAACGTGGACATCCCAAGTCGACTACGGACTGAGCTTTTCTACTGTAATAGGCGAATCTCGAGATTCTTAATTGCACCGGACGATTAATTAAAAACTAGTTTGGCTAACTTGTTCATAAAACATGGACTCTCCTTATATGTTGGCTTGACAATCCTGCCTCAGGTTACCGGTTCGTTAGAGATTCTAGTGGCTCTTGGAGTATCTTCCCTTGCCGCAATTACTTAATGCGATTACTGGCTCAATGGATACGGCACCGTAAGCGAATAAACCAGCGGCAATTATAATTCCTGATTCTTTGGACACTCTTCTCTCTGTTGGATTTTTTTCTCATTTTTTTCTTCGTCTTCCTGAATCTCTCGTATGGATCCTGTCGATATTCTCACTGTGTACGTACCATTAGCACGATTTATATTCCTGAGTAGCTGCTGCAAGAAGCACGAAGAATATGTCTGTAGATCGGTGACGTTTGCACAGCGACGAAATACGTGTCCTGCCGTGTGCCTATGTAAATGTCTGACGTAAGAATCGTGAATACGTGTTCGGTGGAAATAACATATGTTATCTTTATTTGGTATTCCGTACTGATATCCGGCGTCTGGTTTATTGGCCTATATCTTGAAGCGCTGCTAAGAGAAGGGCATTTGCCGTACGATTCGTGTCACTTGTATTCTTGTCGGTGTTGTTATGCAGATCTATGGAATCATCGTGATTAGAATTTACACTAGGTTCAATTGACAGTCTTAACGAAGTCCAAACTGGCCTTACCTTGGGACGTACGAATGGAATAAGTAAGTTCAATCTCGAGCAATGCTTCGATCGATCCATGACGAATCGGGAGTAATGGAGGCAGTGCGCGTAGAGCACTTGGTGAATTGCGATAGCTCACTGCAATTTCATAGGGATTTTTGCACTTGGAAATTCCCCATTCTATCTTGCAAACGTCACTCGTGCGGATTATGCGGATGAGCCGAGGTACCAAGAGCGTATTGGTACCCGTGTACCGCGTCCTCGGGGTCCAGGATGAAAAGTTGACCTTGGTCCTTCTACGTCAGACCTTGATGCATAAGGCGTACGAAAATCGCCGTGGGTGGGCCTGGGGGCTGCCTCCAGTCTGGTTCCTCGTGCGGGTGACACCCTGCGATGCCTGCGGCCTCTTCCATTGTAACGGGAGAAGGGAAAATGGGCTCTGTGACCCATGCCCCAGGAACTCTGGTCCACGGTGCCTCGCAGAGAATTCCGAGTCTCGAATCATACGAATTGTACGGCATGGTCGTGTATCCGAGTTTACACGAGCTAAATGGTAAAACGTATATTGCGATATACCGGATTGCAGAAAAATGTAATTCCGGGAGAAATCGTAGATCACGGGATTATTGCTATACGGCTTTTTAACCGAGGGGAGTCTGTCCTTTGAGAAGAAATAAAAAATAAATATCAAATTTGATATATCGTCGGATAGTATTTCTATACACGCACTCGGCACGTAGATCGTTAAGTTTTCTTAGAGGATTTACTGGGACTTAGAAAAGTACCAGTTTAACCGTGGCTCGTGTGTTACCGGTGTATCCGTTTGGAACAGCCCCTCAACTATCGGACAATTTTTTATCCCCTCAAACAACGGCCCTGGCCGATACGGCTAAAAGGGTACAAAGCGATGCACGGCCCTAAGGAAATTATAAAAACGTGATCGTAGGTGAGATGCTAGGTCGTAGAGGGGATCCAACGCGAGGACCTCACAAGGCGGTTTTATGGGGCCCTATAAAAGGAGCCCTTCCAGGACTACAGATGACCGACGTCTTGTTGGACTCCCCCTTGCCCAATGTCCCCCTATATCATAGTCAGAAGACACGGACAAGATAGAGAGACCACTGGCGTATGCATTCTCAAAATGAGAATTGTCTACTATACCGAACGTGGCTAAACGAAATTGCATACGAGTCAGACCACTCTGTCAGATACAACCTGAATAAACATATAGCGCGTGCATAGCGCGATCGTTCTTGAAGTCTCTTTGCACTCAGTAATCACAGCGTTCTCTATACGTTTTCGTAGGAGCCGGATATAGGAGCAGAGCTGACAGGAGGCTGTTATGGTTTCGCAGCCAAGTACATGCACTGGCCAGAAGAGCTCGTGGTCGGCGGAGCCAAGCATAACAAAACCGGCCACCTGACAAGAGCAGCGGCATTGCAGACCGTCGTGCAGCTGATGGGAGAACGAGAGCTCTATGATCTTTGGGCGAACACCTACAAGGTCCATCATATCGATTGGTCCCAGGAGAAGGCGTCGATTGTCCTGGAGACCTGGCAGCGGGCTTTCAGTAACCAAGTCAGAAAACAGCTAAGCGCCAATGGGAACGATTCTGCCCCGTACAACTTGTACGCCTTTAGTACGACCACCATGAACGATATTCTTGGAAAGTACAGCGAGGTCTCGGTTATTAAGATTGCCATTGGATGCGTTCTTATGGTAAGTACCGGTGGCTTTATAGCTGTACTCTTTATGCCGAAATGACTGGAGGATAACCGGAATTAAATTTTTACAGCTCTTGTATGCTGGAGTGGCACTGCTTCGATGGAAGGATCCGGTACGATCGCAATCTGGCGTGGGAATAGCTGGTGTTATGTTGGTCTGCGCCACCGTAGCTGCTGGTCTTGGATTCTGCGCTCTTTTAGGGATACCCTTCAACGCTGCTACCACTCAAATCGTACCATTCCTCGCGCTGGGGCTTGGAGTCCATGATATGTTCCTTCTGACGCATACTTATGCAGAGCTATCTGTAAACGAAGTGCCAAGTGGTGAACAGACTGGTGTTGTCCTTAAGCGAACAGGCTTGTCGGTTTTACTTACTGGACTGAGCAACGTGTCTGCCTTCTTTGCCGCGGCCATTATTCCAATTCCGGCCCTGAGAGTCTTCTCACTTCAGGCGGGAATACTCATCCTATTTAATTTGGCAGCCATGCTGCTCGTCTTTCCTGCCATGGTCAGCTTGGATCTGAGAAGACGGAGGTCAGGTCGCTCGGATATACTCTGCTGTTGTCTACCAGCTCTGACCGATGGGCAGAATAATTCTAGAAACAAAAGCAATGGTACTGCCAAGCAAACTGTCACGAGAGCTATACCACCTGAGAGGATAGAGACCTGCACGCAAATTCTCACACCGCGGAATCATCAGAACGAATCCTGGGTCGGTGGGGACATTGTGGATACGGATGTAGAGAAACAGTCGACGGAAGAGGATACATTGACAGGATGTTCTCAAGATGAGTGCCTTAGTTTTTCTCTGACGCAGCTAGCAGCTAAGCACTACGCTCCTTTCATTACGAGACCGGCCACTAAGGTCTTTGGTATGATGCTGCTGGCGGCTGTTCTAGCCGGAAGTGTCTGGCAGGCCATAAGAGTAAATGATGGATTGGAATTAACGGATTTGGTTCCACAAAATTCGGATGAGCACGCATTCCTTGCCGCTCAAGCGAAGCATTTTGGATTTTACAATATGTACGCTGTCACTGGCAGAGATTTTGAGTATCCAAATAATCAAAAATTGCTGAACGATTATCACGATGCTTTCATGAGAGTGAAGAACGTGATAAAGAACGACGATGGTGGTTTACCGGAATTTTGGTTGAGTCTCTTCCGGGATTGGCTGAAGGGACTGCAAACTGCATTCGACAGAGATTATAAGAACGGCTGTATCACGCAGGAGAGGTGGTACAAGAATGCCAGCGATGATGCCATTCTTGCCTACAAGCTCTTAGTACAGACCGGTCACGTGGACAATCCTATAGACAAGACTCTGATCACGCAAGTGAGGCTGGTCGACTCCGAGGGAATAATCAATCCCAGAGCATTTTACAATTACTTGAGCGCCTGGGCGTCCAACGATGCCTTAGCTTATGGCGCCTCCCAAGCTAATTTGCGACCAGAACCAAGGCAGTGGTTCTATACGAATGATCACGAACTCAAAATCCCAAAGAGTATGCCATTAACGTACGCCCAGATGCCATTCTATTTGCACAAGCTAACCGACACAAACGAGATCACAGAACTGATCGGCAGCGTTCGCACGGTCTGCAGACGCTTTGAGGAACGTGGCTTGCCTAATTTCCCATCGGGGATACCATTCCTATTTTGGGAGCAGTACATGGACTTGAGGAGTTACTTGGGAGTCGCGCTGCTTGCAGCACTCGGTGCCAGCATCGTCGTCGTTGGAATTTTACTCTTGAATTTATGGGCCGCTTTGTTGGTCGGTACATCATTGGCTGGAGTTGTCTTACAACTCCTTGGAATTATGGGACTTACAGGGATACGATTAAGTGCTGTGCCAGCTGTTCTACTCGTTGTCAGCGTTGGAATTGCGGTTCACTTCACTGTTCACATTTGTTTGGTTAGTATCAACAGATTCTGAATCAATATCATTCAATGTGCTGATTTGGAATTATTTTGTAAAATACATTTTCTCACTTACAGAGTTTTGTAACGAGCATCGGAAGCAGAGACCGAAGAATACGTTTGGCCTTGGAACATATGTACGCTCCAGTGATACACGGTGCCCTCACAACATTTTTGGCAGTGGTCATGCTGGCCTTTTCCGAATTTGAATTCATCGTTCGTTACTTCTTCCTCGTATTACTCTGTTTAATTGGTATTGGACTCGTGAACGGCCTCTTCTTCTTTCCAATTTTACTCTCTTTGATCGGCCCTTCGGCCGAAGTGATACCTAACGATCATCCAGATCGAATATCAACACCGACTCCTCCCGCCTCACCAATCGTAAGAAGATCAAAGCCACCAGCACCGCCGCGACGCTCTCACAAGATCGACAATGCCAGACTACACGCAGAACCATCATTAACAACAATAACAGAAGAACCAAACTCGTGGCACAGCACGCAAGAATCCTGTATTATCGTTCAACCTGAACTCAAGGTGGAAACTACGTCAACCTGTGGCAATCAGGTGCGTGCAACTTCAGAATGCCCTTACAATATTATTTTGTGTATTGACTTTATACTGAAGGCTGGTATACATACGTTCCAAGCTTATTTCTTTTATTATGGAGAGAGTATATTTTGAGAGCATCATTGATTTTCAGTTTTCTGATTGTTCACAGTCACTATAGATATATTAGCCCGACTATCTCTTCATTCCCAACATGTGTAAAAAGGAAATAAGAACATACAATGTTTTCTAATACTATTTCGTACACACGATCCTTCCGTTAACAGTGGTAGTAGAGCCCTGCGAATTTTATTCGCTAAATAATCCCAAGGATATGTATATTATTCCAAAGCATGCCTAACGAGTGTGTCCTCTTGTTTTGACTAACAGAACTGTAGCGGATCAGACACCAGCGGGTCTAGTCGAACATCACCAGTACCATCGACATCTCATATTACGACTAAAGTCACTGCCACAGCTAACATAAAGGTCGAAGTTCACACACCGTTAACAAGTAAGTATTCAGGACATGGTAAAGTTCAATCGAACCACTGTAAATAATAAAGTTTACCTGGTTCACCTGGATTGCAGTCTTTTCGGATATAAGAATGAAAAAGAACTATTATCATGAGAGCAAAAGATTAATTAAAAATTTCAAATTATTGTAGGTGGAGTGGATCGTGGGGAGAAATGCCGGCACGCGGGTTCCAGTAGCCGAAGGAGCTCGCGCTGCAGTACGAACGTTAATACGGGGGAGTCTTCCGGTTCCAGTTCTGAACCGGATTCTGACACGAACTCAAATAAACACTAATGACAAGTACCGGGATGACCGGCAGCTGCTGCTCAAGTACCACGCAAAGCGGGAACCTCCAGAAGGCTGACTAGGCTAGTTTCATATCTTCATTAAGTAACTCAACGTCTTTCGCTTGTTTTACTTGAATTATAAAACGAAAGTATTATAACACAGATAAATGTTAACGGAAACAAGACACTGTCGGAACAAGTCGGAAAACAAGACAGCTTCAGAACCGATTATAGTTACGCAATGCGAGATATCTTGTTTTAAATTATCGTCGAAAATGGGTATACGCGTGTGTCGTATTTTCAGTGCATTGCAATGCAGATTAGTAATAGATTAATGATAATTAAATATCTATTTTAACCTCGCGAATGCACTTTTATAACTCTAACCGATTGAGTATAATATTCGTACTATCTGAGTTGCACGATTGCACTGAATACGCGACAAGACACATATAGTGGTAATGAGTAAACTAATCTAATTAAGCATGCTTAAGAGAACTTCAAAGAGAAAGCCATCTATTGTTTTATGTAACATCTGCTGTTTGTAAAAGCTTTGAACGATTTTTGTCAGGTGCAAAGGTCTAATTTACTCTGAATATATTTTCCTTAGATAGACAATTAAAACTACCTGCATAATTGTGCTGCTGTACAGAGGTAATTGATAATATTGATTGATATTATGTGATCACATTGTCTTTGAAGGTCTTTTAAGATTTGTATATAGACTCGATAACTTTGGAGAGGTGCAAAACTAGTTCAATTCGTTACCAATGGCAGTATCGGCTTTGTACCTAATCGAAGACTTTTGAATGAAGTTTAACAGATATAGGAAATATACGGGAAATTCATGTTTTCCGGATTGAAAATTTGAATGTTCTAGACGATCGAAGGACGTGCGAGTAGTCTATTGACTGAAAAAGAAAGAGGTACTGAGACTCATAATCTATAAAATATTTAAAGAAAAGTTTAAATATCATGGATTGTTAATTAATTTTTTAAAGTCTGCTATCTCAAGGTAATAAAAGAATATAGTGTAATGAAAAACATTGATTAAATGCTAAAAATCCATATTTATCATAAATGATCCACTTAGCAGCAGAGTCTTGAGTTACAAATATGCATTAAAATTGAGAGGCTGACAAGATTGTTGTTACTTAATACCATTTCTTTGTATACGTTCTCGGATCATTTAAAAAATATTTTTAATATTAATTGCAATTACTTTACAACTCTATCTGATTTCTCGAGCAGAAGAAAAGAAAACATAACCATCGTGTTCAATCTTGACAAGGATTCTTAAAATTCAAGCTCTCCTATTTATTTCTATAGATAATGATGACGATGACGATGATGACATTCATAAGCAGTGTGCATGTGGTTCGAGTGAAATGAATCTGAATTCTATTTATTATTTATTTTACTAGCCTCATTTCGATATCCAAAATATTTAAAAATAAATACTTTGTACAATGTCTGTTTGAAATGCGGTGACTTGTAAAAATACTCAAATATTTATGTCACTATATATTATTTTTATATAAAGTTGCTACTTAATTTAATGAGATAATTATCTTTAACTGAAGCATACCTCTAATCGTGTATAAAGCTGTAATATATTTTATAAGTTAATAATCCTAGGACTCGACTCCCAACTTAACTTTTCGATACCAAGTTCATCGAATTATGTACAATATAAGAAAAGTATTTTTTATGTAAAGTCATTTTGTATACAATCCTACGAATAAGTAAGATATTTCAAGGAAAAGCTGACGTGCGGTGACTTTAAAATTCTCGAGAATTGTTTAAATGAGCAGATTTAGAGCTGAGATGGAAATAGTCAATATACCTCCACTAAGCGCGTTTGAGCTGCACCATGACTTAATACATTAATTATTACATTATGAAAGCTAATTATTTTATGTATTAAATATATGGACAATTACTTGTATAATGTATATCGCCTTTTTTGTACATAAATATAATAATATTGTATTAAAATAAAACTCAGTTTGTTCTTCCTCTTCCTGTCTCCATTCAGAAAAACAATTACATCAGGACATGTCAAAGTTTAAATAATTCCTACTGAAACATAAACAGACAGAATTTAGATTTTAAATTTCGGTACTATCAGAGTTGGTCGAGATTAGTAGAGATACCCAAGTACCTAAATCTTTAAAAGTATATACATATACATAGCAAAGAAACATGAGCGTCAAAATAAAGTTTGTTTGAGATATATTCAACATTATGATTTTTAATAATTTTAAAAGGAATTAGTCTAATTACCTACGAGTGAGTATTTTTGTTAAGAATCTTCCAGAATCTTCCAATAGAGTTATCTGTTTTACTAACATTTAAAAAAAGTAAACTAAACTCACCAATCAATTTTAACGTAAAGAAATATCTAAGTATCGTAGCTCTTCCGATTCAGAGAGGTTTCTATTGGTTTGAATCATGTTGGCAGCACTGTGCCTCCATCATAGGATATATTCTCCTTCTTCCGTCGTCGTCTTCTGTCCGTTTACGCAACAGAGGGCTGTGTTCGAGGTACCAATCGTCCTCCAAGTTTCGACAAGTTTGAAAGTGGTGTAAATCAAGAAAATATGCTGCGACTTGTGGCTGGTCGTGTTTGCGCGACTATGAAGACGGCTGCCGTATCCAGGACGGCAGCTGTCGGAGCACAGACTTCGAGAAACATGAGCCATGGTCATGAGGAGACCGACGAGGAGTTCGACGCTAGATACCTCAATTTCTTTAATCGCAACGATATTGATCACTGGGAAATTCGTAAGGCAATGAACGATTTAGCTGGTACGTATTCAGTTAACTTGGGAGCTAAATATTATTGAATTCATTGATCGTTTGAACTGTCTTGAAATTACTGCATTATGTAGTTGCGAATAGCCAAGCTGGCATTTATCCAAATATTAACACATCGTAGTTGAGGGATTTATAGTTTTTCTTGAATTAAATGCACAAATATGACAATACGATCTGACTAATATTATCAATAATTATATGTAGTTAAGTATATTGAGTTCATATATTTTCTGATGCTATTATTTTATTTAATAGGTGTTGATACTGTGCCCGAGCCCAAAATTATCATTGCCGCATTAAAAGCTTGCAGACGGTTGAACGACTTTGCTCTAACAATTAGGTTCTTGGAATCTTTGAAAGAAAAGTGTGGTAACAAAGTTAATGTAATCTATCCCTATATTCTACAAGAAATTAAACCTACCTTGGACGAATTGGGTATTAACACTCCTGAAGAATTGGGATACGATAAACCAGAGTTGGCTCTCCAGTCTGTGTATGATATTCACTAAATTATGATTCATAGGTTCCAGAACTAGTCCCAATACATAGAAGGTGCCTCCACTATGGCTAATCATTTCAATATAGTTTAATTATTTGTAAATTCAGTGTACTATGAATGTACCCATTGTCAACATCTATAAAATAAATAAAAGATTAAAGATTCTGTTATCGGTATTTGAAAAAAACTTATTGGACCCATCCAGCCAGCAGAAGACTCCTGAAATCAAAATATTGAGGATAATAGAATTGAGTGATATGCGTATATTATATTTTTAATATTTTTTTTTCCTGTCGGTTCTTTACGTTAGTTCTAAGATTTTAATGCGACTCATTTGACTTTTTACACCAAAAATAACCAAAGCAGAAAGGCGACACAACGACGACATATTTACAAGTTACATTACATGATACACGGCAATAAAGTCATATACATATATGTCTATAATAATCTAAAATGGTGATATAGATTCTGTATCTCAAACGACATTGAAGTTAACTTATATTTTGTAAATTTCACCGTGAATGAAAATGAGAGAAAAATAACGTGTAATTCTTAACATGACTCTATGTGTAGATATTTATGGTAATATTATCCTTTATGATGGCCATGACCTTAAAATAGTACAACAATTAATTCCCAATAATTGTGATCTTTTCTAATGATAGTCGTTATTAAATTTAGCTACATTTTCTATAATATTATAAAAACATCTTTTTTTGTATTGTTACACCTGATTACAAGGGCAGTTTGTTGTTTCAATGTTACGACATTCTCTTTCTAAGGTACCTGTTGTCAAAACAATGAGTGCAATTCTGATTTTAAGAGGAACTTCATTTTAACTTGAGATCCACAGCTCTGTTGAAGATTGCTCAACGAGCACAAACGTCATCAACAATTATTAAAAATATAATCTAAAGCATTATTATATGAGCCCAAACACATCACATTGCACATTGGAATTATATATTCCTCATACCTATAGAAATTGTTTATTATAAATTAAATTATCCTGAACACAAAAGAATCCTGGTAGACTAGAGTTCACATAGTGATTATAAATATTACATCCGTGCGTAAACTCTACACCGCAACATTGAAACAAGATTGCACGCGAAATAAAATTACTTTACCTAAATTTAAATACAATAAATACCATATAAAAATGACTCGGCGCTTAAATGCATGGAGATGCTGTTTTAAATAAAACAGCAATTTCGAATCATGATTTGGGATGTTTGACCATTTCGAAATGCAGTACAGAGCATTACGACGATTAATCAATTACAATACCAAAGATACATCCAGGTTCTATTTGCATGCCTGTACTGTTCAACGACATCAATAAAAGATTCTGTTGTCTAGGCTCCATTGTGTAAGAAATAAATAAATGAATAATAAATATTCCACTCTCGGTTTCTATCGAATTATACTAGTACATCATACTTACACGTGTCATTTAAAATGCATCAAACATCCAATTAAAATATAATCCATTATAAAATAAACACAATTAGGACTACGACCGCAGATCATTTGGTGTGCATTCGAATTTCGAATCCGTACATTTGATTTTCAAAAAGTTACACCTTATCCTATTTGTACCCGTCAGAAATACTTAATACCCCTATTAGTGCTTAAAAAAAAAATTAATCGTGAAAATGTTTCAATACATTGCAATATATATGTTTACAGATATATACATATTATATATATATATCTGCGGCAGAACAAAAATATATCGTAAGTCTTGAAGTATCAAACGTCATAACGCACTTCCAATAATGGATTCGAATTTCAAAATTTTCATTCACAACGTTACATCGAGTCAAAAGTTCATGGATTTCTTCATGGATGAAAAATAAACTACGGAAAAGTAGCGCAACGATATAATCCTTTTCTATTACAATAATCGCGTTTCTGGCATTAACCCGTTGGATTAAAATTAATTCAATGACTAATCCGACATTGTACTCTTTTGGACCAGTGTTCACCTCTCTGTTTCGCGATACATATTCGTGTAAAATTCATTGGATTCCCGAAGAATCTCGAAAACGATAAAGCATCACTGCATCTCAAACGCAATGCAGACTCTGGTCTGTGCATTTAAACAATATATCCAAATTCTGTATAATTCAATTAACTATGACTAGATCAAATAATAATACTTAATGGAAACACTTTGGTAACGTGCAAATGACTTAACTACACTGACCGCAAAGACACTTCAGCCGTAGCTGATGATCATTCGCTCCCGCCATACATCATCAGAGTCAGCGACTTTGATGACAGGCACTACCACTAAGAACAGTCGATCTCAAATCAACCTTGTACATCCATACCTAATTAGACAATAACATAAAACGTAGTGACATTCTAATCCAATGAGTTAAAGACCGCACTGTGTTGTCGCCCTTTTGAAATATAGAACACGTTCCTTAGCAGCGATCGTTGTCATTATAGATCTACCTAGAGGTAGAGTGGTGACTGATAAGAGACAAGAAGATCGATTTTGATCAGTGACAGGAAAGTCATTGTATACAATGTATGTAATTCATCATCACGGTCTCGTTTAATTAGCACACCACTATCACGCACCAGGTTCATTATGCTGGACCTACGTTGTACGAGGTCAAAGCAATGACAATAGGACGTGATTATTCAGGACTAGAGACGGTTTGCTGCTGTTGGCTGTCCTCGTCCTTAACGACCTCAGCCTGCATGGCCTTGGTGAGGACGTTGGCGTCCTTGAGCGAGATCACTTGGAGAACCTGGTGCTCGCCGGCTGCGTTTATCATTGTCATCGGATGACCTTGAATCGTGACAGCCTCGATGCTGGTCTCGCCGTTTCCAGGCTCGACCTTCGGCACCTGAACCATCGGGGTCACGACCTGCATGGTACCATCGCTCTGGATGTTCGCCACCATTGTCTGGTACATGCTCGCGGAAACTGGTACCGTGATCACTCCTGATACTGATACTGGGTAGCCTGAAACATCCAAATTACTGTCCTGGTCTTTTGCCTGCGCTCAGGCAAGTGTCTGTATGGCGAACTGGAGATGGAATTCTTGTGGGAGCAATAGACAGGGTGGATGATGAATGAATTAATGGATTTCAGTTAAAATTGTAATATTTCATTAACGTTACACTTACAACTTTTCTCATTTTTTTTTCTTTTCTTTCCTTTTACGAATAATCATACAACTCAGCTCTTTGGATAACCTTTTCTTTTTTTAAACTATTAAAAATTATTTTAACTATTGCTTAGAAACGCTGATCGACAGTAAGGATACAGTGATACGCATCTCCAGTTCGTGACACAGTGATATTTCTCTTAAAAAATCGTAAAACACATATTCTCAATGAATTCTCTATTATCTAACATTGTACAAGAAATACAAAAATAATAGTAATGCCATTAACAGGGTGTGCTAAAGAAAAGTAAGCATACTTACTATGTTTCTATTAAAGTTAAATAATAAACCTAACGACTCATGCTAAAAATACTTTGTATATATTAAATTACCTTCTTTCTGGCACACCCTTTTAATACAAATTAGAAGAAGAAAAAAAACATAGTAATGTCGATATCTACTTGAGAAGTATAAAGCATATCGCTAGGGCAGCACTCGCGAAAAATGTTTACGAACGAATTATCAGTATCAATGTAATAGTTCATTCACTTGGAATTATTCGTAGAATGATTAACGAGCTTGTGAACACCCTAAGCGAATTCTGCCCGAGATAGAAGTTCACAACAAAATACAAAATAATAAAACATCAACAAAAAAATACTCTATGTACAGCTGATTTATTTCTCTGTGATTCTTTAAAGTAAATTATTGATATTCGATAGTAACAGTGGTAATAATTATAAAACAGGTGGTGGCGGGGTAGGGTAGGTTGTTTTTTTATCTCTGCTATCTGACGACTCGGAAAGTTTCTTTATTCATCATGTAATTCGGCGTTTTAAGAATCCATGCGATAGTCCACCGTCTAATTTTATTCGGAAACGTAACACGTAGCATTTCATCACGACTAACACTGTACACCGAGAGCATAAGCGATTTAAATTCGTTAAATATTAAGAATATTAATAATGCAGAGTCGATAGTCTGAACGAATTGTGATTTGTATTTGTACTGTGTAAATATGTACACAAGAAATATACATAGATACTTTCATCCCTAACCAGTATGCGCATTTTTACGCACTTAATAAATATTACGCTGTCGCAGTCAATCATTTTCATTGTAGTCAGAATATCGTTCGGTATAGAACAAATGTATTCGATTTGTCTAAATCATTTAAGAATCGCGCCTATATTGCGAAAGGGTCTTGGCTCCCAATTAGTTCGGACAATGGGCATTCTGCTATAAATGTTACACGCCATTGATTTATACCACATACTATCTTATCCAATGACTAAATTCTCTTATTGCATAATCGTGGAACATTATCGATTCTCAAAGACAAAATAAAATAAAAGCATCGTCTATCTCCACGTGAAGTTGCAGTATATACAGTACCAAAAGACATTAACTAGTCAAAACTCTACTTTGTTGAACAAAGTAGTGGAACGAGTGGGTGTCATTCCCAAACGGAGTGCTGTAGACAGCATGCAAAATAATAAAGAATCCTGGACCAAGCCATTAAATCACTGCTCGAGTATTTCCTGGCCGGCGACGGTGCAGAGCCTATAGAAAACAGTTTTACCGTGTCCGTCTTCTCCTGTGAGAATGATCTGGCCATCTTGGCCTAAGGTGGCCTCGGTCACGCTATTTAGATCAACTGCGACACTGCCTTCCGCCCCACCGGCTACTTCTGCGAGGGCCTGTACCTCTCCCTGACTTGTATGGATCTGAACATAATACATGACAAAGTATCCTTTAACATTTGACCACGAACATCGAGTGCGATAATCGATAATCATTTAATTTATAGTAAAAATCAGTCATTACTTTCGCCAATACAATAGTAAACCGTGTAAAGTCATTAGATTACATCAACTTACCGTAGCAACGCCTTGAACTTGGGCGGTAGTACCGTCTGGTAACGTAATGATAGGATTGCTCGGATCAACCTGTATGATGGATACCGTACCATCGGGATTAGTAATTGTTTGCAACACCGCCGTAGGATATTGTGCCGTCATCTGTTAATGAATAAAAGTTTAGATTAAAATATACACATCTCTAATTACAGTAAAAATCTTCATAGCGAAATACTAAGCTAAAGATTGACCGACATTTTCATACAGTTGATAAACAAAAATGCCTATCGTGAGCAGCATTAAGAGAAATGCAATGATTCGAGTCATGGTTCAACATCGATTACATAAAACGCTTAAAGATAGTGAACATAAGATTAGGTTGAACTCAAATAGGGGAAACTAAACACCAAACATCAACAGAAACCATACGACAATACATCGTTCAAAGTAAGGTATCGTTGATGACCCGCTTTCAATGAGAAAATCAAGAGGACAATATGATCTCGATTAACAACAACGTTATCCAAATTGATCCCAATAACAATCATGTCTGCCAATTGATTTCCTCGTCTGAAATGCACTCGATCCACTCCCACCTGAGTGGCAGTGGTAAGTGCTGTTGGTGACGCGGCAATGATTTGTAGTGGCGAAGAGTTTCCCTTAGATGAATCCGTGCTGTTGAGTCGAACAACTCCCACCGTCTGTTGCTGTTGCTGTGCCGACTGTCCACTTTGACCTTGGGATGAATGAGACTGATGCGACGAGGAATGAGGTGTTGGTTGTTGTATAAGAACATTCGATTTATCGTCCTCCTCACTAAAAGCGGGCAAGAGATCTTCTCTACCATGAAACTTGTAGCAATTAATGACGATCTGCCTGAGTGCGTGGGTCCAGGAGATCTGTAATGTAATGCAACAATAGAATTCTCAATAATATTGTTAACTGTCACCCAATAAAGATAAAGAATGCGTTCGTGATACACGAACGTACCTTCTGCTTCTCATCTTCAGATCTTGCGTCCATGCGTACATTTGCCCAGGGTAATTCTTTGGGCCACCATGGCGGTCGTGTGCTTTCTCGTCCCCAGCCAGGCTTGCCACGACCTGTGGAGTACTTTAGCATCAGAGGGATGAACGCCCTGAGCTGAGCCTGAGTCATTTTCTCAACGGGGGTGGGAATGCCATCTATTATAAGTGGTGGCAATTCATACAAAGATGGATCATCTTGAACCGGCGGTGGAGCTTGCTGTGCCAGGGCGCTTTCCAATTCTTCCATAATGACGCTCTTCAAATTCTTCACTACATCCTCCAATGGTTTGGCGCCGAATACCTTGTAACTACTATTCGGCTTTCCTGGCGTGGCCACTAATACCACAGCTTGTTGTCCAACTCGTGTCGCAAACTCATCTATCGTTTGCTATAAACATTTTTTAACGTTGTTCCAATGTTATGGTCTCGCAGTAACAACAAGAACAAAAATATCTTACTTCCTACGTTAACTCCTAGAGTAACATACAGGAATATTAGCTTACCCTGAGCTTTCTTAAAAGCCTGTTCTGTTGCCTTTTCCGGATGCTAGGATTGGTTTCGAAGCTGTGGGGACGTTTTCGCTTCTTTGCCGAGACGATTGCGGCAGCCGCAGCAACGCCAACAGGCCCTGAATACACTCATTATCAGAATCCGTCTATATCCACTCTAATACCAGACACAACGTCGCACCAATGTAATACCAATAATTGGAACCAATTACTCATGATAGATGTAATATTCTGTTTGTTTTCTTGCTTGTTATATCAGCATATAAAACATAGCAGCAGCATTACGTTGGTGGGACGTAGAACGTACAAATATCACTTTCAAACGCAAAAATGCATAAGCAACAGTGACATGGAGCGTGCATGAAGTCCAAGAGATGTCTATAGAAACAACAAGCTACATGAATCGTATATTCAAGATTTATGTAAATCCTTAGCTTTATGCACACGAATAGATTTGAAAAAAAAAAGAATGTTTCTAACTTCATGCTCTTAGACTTCTTTCTGAGAAGCAAATGCGGATTTAACTATTCAGTTCCTTTTTTGTCGGTACCTAAGTTTTAAAATCCTTCATTTTGCATAGTCTATAAACATAAAATGTATTATGTGATGTAAACAGTGAGAACATAAACATTACAATGTATAGACGTTTCTCAGAATGTGGCTGTGTGAAAGCAAATGAGGTAGAAGCACGCAAAATAATATAAAATGCATACAAGTGCAACAAAAGGAAAAACAAAATGTCCTATTATAATATAAAAATGTAATATATTTAAAATAAATTTAATTTATTATATTATCTATGAGCGTGCCTTGCATAATCAGAAATTATGATAACTTTGACGTGCAAGGATCATATTGACTTTAGAATGTTTGCACAGTTTAACTTGTATAAAGATTTTCATGTGATATTGATTACTTGGGGTAAATTATGTCTATACTGTTATAGCTTTAAACGGACCATTGTCGTTTCATTGCCTGAATGGCATTTACAACTGGAATAAAGAAATAAATTTTGGATAAATGAAAGTGAACTTTTTCATTATTTTATTAAAACACTACGAGATGAACAATGTCCATTCAATTTAATTTAGTGAAAATTGTTCAAAGGACAATTATTATGTTTTTCAATTTGGTTTCCAATATCGAGACTGTCTTGTGAGGTACTGATAAATGAAACGTACATACAAATTTTAATGATTACAAAACACGCAAAACTCATGCTGTATAAAAACGAATGATTTCCGTTAAAAAGTTTCACCTTTAAATAAGTTCTTTCATTATGCCAAATGTAGCTTACAGTTCGATAATTATAGATCCATAATATTTTATACCATATTTTCTTAAATGTTTTATTTTAACGGGAAATTCATTAAACCAAAAGCAAATTAGGGTAACGGAACAGATCAACAGGGACTCCATTTTTTTGCAAATTCTCAGCTTGTTATACCAAATTGAGTTGTTAAATAACATACTAGGAGTTGTTCCATTACATTCTCTATATAATGTCCCGGGACACTGTACAGGAATTAAATACTAATAATAAGAACAAAGTATTCATAATTGTAAGATTCTGCAGGCTGTAACCCTTGAACATTATTAAATAAATAACAAATTGACATGTGGACTTGCATATAGATTACAACCAGATGTACTTGCAAAATTCATTGATCTATGGATCAATTGAATACATTTTAGCAGTAAGAAGAATCAACGAGGGAAATATAACAGACTACCAATCTGCTTCCTGCATCTAACGATGCACCCTGTACAGCTTTTGAATTGAAAATGAGGATGATTAAAACATAAGTAACTCAAAAGGTGAAAAAGCAAAAAAATGGAAATCACCATTAGCGTGTTTGATTTGCCAACCTGCAGCTGCGAGCTGGGCCGTCACATCGTCATCCATAGCAGCACTTAAGAGGTCACCCTCTTCATAGGTTTCAGATCCACTAGTGGGATCATCATCATCATCATCTGAGAGCCGATCCATTCTGTCCAGTGTTCCGGACTCTGCACTAGGCAGAGATACCATATTCTCGTTGTCGTCACCCGTTTTTGTCTTCTTCGTTTATTGCAATACCCCGTCAAATGTGATAAAATCCTCAAGAACTTGGTTCTCCTACATCACCTCCACCTAGAGAAACAGTTATAGTTTTAATTATTTTTATCTTGTGCATTGCTGCTCTCACCATAATGTTTACAGTAGAATCTGTACACTACATATTCAGGCATTTGTAGCTCCTCACTTGTACAGTAATATTTCACAATCTGATATGTTACGGAAGCATTTTTATAGAACAACAAATATACAAGATAATATTTTCTCATGGATCAACCAGATGGAGAGTACTGTACAGCATTAAAAATGTTATCATATGGTTACCAACTGTTCAAACGAGAAGAAAAAAATATATATAAACCCACATTAATAGAGTTGATCACTATAGGATGTTGAATTTAAGTATTCATGATATGCTTAAATGAATCACCAAGGCAACCCCTTTTTAAATATCTTTCTCAACATATTACTAATTGTATACTCATATTTCGTTGTTACTACTTATGCATCGAAGTTCAATATTCACAGATTTAATACTTAAAAATAAAACTTAAGGCACTTTTATGCTTCCTTATCTATATCTAACATCAAAGTCAATAGTTTGTTCTGTGATACCTCAAATGATTTTGATAATATAATAGTCTTAAAAACCCTTGGTCAATTACAATAAAGATGGAGCAAATACAAAATGTTCAAATCATCATGTACCTTATAATTTATGTAGTATCATAGCGTAAGTATCAGAACGTAAAAATGCAAAGGTCAGCATGTCATCCAGGTGGACATAATCTAGGGTCCCATTTTAAATAATTCCATTGTAAGGGGTATGGAAACATGGAGTAGAGAAATCTTGTATAGTCTGTCTTTAAGAGATATAAGAGAGTAAACATCCGAATAAAATGCAGATTCTTGTTTATATAACAATAAATATAAAAATAGATTTTTCAAATAAAATATTGGATTAAACAAATATTTGCAAATACAGAATGATTTCCAACTGAGTAACAAGATATAAACAAAAAGTATATGATATAGAATAAAAAAATACTGCAAAATGAAGATTATGAAAACTACATAGCTAACGTTAGCTATAGGTTAGAAATTCGAGATTAGTAAAACTTCAATCGATATCGGTAGAACTATAGGTAAAAGTAATTTGAAGGGGGAGCTGAAAGCGTGAAGTTCCGCGGCAAATCGAGCAATTCGCAGAGGAAAAGACAATACTCGATGAAGCGAGGAAACGATAAAGCGCTACTTCCAATAATGAAATATAAAGTCTATCGTGTAGTTGGGCAATAGGGAAGCAGATGGTGTAAAAGGCGAAGAGAATGGGAAACCAAGTCGTGGTTAGATTGGAGTAGATCAGACTAGAGTAGACTAAAGTGGAGAACAGACAGGCTAGAGTCCTGGATGATATGAATCGGTATGAGAGGGAAGCTCTGATCCGGAGGTAGTATAAAATCGACAAAGCGGAGCGTGACTCGTAAGGCAGGAGTCGTGACTCCTGGTATGACAGCGGCGACGCGTTCAGCGCGTGAATTGACAGATGGTAGAAGACAAGAGGATGCACTTCGCCGCAAAGGGAATCGGCGGCACGGCGGTACGGCGCGTTTATCCGTAGAAAAGGGGGGCAATGAAAATGCGCAGGGCACACGCAAAAGAGTCCTCCTCCGGAGCTGCAAAGCTCATGAGCGAGGAACCGCGGAGCCATGGAGCAGGCCCAGTGAAAATCGCGAGTTGCGTACGCACCTTGTGTGTTTCGTGAGTGGTCAGGGCTCAGGGCTCAGGGGTTTGCGTCTGCGGGGAGGCCGCCGTCGGCTACGCTCACCACGCCCTACGCTCGCGTCGCGCTCATCACGTTTATAAATGTTCGCACCACTCGCCAAAGGTAGCCCCGTGTAAGTTTCACCGTGTGAGCTTCGCGACGCTTTCGCGCCCCGGCACAACGCGCACAACGGCCACCATGGACACCATGGCCAGATTCGCCAGCAGGCGTATCGATCGATTACGCGGGCCTCCATCTCCACCACAACAAACGCGGCGGCCGGGCGGCCATTTTGAGCGAGCCTGCGCGGTGCATTCCAAGCAGACGATACGAAATTGCCCTTATTTCGCGATTGCCGATCGCACAATCATCGCCCGGCTACTCCTCGCCTACTTAACAACTAATCACGCCCCTTTAATCCCTCCGCACTCACCGATTTCCCATGGAATTGCGCAGAAAAACACCAGCGACCACGGAAACACGAACACCATATACATGTATACAGTTCTGGAATAACGTGATTGGCCTGCGGCACTGGGGTACGCGTCATGGCGTCCTATCGAGGCATAACCCTATTGGCCCCTGAAACACGTGACTTCTGTCTTAGAACTCCTGAAATGATGTTAACTGCTTCGATTCCTAACCTAATCTGATACACTTGATAGATCGTTCACTATTCTTAACCAGCTGGTTTTGTGTGTGTCTCTTTATAGAGGTATAACTGCTTAAATATTTAATACTTCCCTTTTTAAAATATCCTCTAAATTTCGATTACTAGCATATTATTAACTATAGTGAATAAGGTATCCAAGTGCAATTGCTGTGCATATCAGCGGAAATAATTTCTGTTCACGTGATAAATTATATGTTTATCTTTCTTATCGGGTTGAAATTACGATGGCAAATATATATATGCGCAAACTTTGATAAAAAAGTTACAAGATTTTAATTAATGTTTTTGAAGAAGTGAACACATTTATATTCATTTTATACAGTCGTTATAGTAATTCTTATAAAATAAAAGAATATTATTTATAATTAATATTATAAAATGGTGTAAAGTAGCTTTACATATCACATCTGGGGTGGGGTAAATTATGAACATAACAAGTTCATATTCTGTGGTATTAACCAATTGGATTTCAAATTATCTTTAAATATATCTTTTTTTTTAAATTTTACCCATTGGACCAGCACCGAAATGTATGCTCTTGTTTTGTATCATTCTTTTTTACGACTACTTATCATTGTACGGCTTTAAAGCCTAGTGTATAGAGAATAAACATGTGAATGACTTTTGATAATGAAATTATGAATTTTCTTAATCCAATCGGTTAAAAATGATACCACTGTAAGGAATATCTACTTATGCACTCAAGCCCATGGTTTATTTTTATTGCATAATTTTCCAAACCAACCAGCATCGCAAAGACAAGTATTGTCTGGCTGGCAAGTCCCATTTCGACATGCTCGTGTACAAGCCGAACGTTGAGGCGACCGTCGTCCAATTTCACAATGGTCTCCCTTAAAACCAATGAGACATCGACACACATTATTTCCTTTACATTTACCCCCATTGAGACAAGGAATGACACATTTAGCTGTAACAAGATTTCATTCTAATCACATATAAGATACTAAATAAACATAATAGCACAAACTTTTGATGTAGGTATACTTACAAAATTCACAATGTAATCCAAAGTAACCCTTGGGACATTCACAGGTATCTTTCTGTATACACTTTCCACCATTCTTACACTTCTCTGAACAAATACCTAAAATTAACAAAAGAGAGCAATAAGAGTAATGCCAAAACCAAATTTATCTTTGATTAATTTCAGACAATATGTTGACCATTGAAAGAAGCGTACGGTATGCTAGCACATTTCCACAAGTAAGATTAAATCCTAAAGCGAAGAAACTTATTCATCCTATGATCAGAGTGAATCATGCCGGAGAATTGGCAGCGGATAGAATATATGCTGGACAAATGGCAATCTTAGGTATTCAAACTTTATCAAAAGATGCATGCAAAGGTATAAATCTCAAATGCATTTAAATTAGGAAAGACTTCAGTTGGCCCCACGATACAGCACATGTGGGATCAAGAGAAAAAACATCGGGAGAAGTTCGAGGAACTCATTAAAAAATATCGTGTTCGTCCCTCTTTCTTCGTGCCATTATGGGAAGTGACTGCTTTTGCTATGGGTGCTGTGACATCACTCATGGGACAGAGGGCAGCTATGGCATGCACTGTAGCAGTTGAAACAGTCATCGTTGAACATTATAATGAACAGCTACGGGTATTACAGTCTTTGGAGAAAACAGAAGGAATTGAAGAAATAATGGAAGTGATAAAAACTTTTCGCGACGAGGAACAGGAACATCATGATACCGGAATAGAAAATGAGGCTGAAAGAGCTCCTTTCTATGATATGTTAAGTTTTCTTATTAGGTCTGCTTGTAAGGTCGGTATTACCACTGCTGTTGCACTTTAAATTTCTATAGGCCCCTTAATTTATGTAATGCCACGTGCAGCGCTATGAGTCTAGTTATTAATACATCCGGTGGAAATGGGTGTGAGATTAAAATTAAATAAATACATTGTGAGATGGTAGACATAAATATATTTACCTCCTTCGCAATAAGGCCCTTGAAATCCTGGTGGGCACGAACACACCCCGGGTGCCGTGCAATTTCCGCCATTCATACAATTCGGGTAGCATAATGCTTTTTTACAATGTGGTGGACCTAGATAACCATCTGGACACGGTCCTGGATTAGGTTCTGTAAAATTATATCATAGTAAGCATTACGTGGAATCGGTCAATTAACAAAGTAGCGAACAAACAAGTATTTTATAAATCGATTCCACTGTTTTTGGGTATTTAAATAATAATACACCAATCTTTGTAAATACAACAGATCGGAATTTCAAAAAATTTATCGAGTACGGACTATTGCATGCAAAGCGACAATACATTGAATTATTTTAAGATACGCATATATATCACGTAAATTTACTGCAAGTAAGAAGGAATTAATAAACCGATCCAAATCCCTTAAATTCTATAAAAAAAACCGGAGCACTTTATCCAATAATTTACATTATTGTATCTGGTATAGCAGAATAACTATCGTACCTATTTAAAGTTTTTAACCTATCTGTACTATGTATTTAAAATTCGTGTAAATATTCGTACTGGTACAGTCAACAAAATATGTATATGCCTCGATCAATATGTACAATCGTCTCCACGTATACGGATCGACGACACATTCGGAAACGGAAGCCAAATAAAGAGCCTTGAGGATGTCAAGTCTTTATCGAACCATCCCGCTTGAAACCAAACAACTTCACGTTATTCTGTGCACGATGCACGCGCCTCGACGAGGACGTCGTGAATATAAATGAACTAGGAGTAAGATGGAAAAGAAAAGAAGAGGTAGAGAAAAAAAATAAAGAAAGAACCAGAAACTAAAGTTCCGCTCGATCCAACCAAGTTGTCGTCGCCAGAGACCGGGATCTGCCCGATTAGAAGAAAAAAGCGCCGCTTGTTAGATCGAAGCATGCTGCAAATTAGTGATGTTTGATTACTGGAGATACAGAACTGTATGTGTGAGTGGAGAATTGATGATGTTGGGCGCGACTGACGGACTCACCGCGCACGGCGCATTCTTTCCTCAGGCTGAGACTCAGCGGTGTCCCATTCAAGGGTTTATGGGTCTTTCCCTTAGCAGCCTCGATTAATAAAGAGATCCCAAACTGAGCTATTCCGGAATTATTCCCGGAACAAGGCAAGAGAACACTGAATTCTGCAAAAAAATTATTTATTTTTTTATTATACCATAGAAAAACTTTGCAATTCAAATCTGTTGTGTATCATTGTAAAAATAATTAATTAACAGTGCTATCTCTTGTAAAAAAAAGTTTACATTTTTTTTACAAAAACTATTGTATCTAGCTAGTATGAATAAGACTAGTGTGATTGGTGCTTCGCCGCACCGAACTTCACGTTCGTGTCTTATACTCATTCGTTCTAGATAGATAAAATACTATTAAAAGGCGTCAATATCCGTATTTCTTAATGATACGGGTTGACCCGATAAAAGCGTTTAATTAATTTAACCGAACAACTCAATACTAATTACATTACGTTATCTTAATCAAATGAATTGAATTGATATGAGACGTTTCAAGGTAAATTAATGTTTCCTTACCTTTTGGCCTTTTTGGCACTCGACCACGTTTTTTAATCGTAATCGAAGGTGTCTTCAATATCGACTCGTCAAGAGACTTTAATCGATAAAAGTCATAATAATATTTTTTCACTCCAGATTTCCATGTGAAATTCACATAGGATACTTCGCTCGGTATCATGGGCAGTTTACTCTCAAATTCCGGATCTAAAAGATACGAGAGCACTATACCTTCCGTGATCGCATAGATTTCCATTTCCAGACCTGTTCGGAGGAAAAAAAAACATTTATCATTTCATTCTGACAGACAGTGTTATTTTAAAAATCTTCATTGACCATCCCAAAGAGATTGATTATCTCCTAAGGAAAATTTAGTGTACTAATTGTAAAGCTTCTATCGAGGATACCAGTAATTATCTACATTAAATAATCAGCCGGAAATCTTATCTACTATTTAAGCGCTTGTTGCGTGTTAAATCATAAAACGTGTCTTCGCAAAACAAATATTGATGCCCAAGCCGGCACTACTCGGCCAAAGATAAATAAAGGAATAAAAAAGACAACAGTCTCAAATGGTTAAATATTTTTTACCAACAGAACGAGAAACAGAGTTCACTGAAATTACGTCATGATATTCATAAGTAAAAAAAAAAAGTTATTGACCGATAGCCCAACCCGTACGTAAGTCAATATTTGACAGACGTTGCTCAGACAATTGCTTGGCATATTCATGCATCGTTTACACGAAGGCGTCACAAGAAGATACACTGTGATAAACCGAAATGCAGATAAGTCCTCGAATGAGAACCATAGAGGGTTATGTCCGACAATACATCGAAAAGAATCGTGCAAAAGGTAAATTAAGAGAGATGGCTAACCTCGGTCTTGAGTAGAATGATTGGCCGAGAAAATGAAACCGATTTTAAAAATATAAGGATAAACAGGTAATGAATATATTAAGTGGATTCTATCGGCTGTCCAACCAGTTACATAGTTTATACACTTTTCCACATAGTCAGAAGTAAAAGATCGTCAAAGGGAGAATTCTAGTACAGATACGACAATATTCCGACGGAGGACGTTAGTTAACTTACCGCTGAACATTTTGACCTGTTGCTGATCTATCCAGAGAGAGATGTCACCGGTGGGCTTATGTCCATTTCCAGGACGATGATGCCTGGCACTGGTAAGGCCCGAGATCAAAAGGATCACACAGGAGAACAGGGCTGCTGCGGCCCAGCACATTTTACAGCTGTTATAAGGGGCCCGTGGTATTGCGATTTTATGCACGGGACTAGGGATTTCACGGTGCCTGATAATAGGATACTTGAATATGGTTATGTATCCTTTCCCTGAGGATGATGCTCCTCGACAGCTTAATGGACTCCACAAGCACGACACGTACCTGCGTACGTGTGACTCGCCTCGCTGCGGCAAACTAACTGACTGACTGACTAACTCAATGAGAAAAGGCCTGGAGGCTGTTTCGAGCTCTCGCAACGCGAGAGATCCCTATCTATACGGAGTCCCAATACGCTGGGCCTAAGGGTGCGTGCACACCGATTATATGCAGACTGTTTGGACCCTGGGCCTACTACTCTCTTCTTATGTAGCTCCTGAGGCTCGTGAGACTGGATGAGATATCTTTTACTCTGACAGTCTCTATTATACCCTTGGTGCTTTTCTAGATCCAGATACCTTCGCCATCAGATGCTTTACACTTTTCTTCTCTACCTGGTTTACCATCTTCCCTACGTGGCTGACCTATCCTCACTTCACCCTCGCTCCAGGGTGCTCCTTTACGAGCTTCTAATTATAGAAGCGAATTTTCATCCGCTTGAGATCCATGAAAGCTTCTCCTAACCACCTGGCTCAGTGAGTAATCATATACAAGAGTGTCAGGATCTGCTGGGAATATATAACGGGTCTCGTCTCAAGGAATATGAAATTCCTTAGGAGCCCTCCTGTGCTTCAAATACGCAGTAGCCACTCTCGCAGCTCTCAATAACCAGTTTAATACTGACATTTGGCGCGGTCTTACGCTTTTGCATTCTGTTAACGAGCTTCTTCTATCCTTCGCTTCGACCTCGTTCTCACGAGGCGTTTCATTCGCGCTTAGACTCCGATAGATTCATCTCTGCGTACAGTAATAACCATCAGCACTATTCTTATGTCGTCTCTTGATCACTGGTGTATCCATGAATTCTTTTTGTATCCGCAGGTTTAAAGAGAAGAAAACAGAGGATGTTATTTTCTTCGGAGTTACGAGATCTACAGCTTCTTCATTTACGCCAGACGTACCAGATAAATTTGTCGTTTTACAACTGCATCTGACCGTAAGGCTTATCCCTGGTACATTGAATTCTCTGAGGTAAAATTATATATTACCAAGGAAGAAAATAACTTTGAATACTTTTTTAACTTATAGATGTACATAACTCGTCCCCTGAGACGAATGCATCTTATCAAGGATTTAATTATATACGTATCAATACATCCAGTGTGTTGGTACTACTGCGCTCCTATTCGTACAAGACCATCCGGGCTTATATAAAGAAGATGAGGATATCTTCATTTTTAAAGATCTTTAGCAATGACTTCACCAACACACGAGGAAGAGGGATGCCCCGCGTACATCAAGCAACAGGTTTAAGAGGGCACTCGATGAATAGCTGATAATAGTGTCCATTGTACCCTGAGTGTTGAGGGATGGGCTGCCTAACAAATGGTCCATTGTTATCCCTCTCACTGTATCTTCTTGTACCATCTTTCACAAGTTCTGTCCAAGATCCTGGGTTACGATGGGTACCGTGGTAACAGTGTCTACAGGGCTGTTCATAAGAATTCCAAAGGGTTTTAAATAGGTCCATGTATAAGGTCTATCCGATATCTTCTAAGATAGAGATTCTTCCGGTATATTTGATTTTGACCTTCCAAGAATTGTTTTTTAGCTGAGAATCTTCGTTTCACGTGCGAACGACCTGTTGGAAAAAGATCCACACATTATAACGCAATCAGTTTTGCAGAGTAAGAAAAAAGAAAAACAAGTAGCAAATAATAAATAGAAATATCAGTTTCAATGATTCTGATTATAAACTTCCTTTCTCACTGTCAGACTTTCTCTCTCGCAAGTTTTTCAAATATTATATAAGCTTGAAACACCCTGTATATTCCAGAAGGTAGAGTCCATAGCGCAATATAATATACAATTGGATCTGTGCACATATAGTGTATATGTACTGATCGAACTGGGAAGCACTGAGCGAGGGCCGTCTGCTCAGCCAATGCCAGTTATTCTTGATCGAATGTTTTTGCTTTGCCGTCGCAAAGCTAATTGGACTCTGCAGGAATCCCGCTGAGAATATCTACAATGTTACGCAAAATCCTGAAGCATCTTCGACTCCTTAACGTGGGATGATTTTTGAAATGCAGTGATCCTATCCCTTGCGATGCCCCAGAAGATTTTGATGCAATTGAAAACATTGCCAAGAATCCAATTTTCCGGCAGAGATCCTACAAATAAAATATATTAGGAATATACAATAGATTGTCTTAATTTAATAAAAATAAAGACAGACATTACCGTTAATAAAATATAAATTATATCATCAAGAACACTGTCAGCCCTTCTCCGTGTATAATGATTGATCTTCCAATGAATCTATATTCTTCGTATACAACTTAACCTGTACAAAACGTTGTATAATTCTGGATATAAACTCGGTGTCGACATAAGGGAGATCACGATTATATTTCTGCGTCCCCATCTTACTTCATTGTTTTTTTGTTTTCAAAAGACTGAGCGAACGTTGTGAGATCAAGAGCTGGCTGTGTACAGGACAAAAAACCTGTCCCGCATAATTACATTATCGGTCACATCTCGCTCGACTTCTGTCGAGACTTCTGACTCGTTCGACCGGACCCGCTTGAGGACAATAACGAGGGCCAAGACTGCAGGGGGCCAGCTGGGACCTTCCACATCCTACTGACATGCTCCACCCCACCACCCAACTGGACAGATTGCCAGTTTTATAGATAACAGTTAAAATTATAGAATTTTATGAAAAACGTATGCACCTTCTACAAGACTGTGGCAATCCCTGCTGAATATAACTGCAAAGACCCATCGAGTGAAAACAGAACAGCATTTGACGTTCAGGACTGTCAGTAAAGTCTTGAGAGTGACATTCCTTCGGAAGGAAAGAACACTTGGCAGCTAATTAAACTTGTCAGCCTCGTTAGGAGACCTCTGGAGTAGGGTCAGGTTTTATATGAGCTCGGGGTCCTTATTGAGGTTGAGAGCCGGATATTAGGAGTCTGCGGACAGATTAGACAGTTGCTTCTTAAGTTCCACTACACAGATACTACGAGTACCTAGATTTTTAATTTTTTTATTTTTTATTTATTGACATGGGGGACGTTACACAGGCGAATGCTGGAATGCACGATACAAAGGTTGCTGGTAAACGGGTAACTTAAAGTTAAACAATATTGCTTAATATTACGTAACGCAGTAACGTTACAATATTATAATCCGCCGTATCTGCTGCACTGCGAAGAAGTGTTTGTGAATATCGTGAATAATAAACGAAAAAAATAAGGGGGTACAAAAATACACAAGAGTAAGGGAGATTCCTACAACCAGATTTTTGTCTAACTTCCGAAACCTCTACTTCGTAGAAAAATTATAGTCTAAATGGTGAGAGATACCCCCCCACGGAGGAATGCAGAAATGCGCAGACCAGTGCACATTCGTGCATTGCCCTACCGAGGAAAAATATTCGTTCCTTAACTCTAATAAGGTATAATATACAATGATGGGAGCTGTGCGCAATAGGAAAGCGCAAGTTTAAACTTTTCCTTGGCCAATGATTATTCTTAAGCCGCTCTTAACATTACATTCTAAAACGCTACACGCCAAATTCCTCAATGCTCTGTAATGACGGTCTGGACAGATGTTCATCTTAAAGGAAATAGTTTTTTCTTTAGTTTTACTAAGAGGAGCTTTTAACCTGCGCCGACCTATCAGCGTACAACAAAGTATCTATTGATTAATCAATCGCAATTAATATGTACCTAACACTTCAGAGTGTTTAGCAGTGTCTTTTTCTTTAAGCGAAGCCACTTTTTACGAAACATTATGCTAATAGAGTCTATTGACAATCAGACCCAACCGTGATTCTATGCTATCAACGTAAACGCCTCGTGGTATATAATCTGTGGTACATTTAACGTTAATCGATTACACAGAGAGACAAATGTCCAGATTGTGCTAAATACTCTGAGTATTAATTTTCATAAGCAGCAAAAGCTTTCGGTATCAAAAAGAATTATGTATGTATAACAAAATAATATAAGGATAAAGAACTAAGTATATTAAAAAAAAAAATTTGCATTATTCGCTCGTACGAAAGTACTGAAAGTTTAGTTTAGGAAAAAAAAAAAAAAAAAGTGATTAGTCGCATGGTGATAAGGGTGGAGATTGGTGTGATTGGGGGTGGGAGGAAGGGAGTGCGATCCATATCTAACAAGTAGACACTCATCCATCAAGACGTAAGCATTGGATTACTTCGTATCGTTGATTAATTTTATGACTTTCTATTTTCCTCAGAGAGTTCGGGAATAGCATGATAGAAAAATATACTAAACACATATGCAGATGTATATGTGTGACGGACTCGAATGTCGAATCATAGCGACATGAAGACACGCCTTAAGTATATACGCAATTCGATTGACAATTTTTGCAAGATTTTATGCGATCGAGCCTCGTGATTGACATTACAGTAATTTTACATCTATATATATTTTTTTCTTCCTTTTTTTTTTTCAACATCTTTCTCAATCGCAATGCAAGAAGGTTCCCTTTGTTACAATAATATTATGGTATACGGAGTAGAAGCCTTTTCCGACATCCGAGTCCTCTGTACAGGATGACCTGCAAAAAGGGCTCTAACAAATATGCATTTAATTCATCACTATCCAAGGCATTTTTCATTTTCGCACGCAGCACCTAGTCTTAGACGACTTTTCTTTTGTCTTTTTAATTTTCAATTTAAGCGGGACAACTCTGGAAATATTATCGAGGAACAATCTATGGGGAATTACATAGAGCCCCGTTACAACCATTGATTTAGCTTTGAATCCAAATACTCAAAGGTGTACCTAAATCAGGCACGACTCGTACCACGTACAGAAATATCTCTTATATTTTGGATTCTTTTTTTTTTAATTATTAGCAAAAAGTGCTTTAACATGTACGACGGTAACCGATATATTTGCTCGTGTCACTTTTGCGGACAACCTGTACGTTCGCGCTATGCATCATATGTATGACGACCTAATTAACGTTTAGCTATGCTGTACTTTAACGGAAACTTAGCGAGCACTAAGCTCTCAATGGACACGGCGTATACTTGTTACAGAACAAAGAAAAGAAAAAAGGACGAGAAGCATGCATCGAATAGGATAATAGCTGCTCTGGTGTGATCGCTTTCATTTTCGATACGCTAACGTTACTTTACTATATAATTAATATATGTCTCTATATATTCAATGTTTCAATATATATATATTAAATAATTATTATATTATTATTCTACAATCGCTAGGGTACGCTAGAAGTACAAAAGGAAAGGAGAGAGTAGACGCTGCTCAGTTTTAAGAAGTAAGAGAGAAAATACAAAAATGTACAGAGCTCGTCTTCGTCTTAGCTTCATCACTTTTTTCTTTTTCTTTTTCTCTTTTTTTTTTTTTTTTAGCAAAAGCGTTTCTCACATACAAAAAGCAATGATTAGAGGCCTTGTGTTTACTTTTAACTACTATAGTGCATTTACAATATTTAATTAATATCATATCGATCGTTAATATCCTTTGTATAATCCCTTTTCAATTTTTTTTTTTTTCTATTATACTTCGCATCGATCGTTTGTTCATTATCAAAGTGCAACGGCACTATCGTTTCGCGCAATACATGATTCGTTAAATTTGGCCCGTTGTCTGCAAGAGTAAAAACTTAATGCGCTTAAAAGTATCTTTAGAGATTATTTTGTTTTGCAGATTAAAATTACATTCAGTCGAGGCCAGACTGTGACACTGCCTCTCTTTGTCACTCTTTTTTAGCATTCCTGTTTTTTTTTTTTTTTTTTTTTTTTA